CGGAGCAAGTCATTATCCGTTCTCCCCCTGGTAGATGTATGGCACCGTAGACCACGTGGGTGTGTCCCTCAAATTTCTGGCAGGGTTTGATCGCTGATGCCTCCTTCCTTCTAACCGCAGCTGAAGACATCTTGGTACAGTTCCGTCTCAGCTTTCATCCAATAAAATCCAAAATCATCACTCACGACGATATGTCCCTCGGTTATTCCCCCACGTATTGGCACCAAGATACAACGGGTGTTTAGGTCAAGAGTGCATTACAAGTTTGAGCATACGATTTAAATGCGCTATCCTCTCGTTTGCTCCGCAACCTCTAGTTTGGCTGTGCAACTGTACAACGATGTGTTCCCCAGCAGATCACAACGTGTTGATGCCAAGACACAATGAGCATTAACATCAGGGAAAATCCCATGTTACCGTAGCCCCTGATGACAGCTAGGCACCGTGGCGTTATATGAGCATAGATATTAGATAGAGGCTGGATAGAGCTATGTAGCCTAAAGCCGCGCTACATGCTACATGCAGCTACACTGTCAAGTCTAGAAGACATTGAAGGTCTAAGTAGAACAGATTCGATAAGTCCTGAGGTACATCAGTAACGAGTGTGCATGTAGTAGGTTATGACTTACCCAGTCGAGTATCATAGACCAGTACTGGGGAATTGAAGGACGAGATTGTAGCCGAGTTTCCCAATTCGGTGACGTCAGGTAGTAAACAAAGAGATAATTCCGGGAATCCTAGGTCTACATAACACTACAACGACATGCTGCCTTCTAATTACCTGAAACATCAACCGCGGATCTGCTGATTGTCCCATCTTCGGTTATCAAGAGTATCCAGTCGCGAAGAGTGAGGTCTGTTCGATATCGACATATCAAACCAAGCAAGACAACCAAGCTTCCGGCTTGACGCATTGTCGCTAGCTCGCACATCGGGCGACTTCACAATGACCACTTGACGATGAACGTCAAAACGGCCTTGAAGTTCAGGTACGATGGTGTCATGTGGGAGATTCTGGGTAGGAAAGATTGGAGAGTAGGGAGAAGATCGGTAGCGTTTTGGTTTGATTAGATTGGCATGGATACGCTGATGACATCCGAGCCTTGTCGTCGACTACAAACAACGGGGTATCAATAAACGACTTTATGTGTATGTTTCCAATGCTCAAGGGATGAGATGAGATGGGTGGGATCTTGGTGAATAAATCAATGACGGCCGTCAGCACACTCGGTAGAAGCGCAACATACAAAGAGTCAGAAGCGAATCCAGCGTCCAGCATGTTTGATCGTGACATGAGGATTAGTGCTGGAAGTTCTAGTTTTGAAGGTGGCGACAACCGTAGGTGTGAGTGATGACATAGACATGGCCTGAGCACCATGTGGTTGTGAAGATGACTGGACCTGAGCCTTGCCGCTGGATTGCTGCGTAACATTACCGTTGGAAGGACGCGAACTGCTCGCAACAGCCTTTTCGGGATCAGGCTGCGTTTCTCTCGCGCTGACGCGTTCCTCTGTGCTATGAGATGGGATTCGAACATGCTAGAGGGATGTCATACTCGGCAAACGGAATGTGGACGACTGCTGAGCGACACTTGCCCACTGCACTACCGGGTCGGGCAGAGAAAGGATTCTGAGCCCAGTAAACAATGCGGGATTGTGATGGCATATCGAGTCACCCAGAAGACTGTAAACATAGAGGTTAGGAAAAATAGTACTAGTAGATGACATGAGCGACGTACGTGAACACGATGTGGTGTGCCATTTAAAAATCCTTGGGGTACCCGATTGGAAAGCTTGATTGGTTGACCGACTGGACAGCGTGTAGCATCAACCTGGAATAGATAGGTTTAGATGCAATGAAACCTGTGATCAAAGTGTCACGTACAATTAGTAGCGATTTGTCGAGCTGGGAGTCCAACAAAAGGCCGTGGAGGTCAGCTTCTTTTACAATCGCAAAAACATTCTACATATACGCATTGGTGTAACTGCAGCCAATGGATAGTGGTTTGTCATCTGCCGAAAATGATACAGAAAGCACACCGCTTGGACGGTGGAGGGGCGAATTAACTTTGGCCATGGGCCGGTTGTACATTGACGAGGTTCCATATATAATCGCGCTGTGTTGTCCCACGATGCGCTTGTGAGGACGTGATCATTTGGACATGTTGCAATGAAAAAAGACTAAGTGGTGTGCTCTTCCAGCACTACGAATCTGTTTCTCGTTGAAGCTTGAAGTATCCCGGGTCCTGATCGACTAATTGGATGACTCGGATGTAAGCGTTTTTCCATTCGGGGTCCAAGCCAAGACTGGCCAGACGCCCAATTTGTGTCCTTCAAGAGTTGTTCAAGAGTTAGCTCGTCTGTCCTGGCATCTCAGATCTTGACTTGGTGCTTTTTATCTCTATTCCAAGGCTGTTGGGAACTACCACTAGTACTCGCGAACAAGGTCATGTCCGGCAAGTAGACGAGTGCGAGCACCTATTCATGCCCTGTCTTGATTGGCGTGAGGATCGGTTCTCCGCTCTCTACATCCCATTGTCTTGCAGTGCCATCGTAATATCCGATTAAGACTCACCGACCATCTTAACTCTAGCAGGCAGTGCTCACTTTCTGTGTATGCTCCATCCATTTCGCGACGACTTTGCCTATGTTGATGTTTCGCAACTTCACTTCACTATCCATACTCCTGTTAACCACTTTCTTCTTGTCCGGAGACAACACTATAGCCTATGGTCCACGCTCCACTTTTCCCGTCTCGCCAGTCGTCTGCTATCTGTTCCCCACTCTTCAAGTTCCATGCCCGTAGCGAGCCGTCCTCTGAACAACTCACCATCCATTCTCCCTCTGGCAAATGTATGGCGCCTTCGAACCAAATGATGTGTCCCTTAAATTTCTGTGGGGGAGTTATCCTCCATATGTTCTTCCTTTCAACGATGGATGAAGACACTATCAACTACTAGGCGCAGCTCCGTCTCAGCTTTCATCCAACACAGTCCAAAATTAATGGAGACAACCACGCTTTCAGTCGAAGGATGCGGTTGCTGAAGGTCGTATTTTGGATTCCAGCTTGTCTGCGCCCACGACTCGCTATGTAAATGTCGATGATGTTCATCAAAATGAAAGAATGTCCGTCAGACCCAGGCGCGTTGAACTGTGTGAGTGGTGTTACTCAGAAAGGCGCTTTATGTCTGACTTTGTTGGCGCTTCAGTTAACATTAGTCCTTGCATTATGATGCCAATCCCAAACTGCCTAAAGTGACGTGTACATTATCGCACACTGTCCAAGAAGAACATATTTCTAATATCACTCGGCTATGACTAGTTGAGCTTTAAGACTAACCTACCTTGAATCGTGCATGAGTGAATATCGAATGGCCTACCCGATGAAAATGCCGTCGTATCCACGTATATGGTCTCTCACCAGCGTGGAAGCCTTCACACAGGCTCTGAGGCTATATATTATAAGTGTCTTGAGCTGTCGTTAGGGAAGGCTAGAGCATCACTTTGAACACTTTCCGCGACTATCATGGGCAATCACCTGTCTCTACTGGGTCAATCATTCCCGTCCGAGTCGAAATTTCACGTCGATCACATCCCCGACTTGACCGGGAAGGTCATGATCGTTACTGGAGCTAATACTGGGATTGGTAAAGAGACAGCAAAGGTAAGTTGCGAGGGATGGATACTTCATGTTGCTGACCATAGAATTCAAGGCCCTGTTGAACCACAATGCCAAGGTATACATAGCTGCCAGAAGCCAAGAGAAGGCAGAAGTAGCCATCAAGGATCTGAAAAACAGCACTGGGAAAGAGGCTCTCTTTCTAAAGCTTGACCTCGCAGATTTAAAGTCTGTGAAAGCTTCTGCGGAAGAATACCTCAGGTTCGTCTCTTCCGTCGTAACGCCACAGGGGCTTCTCTGACGATACCAACAGCAAAGAGACAACGTTGGACGTCCTATTCAATAGCGCGTGAGTGCGCAGCATGCATTGAATGTCGTGGTTTGGATATGCTCATCTTAGTGCATAAGGGGGGTCATGTTCCCTCCAAAAGAATGGTTAACTGTGGACGGATATGATCTTCAATTTGGAACAAATGTCCTTGGTATGACGATTACATTTCTGCTACTACAAGACTCTAATCTGTTTGCAGGGCACTTCTACTTCACCAAGCTGCTATTGCCCACCCTCATTGCTACCGCAAAATCTGCGCCTGATGGCAAAGCTCGTGTTATTACGACTTCGTCCTCGGCACATATCCTGAAGGGTCTCACCTTCACAGCGTTCGAAGATGGTCCTGCTCGCGGGAAGATGTCTACTACTGACCTTTATGGGCAGAGCAAAACCGCAAGTCGACTCTGTAATTTTGCGCCATCTTCTCCTAACTTGCCAACAGGGCAACGTCGTACAAGCATTCGAACTCGCAAGGCGCTACAGTTCAGAGGGCATCGTTTCCATACCCCTGAACCCAGGTAACATCAAAACGGACCTGGCACGTCACATGCCGTCCTTTTTACGTGGTATTTTGGTTCGCAAACGTTCTACATGCAGCTGCTAGGTGAATGCTGACGAAGATGCAGAACTTGTTCCTCTACGACGTTGAACATGGAGCACTGACCCAACTCTATGCTGGAACTGCTCCAGAAGCTGTAGAGTTGAACGGCAAGGTGATATCTCTATTGAATGATGGCCGCAAAGAGACGCTGACATCCCTCGCTCTTTCGTGTAGTATCTCGTTCCTTGGGCCAGGGTTGGTCCAACTCGTAAGGATGCTCGGGACCCCAAGGTAGGCGAGGCTCTATGGGAATGGCTCGAAGAGCAGGTCAAGGATATTTGATCTTTTTTGGCTGATGCTAAGAAGTATTGATCATACATACAAGTCTTTTTTTACGGATCTTGATGGATTGCAGGTGCGAATAGCAGATACCCATAGTTTTGTTTCCCGTGGTCAGACCTTGAAGAAGGAAGATAATCATTCATTCATTTTCAATAAGGTAGTTGCTTTTGTGGAATAATCATGTTTTAAACTTCGAGGGATTGGCCAAGCGAAGGTAGCCAGAGCGACGCCCAAACAGTGCGCATTCATTATAACTATGGGTGAAGTACATGTGGTAGGAATACTCCCCCATGTCAAAGATCTGTGAGAGATGTACTTTGCCTCACGATGGTATTTTCCTTTAGCCTTCGTGCAGCTAGATCTGAGGTATATTCAAAAGCTGTCGGAGACGTTGAGTAGGAGCGTCCGTCACTTACATGACGACGGCCTGGGGATGACCTATGGCTTCGTGCACTTGGCACGTAAATGCATCCCTTGAACCACAACATCCTCAATCATCATCAACATCAAGGTCGCCTTCGACGCCTGCTCCCTCTCCCGTATCATCAAACTCCATCGCGTTTGCATCATATTCCCAAGTCTCTTGATCCGCTTCTTCGTAGACCTCCACTGCATCTTCATCGTGTGTCTGTTTGACTTCAGGTACAACAACAGCCCCATTCGGATGTTCAGGGGCGCGTTCGTTCAATGACTTGGACACTGCAGCAAGAAGATCTTTCATCCGGTTCCCCAACCGATCTTCGAGTTCTTCGACGATCTGAATGGCAGTGTTCAGTCCATTTTGGCATGATGAACACGCAGACTCGCACATACAACATATAGCTCTACCGGCTCAGTCGGAGCCAAGTTGACTATCTGAAGCTTTTCTGCTTTCGACAATCCAAAGGGCTGAAGACTGCCCGTAAGCTGGGTGATGCTCGCGTCTGATTGATGGAGGCTCGGCTGGTAGTCCGCAGATAGATATTGAATAGCTTCCAGCTCGACTGTGCGAAGGTTCTCGCTTATCTCTTCAGTATGAGTGTCATGCGAATTCTTTCCTGCAGCCTCTTCTTCTTTTTTGACACGGATGGCAGTTTTTGTGCGGGCGATGTGCTCCGCATCTAGTTCGCGAAGGAGGTTTAGGACTTCAAAGTTTGATAAGAGTGCTGACCGAGCATTTACAACCTCCATAGACACGTTAGCAGGTTGCAAACCAGGAACAGAAAAAATGTAATAAAATTTCGCGAACGTAAGGCCCGATTAATATTAGCCGGACGTCCCCGACTACTCTACGAAGTAGATACATTGCAATCACAAAAGGCATATTCTGTACAAAACTCAACATCACTCGAATTGACCCATTTGTATTGTTAATTTCACAGCCTCTCAAATTTACCCATTTCCTGCTCGGAGTACTTTTGTCCAGCGTAAGGCGACAGCGATCAAATCATCATAAATATCGTAGAAATTAGCTGCAATCACGGCCGCACGCACGAGTGGGGCGAAGAGGCATCAACTCAATCGCTCAAATAACAAATGATCATGCGATAAGGCAAATTCCACACGACAAGATGCAGAATGGGATCAACAACAGCTGATTTTGTGTGAATATCCACACTCTGCCGAACAAAAGTATGAACGGCCTTCTTCGAAATCGTCAAAGGCAGACGCTGCAAACAATCCGCGTAATATTCTGAGTAGTGGAACCAGGTATGATCCATTGCGTTGCGCACAATAAGCAACATAGGGCATGTGAGGAAGTGGGAGAGGGAGATAACAGCGAAAGACAGTGCTAGCACCCGCGCCAATGCAAAGACAGAAATTATCGAACGTGATAGTAGTAACGCAGCATTCGATTGAACTGCAACGTACACAAGAGGCGGGATGCGAACACAACACGAACTGGAGCGGGTAGCAGAAGAAAGGTCGCGGTTGCGTCGACATGTGGATGCAATTGGAGGCCGTAAGTCACATAGGATCCTGATAAATTGGATGTTGTTCGACAGTATGGTCAACATTATGAAAAGGGCATTGCGCCTCATTGAGCACACGGGACACAGCAGATACGCCCTTATGCAGAAATAGAGCCATGTCGAACTGCGAATGACAAGAGTCAGCAAAGATCGAATCCAAGACGCACAAGTGTAATGCGAGTGACCGCAGGTCAATCTAGAAACTAGGCACTATGAATGGCAGAAAAGCAAAAGAGGGGACGACGAAAAGAACAAAACAAGATCAACGTTCGGGCAAAAATAGCCCGTGTCGGCAGTTTTCCCTAAAAAGGACATGCTAGGTTGCAATTCAACGTTCCAACGTTCGCTTTGACGGCACATTTGGTTTTGACAGAAACAGCGGGACATTTATGTCTCCCTACTACTCCCACTAATCGTGGGAGTTGTTATTCTCGCCCCTTGTGGTGTATGTGTTTGTATCCGTCTCTGTCCTCTGAAGTCCGAGATACTGGGCAGGATATAACTTATAAGTAACACAGAGGGTAATCCCTGGGGCAGCCAAAGTGACATTGCAAAAAAGTGTGTGCGACCAACGGTTGATCCGGTAGAGTCGGGGTTACGATTATGTCACTCGTCCCAACGTTGCCCAACGTTGCTCGCTGGCCGCATCATCAAATCCGCAGTTTGGCCAACTGTTTCAGATTCTCGAGGCCCAGAAATTGAACCACTGATAGGCCCATCATGGCCAGGCTGCCGAACAGCCGACCGTCTGTCCTGCTTCTCAGATCCGAAAGATGATTGCCGTAGCAGGCACCGCGTAAGCTAATTGTAAGCTCAGGTAGTATTTTTGAACCCCACAATTCAGCAAAACTTAAAGAACCACACAGTGGTTCTCTCTGGAGCATGTGGCGCTGGTATGACGGAGGTCGCGGCGCAGTTGCGGACCCGATATATATATTATGAACTAGTGGTACTCCTGCACGTCACAAAATTGACCGTCTTTCCCTCATGGTGTCTACTCATTCCATAATGGCGACGGCGCTGGCCTGCTTGGCGTTCTCCGTCGCGCCGGTGACTGCAACGACGTACTCTATGGTTAAACAGTACTATGGTTCTACTTTCTTTGACGAGTGGACTTTCTATAATAATTGTTCGTGCTTGATTTCGAATTTGCCATGTCTCAAGCTCACTTTTTTCAGATGATAATTTGACAAACGGAGATGTTGTGTGAGTACAAAAGTGTCTTTTTTGCATTTGCGATCTAACATTTTCATCGCAGTTATGTTTCGGCTCAGAACGCAACTACAGATCAGTTGGCATATGTAGATACTTCAACGAACCATGCCATCATCAAAGTAGACAACACTTCCACTGTACGTTGTTCTGCAAGATATATCATCTCCACTAATAGCTCTCATCAGGTGGTTTGGAACAACAAACGCAACTCCGTCAGGATTTCAAGCGACGACTCCTTCGGAGTGGGAAGTTTGTGGGTAGCCGATATATATCATGCGCCTTATGGTGTGCGTGAACTCATTTTGTGCCATGATGCTGGCGTGCTAAAGTTCGTCTCTGATTTAGTGCTCCGTGTGGCCCGCGTGGTGGAGGTGAGTTATTCGAGAGACCCTTCAGATACCATGAAGGCTGACGAATCATGATAGTCAAGCAGCTGTCTGGCCACAGGGTGGCGAGATCGATACCTTTGAGGGCATCAATACCAATACCCAAAACCAAATGTCTTTGCACACGGAAACTGTTCGTGAACTGGTGCTGATCTAAATCGCTTATTCTCCAACACTCGCTTGTCATTTCTACAGGGGTGCACGGCGGTTTCCCAAAATCAAACTTCAACTCTGGTTGCCAGCACAAATTGTTCGTATGCCGCGAACGAGGATCAAGGTTGCATTGTTACAGACCCATCGACTGGGTCCTACGGTGCTGGTTTTGCGAGCAGTGGAGGAGGAGCTTTTGTGACCGAGATGGCTTCTACTGGTATAAAGTACATTGATTGCCTTTTGATCTCTGTTAGACCGCATCGCTTAACTTTTTGTGTCATTTAGCATTTGGTTCTTCGCAGTGAGTTACGGTACGAATGATAGGCATTGCCAAGTACTGAACCAAATTTCCAGAGGTCCGCAATACCTAGCTCGCTGTCGAGTAACGAAAGCTCGATTGATACCTCGGCCTTTGGTACTCCCGTTGCCAATTGGCCTTCTACGGGTTGCAACATTACGGAATTCTTCCAGCCCCAGAACTTGATTTTCGATATCACCCTCTGCGGAGGTACGTCAATCATGTATCAGTTTGATGATTGAGCTAACATTCGTCTCGTCTTAATTGATAGACTGGGGTAAGCAGATTTTGTGAGAAACGGGCGCTGCAGAATGCTAAGACAGTTTCACAGCCGATGGTGCTACATGGAACAGCACATGCTCCGGGATTTGCTACAATAACTGGGTCATGGGCAATGGTACCGACTACGATAATGCCTACTTCGAAGTCGGCTATGTGAGGGTTTTCAGCACGGAAGGCACCAACACTGTCGTATCTCCCACCACCACTGGTTCTGGTTCGTCCTCGACGACTTCAGGCTCATCAACACAAAGTAGCTCGTCTGCGGGCCTCCCGCATGGTGGATATTGGATGAGTGCAACATTGCTCGTTGTCGTTGGGCTTTTCAGCGCTCTCTTTACACTTGCTTGATGACAAAAGATTATCTCCGACATTGCTCAGTGATAAGAATGTACTTTTTGTGTGTATAGGCTCTATTCATTTCATAACCGGAGAATCATCAATAGGCATACCCAGGACTTGCCCAGGACTTATATTTACGTAGTATTTGGCTTTGTTGAACAATAGTAGATCCGGACTTTGGAAAACCCTACGGCTGCCGTGACTGATAACTATTAACCCCAGACGAGTAGGTTTCCTCCGAGTGGCATTCTTTAAGGTTGTTTGGGCCAGAGGCACCGCAGTGCTTTATTTATGTAGACTCCTATGGAGAACTCTACCTTGTCATCAGTTCCAGTGTAATCGACCACATCTATTCACACCGGGTCAAAAGGTGCCTGGAACACAAGGGAATGTGGCAAAGAGCGTGCGACGCAGACAGCATACATCATTATAGCGGTGGAATGTGAAGATGGGGTCTGACTAGGATATGCCCTGAGCACAAGGGAATGTGGCTAAGAACGTGCGACACATACAACATACAACAGCATTATAGCGGTGGAATGTGGAGTTGGGGTCTGACTATGATATGCCTGGAACACGAGGGAATATGGCCAAGAGCGTGCGACATTGAATATTGAGGGCTGCATACAGCATGCGACAGCATTATAACGATAGAGTGTGGCGATGGTAGGTGTACAACAAACAGCACCAGTCAACGAATGCAGGTACCATTGCAACTGTTCAGTGAAATGGCAAGAGCACGAGAATAGTGAGAGCACGTGTCTGCCATGTGCGAGGAGTCCGAGTGATCGAGCAGAAGAATTATGCAGTCTGGGAATTACCAGACTTATGGAATGAAATTCCGCAGCGAATACATTGGCCTGCAGTCAGATCATGACGAGAATGAACTAGAAGGATGCCACACTGGCCCGGACGCGCTTGACGAATCGTACCTTCTCTTCAACAGTGACGATGTTCCATTATGTGGCAAACTCGCATTGGTAATCAATTGTGCCATGCGCCTGGCAATCACATATATTGGTAAGGACGACATCCTTATAGACATCAGGTTGCGATCACTGCCTGGACCCAATCATATGGAAAGGAGCGGAGTGCCAGAAAACCGGTCAACATACCAGACTGGCCTGCGCAGCATTTAAAAGAAGAGCTTTAGGTTGGTGAGACTGCGGCAGACTGGCACAGCGTTGCGATAGATAACGGTATCATCCATGAATCATATTGATTTGATCCGATGAGTTCTTGCGCTTGATCTAATGAAGAGAAGGGGATATGGAAGAGATCATTCGATTTGAAGGGCAACTTGGAGCCCTTGGGCTGGCATGGAAGTCTTGCGCACTTTGCACGGCTGGAGTAAAATTAATGTAATGTAATTCGAAAAAAAAAGTTGTACCCACCACGAAGCATAATTGCCATGTTTGACGATCCGCCACACTCCTAGCTGTGAACTTAAGATATCATGCATAGATATAGGTGATCCGTAAAATCTGTTGTATTGAAGTTACAGGTAAGGGCATCGAGACTCCTTGGCAAAAGTTTGAAATATTTAGCACTAAAGTTACTATTAGCACTTATTTGCACAGATCATCATCAGCTTCTTACGCTTGTGTGCTATCACCTCGGCCCTAGAGTGTGCAGGATGATGGTAATCCGCCTGACGCCGTTCTGCAAGTTGACGTTTGCCATAAAGCAGTTTCAAATCGGGACCCCAAACTCCACTATAACTATTTAATAAATGTCGGCACACAATGCACACATCTCAAATTCCCGCCCGATACCATTATGGCCAGTATTCATACAAACCCTGCTGTCTTGTTCGGCGTAGAGGGACAAGTCGCTGTGGTCACAGGGGGTGGCACCGGTACAGTCTTTTGTTGTCCCTGTAGCAAAACTTGCTCATCAGACAATGTCTTCTAGGTATCGGACTCATGATGGCTACTGCATTAGAGAACAACGGTGCCACCGTGTACATTATTGGTCGAAGGCTTGAAGTCCTAGAAAAGGCTGCCAAGGAGAACAACGTATGATTAATATTGCATGCACTGTAGCGATCGTTTCTGACACCGAAGTCCCAGAAATTCGGAAATCTCATCCCGCTACAGGGTGACGTCACGTGTCGTCAGTCTCTCACACAGCTCGTCGAGACTGTTACAACACGCCATGGCTATATCGACCTCCTTGTCAATAATGCCGGCATCTCCCGCAATCTTTTGCCCCCGAAATTACCATCCCCTCTGGATGACCCTGCAGATGCCTCCCCATCCATCAAGGCGTTCCAAAGTGTCCTATGGGATACTGGATCGCCAGAAGGTTTTGCCGAGACGTTCGATACGAACGTCACTGCCGTTTATTTCACTACTGTTGCCTTCCTCGAATTGCTTCATCTTGGCAATCTAAGAAAGGGTAATTTACCACCTGTCATATCGCTGCGTCCACCAGGTTTCAACAAGGAACCCTGTGACAATAATGTTTCAAACGATCAAGGCTTCACATCCTCCAGCCCCTCAGTAGCCCATCATTCCTCGCCTCCAACACCCCTCTCACCTTTTACATCCCTTCCTGCAGAATCGCCTGCCACTAATTCCACTCAGGCCGCTTATCCTCCGGAGAAATGCATTCCACAGCCGACATCTCAAGTTATCACCATATCCTCATCTGGCTCCTTTCGTATCGATGCGCGAGTCCTATCTATCTCTTACACGATGTCAAAGAATTCTTGCACGCACCTTGGAAGGCTTCTGGCTAACCTTTTGGCTGATTGGGGTATCCGTTCCAATGTACTATGCCCAGGCGTCTTCCCAAGCGGTCAGCGGCTACTTCTCTAGACATTAATTGGCTTATTGATATACCCCTGAGACAGAAATGACATCAACTCAACACCTCACACCTGCTCTTTTGGCTCAAGCCGTCCCTCTTGGGCGCGCAGGCACCCTGTCTGATATTTCCGGTCCTATTCTTTTCCTAGCTGGCCCTGCAGGAGCGTACGTTAACGGCGCAGTGTGGCTGGTTGATGGGGGACGAGTTGGCTCTGTCGCCAGCTCCTATTACTGATTCGACTGGGTGCCTCGGCCCACATGTTTGTTTGTACCCCGCACTTATTCATGAGCGGTTCAATGATTATCATGTCGCCCAGCTACCGAACCAAACACCCTCATCCGCGGCTTTCATGATTCCTTTTTTTTCATCTGCGCTGACTCGGAAGGGGGCTGTTGATATTATTATCTTATCATCAATTTCATGCTGTTTTGCTTTGATTCATGATCACGCTGTGGAATGCTCTGAAACGGTGACACGCGTAGTCAACGTTGCTGATCGACTATGCAATTTTCGTTCCGCGCCCCAATGAATTTTGCACGGTGGTGATAGGTAGGTCACGTTAATTCCTGTCCCATCCGCACAACTTTATCTGAAAGATTCAGAATCGGCAAACCAATCCAGACTCTAAATTTAGACCGACAATCACGTACCCTCTATTACTGAAGATTTCACCATTCACACCCACCAACTATAACCTCGGCAGTGGATCATGGATCCGATGGGTGCGTGGATTCTCAGATTGATGCCGGGCTCCGTAATGATGTGTATAATTTGGTTAGCCTATCCTGGTCAAGATACTATTGAGGTCGATAAGCGTCGACATCGTCTCCGTCAACTATTTCATGTGAAGTCACATGAGAAACCAAATAACGTTAGTAGGCTCCGATATGTACAGATGAATCCACTTGTTAAACTTATATGCGCCAAGATCCTTTCTGAACTCAGCAGGCTGTACAAAGAACGATGTGACATCGTGCGGACCCATCAACATGTAGGCACAGTATTACGTTCGAAAAAGCTCCACCATCAGAATCACAAGTATGGGCTGCATCTATCCATCCAACGTGCGTGTTTACATCCGCGGTCGCATTTTATTAATTCAACCTTTCTGGAATACACTACACGCAGCCAATACGTATGTCGAGTTACACAGTCTTCAAGCTTAAAATTCTCAGAACTTACCATGGGGTTGGTTTGTCGGGCCTGCTGGTACGCATAAAGTACTATAAGCTGCTCGCTTCACTCTGCGCGATTCCATGATGCACCTTTTTCTTCGCCATCCCAATCTTCAGGATCAAGGGACACTCCGATGTGTCATGTATAAAAAAAACACGTTCTCTCAGTCAACAGCTGGCTCTCGTCTTCGATGGTCAGTAAGCTACACCGCTGCGGCACCTCCCCTACCCGGACTTGCTTAGGCTCGCGTCCTATACCATCAGTCCGTTCCGTTCTCGTGTATCGGCATTGACGTTGAATGCCGATATACAGCTGCCAATGTGGGGAAATTTCAGATGCAGACAACTAAAGGACACCAATCGCTGCATTGTGAAACGCTATTGGTCGCTGTGTACCACAATAGGAATGGTCTACTTGTGGAGCCGAAATTGCTACGTAGTACTATGCACAGGTTTGCACGATCTCCATAAGGTCCCCACATATATTCGGGGGTCCTTCTCCACATCCACTTGCGGTGGTTTTCATGGGACGGCCCTGTGACACTCCCTCAGGTCAGCCCCGATCCAAGACTTGAGTAGCTACGATGCCAACGTTTAGTCCAATCGCGCTCTGTAGTACCCAGCAGTTATCAAATTGAACTTACGTAGACTCACTAATATGATGCGTCACTTATCCTCAATGAAATTCCTTTTAGATAAGTACTGCAATCTGCGTTCCTAGTAAATTAAGCGGCGATACGGAAAACATACCTAGTGTCGATGATTATGTAGTAGTGATCAAGTTCGTCACCATATGACATTTCAATTTCAGAAGGTTCGGTATTGAGAACGGGCCAGCATTAATGCTGGCGAAAGTTCTAATGTCGTATGAAATCTTGATATTCGCGAAGCAACTCGATGTTTATATAGGAAATTATACGACGAAACATTATTTGGTCAGTGAATCACTGAAGTACATACTGTGATTGTTCCCCCGGAACCTAGAAATCCTTGTAAGGCGTTTACTTACCTTACGAACCGAGGTGGGGTGTGGGGGATCATGCGCACAGCAGTCCCTTACCAAGTTTTAACGTGTAATGTTTGCGCATATACGGGGTGGTTGACACGTAGTCCATTAATTTGTGAATAACTCACGTATCTAGGTGATATGGAAGAAGTTTAACTCGTCCACCTGGCAAACTGGTCTCCGAGCCTATATGTAGTTGCATCACAAACAAGATAGGGTCACATCTAGGTACGTACTCCCGAGATCGGAGCAACGCTGAACCCATATGGGTGATATTCTCCATTTGCAAGACCGTGTCTTGCTAATGAAATTACTGAATGGTTGAACGGTTACCGGAGCCGCAGATCAGATTAGTACGGATCCTATGCGGAGAACTTCAACGCAAAATCATACCTGATATCTGTAGTAGGCAGTCACTCAAATCGATCGATTTATGTGTAGTACTCGCTATGGGCGCCAATGACCGCAACTGGGTGGCTGCGTGATGCAAGCACACCCTGTTTGTAAGTCATGAGAAAAAGAATTCCAGCATGTCGTCAAAAAGAATCTGGCAGAATGTCGACAGGTAGACTCAACGTAAGGGCAAACAGGAGAATGGACTTATTTTCCAGTTCGACTGCAGGTTGACTGAGAAAATTGGCATACTCCAACTTGGACGATGGATTTTTGGCAGAGCGCGCGAGACTTGCTAGTATGCAAGCACTTGAGATGCCCTCGGGCAAACTATTGAGCCATACGACATCGTGTGTCGCTTGCTGATTGCTGTATGATCAGGCATTAATACTGAGAGGATCGATGTATACTAACCACTAGTACTTTCGGTAGACATATTACCCCATCAGCAAGAGTACTTCAAGTACTTGAAGTCGGCGGGTGTGATCGGCAAGTTTGAGAGTTCGCCGTGATGCAGGAAACTGACGATCCGGAATGGAGCTAAGTTCGGCATCGGGACTTTTCTAAAAAAGGGAAGACAACAAAACGTTTGGAGTGACACAGCAGAAAGCGGTTCAACGTTGTTCAACGTCGTTCTTGTTCGTCGCCCGCAGGTATCTTGAATTTCTCTTATTCTTGTCCTTCGCAATCGTCTAGCAGGCTTTGACTTTCGCTAGACCGGCAGGCTCCGCTGGTCTCGTCTAGACCAAAGCAGCACAACGCAACGGTCGCACTATCATCAGTTCTGCTCAGCAGACTTTGCAATCGGGCTTTTGATTCTAGCATATAGTCCCAAGACTAGACGTCAGGGCTCCTTCTAAAGAGAATTAGCTCTCATCAAAGGGCCATCTCAACCTCATATCTACTCCCCTCCTCTCAAAATCTCATCTTCACATCGTGTCCTCGAGGATTAGGAACACATATCTACCCCCTTCCTCTATCTTGCAAAAACGTGTCTAGCGACATAAATTCTTCATCCATTTTACCGCTAGCGGATCTCTACGAGCGTCGCATTTCAAATTTCACCCTCTGATTCAATTCACATAGCATCGTTCATTCCAGTCGCCTATAGCGCCCATGTCTACTCTTCGTCCTCCTTCCAGCCCTTCACCTTCTCCCCTCAATACTGATCATGGTCGCTCCGCTCGCGCCTCCATGGGTCCTCGTCAAACTTTAGCGCCAGCTTCCCCTCGTCCTGGTGGAGGAAGTGGTGCTCGTCCCACGAGCGAACTACTCGGTAGCGCGACCATGTTTCAAACCCCAGAATCAGAGGCAATCGACCAATGGTTTGAAAATCTCCAAAACTACGAAGAGACTCTTGAGGAGATGGCCGCTGCATCCCTGGATGTCAATTTCAAAGAAGAATTGAGCGCAATCGAGCAATGTAGGCGACTTGTCCCATTTTAGTTCGTCGTTAACCACTGTACTTTTTTAAAGGGTTCAAGGTCCTCTCTGAAGCAGAGCGCACTGCTGCTCTTTACAGTCTTCTTCAACAATCTACCCAAGTTCAAATCCGATTTTTCATTACCGTTTTGCAGCAGATGGCGAGATCAGATCCGATGACCGCTCTTTTGAGCCCTGCTATTGGCGGTGAGTATTCTTGGTCAATCTTTATCGCCTCATGAATTTAATTTCGAGGTGCAGGTTCGATGCAGAGTCAGATGGAAGCCAAGTTGGCCCAGATGACGTTAAAGAGCCCCGCACTTAAGTCGCCTATGCCTGCCTCTCCTCGCGTATTCAGCGGCAGTCAGAACAGGCAATCCCTTGCACTCGATACCACTTCTTCCGGGTTTCTTTCCCCAGACTCAGCTGCAATGGGATCCGGCAGTGATGCAGCTGCCACTCTCGCCCACCAACGCGCTAAGCTAAAGGCAAGCAATGCAGCGCATAGAATTTCTGCACCCATTCTTGCGTCTGGCGGCAGTGACTCGCGTACCTCATGGGGATCTGCACTCAGTCAAGTCGCAGAACAGAATATAAATTCTCCTGCACAGGAAATCGTTGTTCCGTCCGTTAGCAACAGCTCAAGGCCTAAAAGCACCGAGTTTAGTGGCTCTCTTGGAACGCCTCGCGCTGGAATTGAGGCGTTGTCCCCCATGGTTGGCGATAGCTGGGCCAGCAACGTCAATACACCGTTAATTCCTATGTTCTCTAAGGACACACATTCCCACATCGATGCGGCGGCTGCCAAGCTTAGTGACTGGAATGCTGGTACACGTGTTCCCCTCATGGCTGATCCGAAGTCCTTCCGTCGGCCGTCGAGGGGTAACGGAAGTGCAAACGCCCCTGCTCCCGAGACCAACGTACAAGCAAACAACAATATATATGATAATGAGGGCAATCTCATTTCTCAGCAGCCATCCGGTCAGCGTCGGAACGTTAGTCAGGGTTCCAACGCCAACAACGCACAGCTTAACCTCGGCCAGCAGCCAAGCAACTGGAACAACAGTAGGAGTCCTGCGTTGCCTCAGTCGAACAGGTTCGGTGGGGAAGAGGTGAACGGCTCCTTGAACGGGCTGGGCATGAATGGTTTCAACATGGGTGGACTCGGTAGCCCCGGGCTCGGGATGGGTATGCCAAGCGCAGGGTTATTGGCGGGCATGAACCCCATGCAGATGAACATGCTGAACCTACAAGCTCAGATGAGCGCTATGGGGATGGGTTCAATGACGCCCGAGGCGCAGCTTCTTGCGGCGCAAATGGCTGCTGGATTCCCACAGAACTGGCTAGGCATTCAACAAGCTGCTGCTATGCAGCAGAACAGCAGTAGCAATAACAGTAACAGCAGGAGCCGTGGAGGAGGACGATCTCCTGGACTTCCGAAGACCGGTTCTTCTGGTGGAAATAGCGCGGGTAGTGCAGCGAAGAAGGATGAAGAAGAGGTTGACCCCGCGTTGCTTCACGATATCCCGGCTTGGCTCAGGAGCCTGAGGCTACACAAGTATACGCCTAACTTTGAGAAGATGAAGTGGCAAGACATGGTCGTGCTCGACGAAGCGGGCCTGGAGGCCAAAGGTGTCGCCGCTCTTGGCGCAAGGAGGAAGATGTTGAAGACATTCGAGGCTGTCCGGAAGAAGATGGGCATTGAAGCTCCTGCTGGCTATTCCAATAACTCGGGTGAAGAAGAGTCTTAAAATGGATATCTTGGGAGTATGTATCTGCCGGGGCAGATCGAGGCATGCTACCCCGGTTGACTGAATCTTCACTGATGTTGATTATGATTCCATAGTTTTGTATGTGTTGACTCCATTTCGGTTCACCAATAGCCACCGCTCATATATGGACGAAAAATGGCTAGTCGTTATGCTTTCTCGTTACTGTAGTTCTGTACTAGCGTACAATCAATGGTCCGCTTGTTCATGCGATAAATACCCTGTTTTTGGTAGTCTAACTTTGTATCTACGGCCTCTAGCATTATTGTCTCACTTGACTAAAGTTATTCCTGAAGGATCACTAGTACTAGTCACTGAGCATGCGTTTTGCAAGGCTCCTTATCTCGAGTTTACTAATAAGCCAACGTCACATGATGTGTTTTTTGCGTCATATTTACTCCAACACCACACGATAAGATGGTGCCAATGCTAACGTTATGCTAAGTACTACCACAAGGCCTTAGCTAGACTCTTCAACCAGAGATCTGAGTCTTGGTTTCTGAAACCTCCAGAAAGCCTGCCTTAGGACCGTCCTAATACTTGCGCGCTCGATCGAGGTGAAGGTGCAGAACCTACGTGTCAGAGTGCCTTCTAGCGTTCGCTGAACCGTTCAGCCGTTCAGCCAGAAACTGAACTTTAAACATTTCAGAGCAGTGTTCCTGGATTAACATTTCCGAGGTGCCTGTACTTCCCAGTGCTACCTTCACAGGCACGACTATCCTTCTGGAAGTTTCAAAAGTCTGGTCAGCTGGGAAGAACTACCACCAGGGTCGAGCAAGTCAGATGACCTACCATCAATTTACTCTCCGCGTTTCAACTTACATAATTACAAATCGAAAAGCTGCCTGCAAGACCATCTTCCTACCGCACTGGCCCCAAAGACTGAGGAGTTTAATAGCTTGGATGAAACAGAAGCTACGACCATTCGACGTCAGCGAGGACTCCGAGGAGAGTTGCTGGCAGCCAGCAGATCAGGGAAACGCACAACAGGCTGCAATAACGCCGATGAACTACCGAGGCCAAAGCGATCCCAAGTTCGAACAATTGGAGACCACGTTGCGGCTTGGCGTATGTCCTTCGTACACTAATCCGAGGGACTTGACTTTACATGCATGCGCCGTCTACGGTGGCCTCAATTTTATTTATTTTATTTTGGGTTATCTTAGTTGCACTTTGTTTCGGAGTCCAGACCACACTATTATTGGAATTCTAGCTGAGTTTCAAAATATAATTATGTACAAACAAACCGCTGCAACTAAGTATCTTGGGAAGTGTTTCCGCTGGATTTATAGTTAGCATGTCCCCAAGGGATGAGCATGAATTGTGAGCTTTATCGCAGGGCAAGTTCAGGCCATTGTCGTTGATACGATGTGCACAAGGGACCGGAGATGATTTGAGTCAGCCTTTGTGATCGTTTCACATATAATGACAGTTTCAATTAACACCATCTGATGATCAAACGCAAGTTCTGCAATAGTGTGCAACTCTGGAAGTTCAACTCATTGGGTATCGGGTGGCCAGGCCTCAAGAAAGTAGGATGTCCCTGCATGAATTGTGCTTCACTAGCAGCATTTTTATTGTAAGGAATTTTCAATCAATAATAACACGATAATTGGGACATCATTTGGACATCATGGCACATGTCATTTGTTGGGCAAGGCCGCAAGGGTGATGAATTAAATACACAAATATTATATTGCAACAGAATGTAATACAGTTGGTGAACCAATCTGATGATAGGTAGATAGGGCTCCATGCAATGCATGCATCATGTACCACTTGAACATCCCCTCTCCTCTACCTAGGATTTATTTAATTTTAATTTAATTTAATTTCTCATGGACGACCACAAGTATAGTTCAAGTTTGGTTCAAGGGTCCGGCTATTTTGGATTGCAAGTTAAACTTCTCATGGTATATAAACATCGTAAATATAAACTTGTCCTAAACATTGTATGAGTCCTAGTTATTTCTTTTGACTGCTCGACAAGACAGCGCTCGCGACTCCAGCGAGTCTACCAGGGCCATTTAATCGCATTTTTGTGGGTTATATTTATTCCGGCATTATGCACGACAGTTACTGACAATGCATGTCATATGCTCGACTGTCTTTCTCTCATAACAACAACCAATCATTCCCCAGTTATTTCTCAGGAATCGCACCGGCCGCTAGACCTACAGACATGCCTCTTGATCGTGGTCCATCACCTTTTACCCTCTCCTGTCATAGACGTTTCGAAGCCATGTCTCCCCTGGATAACGAAGTTCACCCAGTCTTCCATGCTGGTAGAGTAGCAGTTATCACTGGCGCTGCGAGCGGTATTGGTAAAGCTGCTGCTATCGAATTGGCAAAGTGCGTGGGTGTCGTCGCTCTTGACCCCGCGAGCGAGATACTCACGAATGTGATATGTCTGCGCTGACGGTGTTGACTGTTGCATTCGATGCTTTGGTAATTTGTACTGCACCTAGGCTCGGTCTGAAAATTGCAATGGCGGACGTCACGGAAGATGTTTTGGCCTTTGCTGCCAAAGAGGTTATTTCCATCGTTGGAGAGGCTAATGTACTTGTCATTCCGACTGATGTGTCGAACATCGACGATGTTGTGCGTTTGCGCGACAAGGTATATGAGGCATGGGGCGAGGTGAGCGAATTATACCATTATAAACAGAACCTGTAGTTCCCACTTCATTTCATCCCATCTTATATCGGGCGAACATCCTGATCTGATCATTGTTGGCAGGTCGCAGTTCTCCTCAACAATGCTGCAATAGGTCCCGACAGCAAATCATGGAAGATGCTGGACAACTGGAAGAAGACCTTCGATGTCAACCTTTTCGGGTTCGTCGTTTATTTGATAAGAGCGTGGGCATAGTTTAACTTACAGCGTTTAGTGTGATCAATGTGCAGCAGACCTTTGTGCCAGTTGGTGTTCCCCCTCCGCGTATACCTATATCATGACGCTGATGGTGATGTTATTCCTATTTTTGCCAGTCCATGCTGCACCAGGAGAACCAAGCTGTAGTCATCAACACTGGATCCAAGCAAGGGATTACTAATCCACCGTAAGTTCGAGCAACACACCGTTGTTGGATAGATTGCTTACCTATCACGATATCCTATTCGCGATACTGTGTGGTACAGTGGCAACCCAGCATACAATGCCGCAAAGGCCGCCGTGAAGAGCCTGACGGAAGGACTCGCATTCGAACTTCGCGAAAGTCCAGCGTGCAACGTCACAGCGCATCTTTTCATGTAAGCTTTCTCGGATTCTTTTGGATCTATCCACATAAGGCTCACTTGGCTTTCACAGCCCTGGATGGACCTTCACAGGTTTGACCGCCCGTAACGGTGGCGAGAAACCTGCGGGTGCCTGGACAGCCGAAGAAACAGTTCTTTTCATGCTCGACCATGTTCGTGCTGGCGAGTTTTACATCCTCTGCCCTGACAACGAGTCTCACCACCAACTCGATCAACTACGTATCATGTGGGCTGCGGCGGATGTCGTCGAGGGCAGGCCTGCACTGAGTCGTTGGCACAAGGACTGGAAGTCCCTTTTCGAAGAATATGTGCGTGACGGGCTGGCTAACATGGAGTGAGGAGAGGCACAATGATGAATTATACCGATCATGTTCGGGATGAATGCGGAAGAAAAAGACGTGTTCAAAGTGTTGTTGTTCTTATCGCTATTGTTTGCACCATGTATAAACATTGTTCCTATATGTAAGTAATGATATCAACATTTCGTTCGAGTTTACTTGTTTGGTGGCAGATCTTATCCACATGACTTGTGAGTTCTACTTGGAACCACATCTGCGCTTCGATCGCAGAACTTACCAATCAGTCATGTTCTGCCGTGTCTGCACCTTTGTTGATGCTGTAGGACTGTTGCTAGTACGTGTTCGCCGTTTAAGACTGATGAAGAGATCCCCACCTCTGCCGCGCGCTCAACACTTCGCGGAACTGACCCATCGGGGACACTGGCGTAAGTTTACCAGCCGAGTCTGCTTCATTGTTTGAACTTAGAACGTAGATCGCATCTGTCTAAAAGTAGCGCTTTGCCACGCGTTGCACCGCGGGTAAAGTGGCACTCAGTTTTCAAGCAACGGCGCTTCCCGAGTATCAATCTATTCACCGCATTTGAATGGTGTTGCAATTGAATCCGCAATGCCACCTCAAGCTATGACGAATTGGTGAACCTTAACTTGTACGAATTTGCGAGAGTACTGTCGTGGCAGACATGGTTTCGGCGATGCGAATGACAGTGAATGGCTGTAGAGCCAAAACGCCCCAAATTCTACACACGGTCCGTATAAATACGCTGTTCATCCTCATTGTGCATTGATTTATCTTTTTGACAACTGGCCACGACCTTCCTATAGATCATAGACCTTTAATCACTACTAAACGACGTGCTCGACGCCGTCCTGCTCGCCCTAGTTCAGGCATCCACCGTGACTCCAACATGACTCTCCTCAATGGACATGACTCCGGTCCATCCACCGAGAAATCCTCTCATCGCGTCAGGAACCTGCCTGGCTATACTACGCCTATATTCAATGGCAAAGATGAACAACGCGCTAAGGTGAAAGTCGATGTTACTGCTAAGGTGCTGCAATCTGTATCTTTTGAGGTCAATCCTCACTGCGCATCGCGTCATCTTAACATGATGATAGGGTTTCATTCCTCGTGAGCTGGTCGAGAACGAGGTTGACTGGTTCTACTCCCAACTCGGCATCGATGATACCTACTTTCAAAATGAATCGCCCTCTGTGATCTCTGATCACATCATCGCGCTCTTTGGTGCCAAGATTCTTGCATTCACGAAGCACGATTTCAGCAAGCTCGTCATCGACCTCGAGAAGATCGACGAGAAAGGAAATGGAGCAACTTTCATTCACACCAGTTTGCCGGGCCTGACTTCTACGGAGGGCCCTGGTGCTAATTGCGAATCAAGGTGTGTTGACACCTAATAGCTCCCAATTACTCGGTGAATGCTGTTTGTGATACAGAATTGACTCTCTCTATCTCGACAAATCAAACCCGTCAGAATGTTATCGCCTTGAAACTTACCGTTCAGTCGGATCTATATCGGCAACAGCAGCTAAACAGTTGCGCTGTTACTTCATTACCAAGTGCAACTTTCCTTCCCCACCCCCACCCCCGACTCGAGCGGATGGACGTACCGATATCCGCACTGTCTCCGACACTGCTTTCCTTGAGAGAGCAAGCCAGCATACTCTTCGGGTGTACCAGAAGATCATGTGGCAAGCCGAGAGTCGCTATGGTCCTGTAATGGAAGTATATGAAGTTGAAGGCACTCGCGAGAGGCGTCTTGTCATTGGATACAAGATGGGCGGCACTTCCCGGTTCTTCAGGTGTGTTAACCCATATGTAACAGCACGGTGGTTACATCCATTTGCAGCGCTCTTTCGCACCTCTATCACTTTTACCAGCTGTACTCGGCCCGGAAGTATGTAGAGCAGTTCTCCAATGGGATCACGATAATCTCTCTGTACCTGAATCCGATGCCTAACTCAATCGGCGCGCCAATCGAGCACTCCATATTCCAGGTGATGAAAGAAGCATCTCTTCTGTACTGCCTCCCCGATAACCCCTTTTTTCGTGATTCCGTCAACTCTGGACATGCTGTGCAAGAGGCGACCTATGCCTGTATGTCCAACGTTTGTTTAGACAGGAATTTAGTTCATTTTTCATTAGATTGTGGCTGGGTTTTTGCTCAGCACTTCTGCAACCGCCTGGGTCCCGCATACCACCACCTCAGGAATATCTTGGACGAATCAAACCCCTCGCATGCTGAAGTTCTCAATGATATTAAGAGACGCTTTAGAGAGGAAACTTTCACCCGCGACAGCATCGCTCAAGTTATCCACACACATTCGGAAATTGTGCGTTATCAATTTTGCTCGGTTTCCTGTATGAATAACCTCTAACAGATCCGCCTCCTGTACGTCAACTTCGCCATGGTACACTATCCAACTACGGACCAGACATCACAGCTGCGGTGAGTATGGTAATTTGCGTTGGGCAGCTTTGACGAGCAACACCCAGTCCTACACTCTCCTACCAGCGTCTTCACACGACGCAGCCCCTGTCCGACTCTGAGTTGCATGATAAAATCAGACGTGCAGTCCCGAACAAGCAAGATCTACAAGTTCTCGAGAGCTTCCTTATTTTCAACAAGTGAATGCAAAAAGAAGTTTATTGATTGTGAGCTGACCTTGCTCAAAGGCACGTCCTGAAGACAAATTTCTATCAACCAACCAAGGTCGCACTATCATTCCGTCTCGCCCCCAATTTTTTACCCCAGGGTGAATATCCAACACCGCTTTTTGGGATGTTTCTCGTCATCGGAAACGAATTCCGTGGCTTTCATATTCGCTTCAGAGATGTTGCCCGTGGCGGTATTCGTATAGTCATGTCGAGAAACGAGGAGTAGGTTCGTCTCTTTTGAAGGAGATTCTACGACTGAGCAGCGGACGATAGCGACTACATGATCAACAAGAGGATGCTGTTCGATGAGAACTACGGATTAGCTGCCACCCAATCTTTGAAGAACAAGGACATTCCCGAAGGAGGCGCCAAGGGTACTATTTTGCCTTCGTACGTGATTTTCTGTGCTCTTTTGGGTGTTATTTCATTCGTTACGCAGTCTTGGAGCACCGTCTAGACGCTGCTTCGAGAAATATATTGATGTAAGCGTGCATTGTAATATGAGCTGATAAATTTATTGATTGTCATTCCAGGCTATCATCGATCTCCTTATCCCTAGTCATAGCTCAGGAAATCAGGAACGCCATGTTGACTTGTATGGGAAAGAAGAATTATTGTTTTTCGGGCCTGATGGTGAGATCCGTTTGCAATGACTCGTTGAGATGACTGACATCTCGTGTAGAGGGTACAGCGGACATGATGGATTGGGCAGCATTGCACGCTCGCGATCGTGGTGCCGAGACATGGTGGAAGACGTTCACCACTGGCAAGAGTGCTGAGCTCCTGGGCGGTGTTCCCCATGATACTTACGCAATGACGTCGTTGTCTATTCGTCAATATGTTCTCGGCATTTATAAGCAGCTTGCACTGAGGGAGGCGGACATCACAAAAGTGCAGACTGGTGGTCCTGGTACGTTTCATTTTCACTCTTCGTGGTTTCTTGTCCTTGACGCAATATTTTGCAGACGGAGATCTTGGTTCAAGTAAGTCGTGATATGCGGTTGACCCATGGAGTGTGTCCATTAACCACCCTGCAGATGAGATACTCTTGAGTTCGGACAAAACTATTGCTATTATTGATGGCAGTGGCGTTCTTGCCGACCCTGCGGGTATCAACCGCAAGGAGCTCATCCGCCTCGCAAAACTACGGCTACCCGTGTCTCACTTCGATAAGACCAAATTGGGCAAGAACGGATACCTCGTCAAGATCGAGGAACAAGATGTCAAGCTACCATGTCCGTTGGCTTTCTTAAAGTTCGATATTATCTTACATACTCTGTGCTTAGCCGGAGAAGTCATTCTCGACGGTAACGATTTCAGGAACGGTGCTCACTTCCGTTTCAAGGCAGATCTTTTTGTGCCTTGCGGTGGACGGTCTGTTTGATTCACCACCTGCATCAAACACCAGCTGACGATCATTTAGTCCCGAAGCTGTGAACATTTCTAATGTTGCTGCTTTGACGGATACAGAAGGCAAACCCCATTTCAAGTACATCGTCGAGGGTGCAAATTTGTTTTTCACTCAGCAGGCGCGGTCGCACTTGGAGAAACGAAGGGTCATCATGTTTAAGGACTCCAGTGCGAACAAGGGTGAATTACCTTACTGTCACTTGTTTGATGATGATGTTGACCCTACTTCAGGCGGTGTGACTAGTTCCTCGCTCGAAGTGCTCGCAGGTCTCGCCCTCACGACCCAGGAATACCTTGACCTCATGATCTTCAAGGACGGCAAGCCGTCGGACTTTTACCGAAACTACGTTAAAGACATTCAAGCCAAGATTGTTGAGAATGCTGCCGCAGAGTTCCACTGCATTTGGCAAGAGCACGCCCGCCTCCAAGGTGCCAAGCCTCGGACGCAGATTTCGGACGAGCTCTCCATCATGCTCAACGAATTGCACACCAAGCTCGAGCATTCTGACCTCTTCAAAGATATTCCGAGCCGCAAAGGTGTAATGAGACGCGCTATACCCACCACCCTGGTGGAGCAGGTTGGTCTCGATGTCCTACTGGAGAGGCTCCCCGAGCCATACCAGCGCGCTCTGTTCTCGAGCTGGGTTTCTTCGCATTTTGTGAGTCTTATCTCATGTTACATGAGCACCATCCTAACCTCTCACAGATCTATAGATACGGCATTAACAGTTCCACTATAGATTTTTTTCATTTCGCTCGGGATCTCTCACGAGAATGACTAGTTTGGGGGGCGGGCTGGTGTTAATATTGGTACAACTACTTACGTGGTAGTATCTTCATAGTAGAGAATGAATGGAGCAAGCTCTGAAGCACCGCTGCTGAAAGGAAAGACTCGACAAGTAGCTAAAATTTAAAAGCCACGCACCGGGGAATATTGAGAATTTTTGCTTTGCACACACGATCATATCATCAGTGTGATTGGATGTGTGCAGTTTGAATTCTCGCAATCGCAAGAATCAGACTTCAAGCTTCAACGTTCAACTCTGCTTACAAAGGCAATTCTTCGAGACTGAGTGAAGAAAAGCACCTTCGGCCTGACACTTCGCAAGTGAGATCATGCATGACAGATGTAAATCTAATTCACCATGGGCCGTGAACATAATCAACTAATGGACAGAAGGGCACTGGGCACTGGTCGAACATTAATCGAGTTTCATTGATTGCAGATTCTGCGTTATGGCCGGACATGTAGACTTGGCTGAAGAGGTGATTGAATATGCATAGTCATGATAGAATGATGCATACATATTCATGAGATAGCGCAGCTGAGACACCGTACGAGCTCGACAATTCTTCGTTTGCAACATGACCGATCGTCCCTGTAGAAATGACTCCTCAATGGCTAGATTATAGGTACTTGCAGAACTCTGCGTACCCAAAGCCTAGAAGGATTCCGCTCGATGAATAAAGGAAAGCTGCTTGCACACCTGATTTAATATTGCTTCAGGCGAAAATGGCGTCAGCTTCACGATATCTATATCAGCTTTTGGCCTTGCAAATCCCTCCTCTTCTTCAGAGTCTCAGTCTTCGTGATATTTCTTCATCTGACATTTTGTGTAATCAAGGTAGGAGGTCGACGCTGGAGTGGGCTATGCCCGAAGCCTTGCTATCGACTGACAACGAAGACCTGAAGACCTGCTACTGCACCCGACGACTCTGACAACACTCTGCTCGGCTAACTCCGGCCCAAACACCGCCAAACCCTCTCTCCTCCTCTCTCTGCCTAGGGGTCCGCTTTTCAGCTGTCACTCGAAAAAGTCTCAAATCTAAATAGTATATGGATAGTGAATCATGCTGCCATCATCAAACAACATCGGAGGCGATCATCATTAGTACCTTCAAGCAAGTGTAAAGAGAGCGCTGCCGAAAACTCCAAATCCAACGAGCAATATGTGCTGAGGGCGAACATCTCCTCGGCTACTTTGCTGCTCTGAAGTGGTGATCGGGCGGTAAAGCTATGGTGCTAAATTCATGCATGCTGACTTTGTGTCCAGACTTGTGAGGAAAGATGAAAGGTGAGTTGTGCCTTAAGAAGATGGACATGGAGCACCGGGCACTTTCAGGGAGCAGTTGGGTAGGGAGAGGCAGTTTAAGATGTTTTTAACGAGGATATCGGAGTGAACGTGCGTTGGCAAGGTTGTAGCAGGGCACATGGAAGGTGAGCGACTCAGAGCGAGGACTCCGTTGTAGACCGATTGTGACTGGTGGAATGTGACTCGTGATCAGAAACGAGGCTTGGGCGCTTCAGTTGCACAGCCTATGCTAGAAGTTGTGAAGCGAACACGAGGATGCCACATTTGAATCGTATCGCTCAAACTTGCAGTGCACTCTTGACCTAAACGCCCATTGTGTCTTGCTGCCAATACGTGGGGAGCACCAAACATATAGTTGTAAGTGATGATTTTCGACTTTGTTGGATGAAGGCTGAGACGGAGCTGCGGCAAGATGTCTTCACCCATCGTTCGAAGGAAGGAGGCACCGACGGTCACACACTGCCAGAAATTTGAGGGACACACTGATTGGGTCGATGACGCCATCCATCTGCCAGGGGGACAACGGATAATGACTTGTTCATGGGACGGCTCGCTGCGGGTATGGAACTTGAAGAGTGGCAAACAGATAGGAGACGACTGGCGTGACGAAGAAACTAGAGTGAGGACCATAGCGTTGTCTCCGGACGGGAAGAAGGTGGTCAGCGGGAGTGATGATGGTGGAGTGAGGTTGTGGGACATCGATACGGGCAAAGTGATTGGGAGATGGATGAGGCATACAAATGCAGTGAGGTCCGTCTGTTGGAGTCGAGATGGTCAGCGAGTCTTGAGCGGATCTTACGATGGGACTGCAAGGCAATGGGATGCAGAAAACGGACAGACGATCCTCACACCAATCAAGGCAGGGCACTATGAATGGGTGCTCGCAGTTGTCTACTCCCCAGACATGACGTTGTTTGCGACTGGCGGAGCCGAAGGCCCTTGGGATATGCATATCAAGTCCGCGATCAGAATCTGGAATGCCAAGACAAGCGAACTCGTCGCTACTCTTGAAGGACACACACATTGGGTGCTGTGCCTGGCTTGGACCTTGGATGGAAAAACGCTTATATCCGGGTCATCCGATCACTCGATCAGGACATGGAATACTTCAACTTGGAAGCAGATCGCACTGTTGGAAGGGCACAATAATTTCGTTGAATCCATTGCAATATCTCCCAATGGTTGCATTCTCGCAAGCGCATCGTGGGACAGCACAGCGCAATTATGGAACCTTGACGACAACCAGCCCATCAGTTCGCCCCTCCAGCATGCAAATTACATAAATTCTGTGTCGTTTTCGGCAGATGGAAAGTTACTGGCCACTGGCTGCGAAGACAAAAATGCGTACACTTGGGATATTTCTGTGATTGTAAAAGAAGCCGGTCTCGACGAACTTCTGTTGGACGAGCGCGACAAGTCGATTCTCGCTGTACGTGACACTTTTATAATCAGATCCCACTAATCATTTAAATATATGTAGGCTGATGCTATGCACCGTCCTGTTCGACCATTCGATCTCTCTGTGCGTGACGCTCTCATGCTCAGTTCTCATTGCATTTAAACCTATCACTTGTAGGCTGATGCTACACGACGTCCAGTCCGTCAGCCGACTATTGTTCGGATACCCCAAGGTTTCTTGGACGACTCACCAGATCGAGCTCACGTACGTCGTTAATGTCTAATCTAGTGCTGCTTTTCCTCACCTCAATGTTCTTAGGTTTCAGCACGACATCGCCTCCACCCTCGATCGTGGGCGTCCCATGTAAATACCCTTAGTGTCCGATTTTCCTCTTTATTCCGCCCCATGTACTCCGATGCCCAAGATACGTCATCCCGACCTCGTCCTTTCGACTGGGTTCGAAAGCGACTTTCTGGAAGACAAGGCAGTGAAGATATCGAGCTCCGCGCGCGTTCCTCAGCGGTCGTCGATGTTCCCTATGCCAAGGGCAAACGTGTATGTCATCTTAGTTCTTGTAATATTCAAACACCATCTCATAAGACACAGAGGAACGCATCAGCAAGAGAAAGACGGATGAAAATTATTCCATTAAAACCTGGTAACCCTGCCGCAAGCACCTCACGCCCTCCTAATAGCAACGCCGCACAACACTCTAGTGGTGCGACTCAAGCCCAATCTTCGCAAGCACAAGCTACTGTCTCCATCTCCACCGCACTTCCTGCCGCTAACACAACTTCGCACACCAATCCTCATGCGACGATAAACAACGCTGGACGCTGGACTCGCTTCTGGCTGTTTTTTTGTTGTGCCTCTCCCGAGTATACCCATGATCATAATTGATATATCCTGTCCGTTTTCTTGTCCTTTCCGAAAAATATCTCCTCCTTTTCGTCCCTCCAGTACACAAAATGGAAATTTATCGAATACTTTACAATCATGGTTGGTTTTGCTTGTTGTTGCTAATGCTTCTCAATACGTCTCGAAAGCGCGATCTTCTCTCCAACCTCAATACATACGGGCGAAGTCAACTGAATCTTCGCGAGATCCCCTTTCACACTCAGTACTCCACCAGTCGATGTTGAACCAATATTGATCAGCAGGAGCTCGCTCTTGGCGAGTTTCGAGACCTTTGTTTGTTTCTTGTCCTCTGTACGAACGCCAAGTAAACGACGGAGAAGGAACAAACTGATTTCAAGCTCTAGATTCTCTTTAGATAGCAAGAGGATAGAAAACGAGGATGCTCACCGGTGTAGACCTTCAAGAGCTTTCTGAGCGCACCCAGCACTCGACCAACAAGACGGTCCGCTCTGCACAGCATAGGATCAATCTTGGTCCCAACACCAATCAGCCCTCCTAGGACTGCAGGCTGCAAGTGATTGTTTTTAGCGTGCATAGAGACGATCCTGAAAATCGGTTTGCAGCGATAGGTATGCGCTTTACGATGCAGTGTATTTCAGTTGCAGAGATATCGTGTCTGTTAGGAGAATACGAGTCCATGCCACCGAGGACGCACCATTGACGAATGCAGGGGTCGATTTTGGTGCGCAAGAGCCTGGACTTCCTTGACCATTGAAGTCGACTTGTTCTGTAAAATAATGATGTTTTCCAGCTTCATGATTTCGACCACAGCCAAGTGCATGTTTCGTTTTCTGCAATCAAAAGACAGCGTCCATGACTGCGCCACCGTTCAGCATGGTAGACATCAGAATATTGTGACCAAGACAGTCCACGAAGGAAACATGGCGAATGAGTTTCATCCTGTGACCGCATCCTGGCCGTTCGCACGGAGGATTATCTTCCTTGTCTGAGCGATACGATCGACAGCAGCCTGGGCGGGGACATGCCTCGTTCTCGCATTTGTAGATCTATGATGGTAGATTAAAGACAGATCAGATGCGAATCAGAATAAACATACTTTTGCATTTGCATAACCCAGCTTGATCGTGATGTTACGAACGAGCTCGCTTTTGAATCGTACAGTCATGACGCCCGATATGGCCTTCACCACTGCTGAGGACCTATGACAGATTTCCCGGAGCGACTATGGTAGCTAGTGAGTGTATGAGGCAATGAACATACCCCTTCACCCGCTTAGAGAGGTCAAATTGAAAGGAAACGAGCCTCTTGCGCTGGTCCAAAAATAAATCAGACAGAACATAATGGCATCGACACAAAGTGCGAAGACAATACTGAATTGCTCTGCAGCATATCATAGACTATGAAGCCGGAGCACTGAGCTGCAATGCTTCTCGTGCAGCTTCCCTCTTCGCAGCCTGCAGCGTCCACATCCACTTCAGATCACGCTCCACCTTTTCCTTCCTCGCGCGCTGCCTTCGTTTGTTCAAATGACTCCAATCTTCCCCTACACCTACGTCAGCTGCCGTGAGCCGAGGCAATCCTAGTAATTCCGACTTCGAGAGAGTAGAGGTGGGCAAGGGCTTAGGTGGAGGAGGAGGCGTGGCCATTCTCCACAACCAAGTGTTTCTCGGTGCAGCGAGTAATACAGCCTGTTCCTTTCGCGCAGCTTTGGTCACCGTTTGAAGCCGGTGGTCTATTTCCGCTTGCGAGAGCGTTCGCTTGGCGCAAAACTTTTCGACTTCCTTTGAACTCACTAGCTCCGGGAGCACGACTCTCTTTAAATACCTGTGTCATGAGATTGAGTGCATCGACCAAGACTTATATCAGTGTTAACTCACTGTAGAGACCGTACAGGATGCTCTGGATGGGGCGGTCGGGTAGAAGGTTGCCTTGTCATTCCACGCACGACAGTTGGATGCTCTTTCTTCGGCACATTGTGCTCTGGCGCCGACGCATCTGAGACAAGTTGGATCGCTTTTTGTTTCAAAGCCAAATTGTAAATGTCCTTGGTCGACAAAGGCGTTGTCGATGAAACAACTATACTGCGCACGAGCTCACGCGCCGAAGGCAAGCAGTGGCGCGGCCACAGGTTTTTTCGAAATGAAGAAATGGTGGCCATGATTTTGACGTACCAGAATTGCACAGTGTACTGGGAGCTAACAATGGGGTCTGCTTACTAAGACGAGAAGTTTGGGCGTCTACATACTAAACAGAAGAGGTGGTATTCATGACGATTCTGTGCACTGCATCAATAGCCTTAATTAATTGAGGAAGCTTTTGAGAACAACTACGTTCGCGCTATGCATGTAGATGGAACGTACATGCCAATCACATAATCAGACCCTCCCATAGCATCAGTGGCTGAACTGTGTCACGGTGTAGCCGGGCTCTCTTCCTCTGATAGTTCCCATTCACTCTCACGTGCACACTCAGCACCACTTACTTGATGACCACCATGTGTTACTGCTGATAACAACTGGCAGTGTAGCATCTATCAAAGCTCTCTCATTATCGCAGATCTTCTCCAAGTCTTGATAAAATCCTCCTACTGCTGGTGCTCACACTGCACGTGCAAATGTAGTGCCAGAATGTCAAAGTAGAGGTGGTTGCAACGAAAGAGTCGCTCGCATCCTACGACCGTACGGACGTGGTCAAGACATGTGCCTGGTGGCCGCGTATGGACGGATGAGGACGAGTGGTTTGTGAGTACACAAAGTTTCAAGATGAATTTCTGCATCTCAACGTCCATGACAGGGATCACACAAGAAAAGAGAACCAACCCTGCATATCGAGTTGAGGAGATGGGCTGACATAGTCCTTGTCACTCCCTGCCCGGCAAATATGCTCTCAAAAATCGCACACGGACTCTGCGATAACCTCTTAGTATGTCCTGCCGTCTGTTCACGTCTCACTCGGTGATAACCTCCTTTGTTAGACCTCTCTGCTTCATGTGCTGGCAGCCTGGCACCTACGACGCTGACTTACATATTCACAATTCACAGCAATGAACACGCTGGACGAACATCCGCTTACAGTAGAGCATACGCGCATTGTCCGAGATGTTGTGCGGTATCAAATTGCTGGGCCAATTGCAAAGGATATTGTATGTGGGGACGTCGGTACGTTACTTTGACTTTTTGTTTTCGTTGTAGATCACTCGGTCCTTTCTCAAAGGACTGGGTGCCATGACAGAATGGTGTGATGTTGTGAAGATAGTGGTGAATCAAATGAAGTTCCCAGTCACACGACTGATCAAACCAGACGGCTTCCATTCTGCCACAGGGCCGTACTCACATTGCTCCTCAATCATTTGATTACAGGATTTCCGTCGCAAATGAACCTAAATCGCGTGTCTTTCGCACCTCGCCCAATGCGTTCGATCGGACATCGACATAAAACCAATGATCACAAGTTGCCATTCTATCGCAACAATACACCGACAAGACGGCGCTATAGGCACTTCGCCTTAAGATGTTTTGTTTCAGTGCTGCCGTCTTCAGCTTTGCAGCGCAGGTGCCCATCAGATGTTAGTTGGATTTTTACAACATGCCTCTCGAAAGGCGGTTGCTCTTACAGGATCTTGTATGTGAGTGAATCGAGGAGTATTTGTATTACTTGCTAATATTAATGGGTTGTATAGCAACAAGAATCCTCTCGAAGCTGTACACGACAGCATGCTATTCGAATACGTCATCACCGAGGATCTCTCGAAGGCGATAGATCTTATGTGAGAGTAAATCAAGGAGTACAGGATTATTTCAAATCTTGAGCACGCGATAACACGCTCGAATATAACAGCCTATATATCTATTAGGCAGGGCTGATCATGACCAGTTCGAATACGTCATCATGATATTTCTCGAAAGGCGATAGTAGATTCTATATGAGATTAGATCCAGTATAGCAACCATCTCCTCCATACCATCTCAGAATGTTTCGAGGCTGCAAGAGTTCAATCGCACAGTCACGGTGTCCATGCAGTGCGCATGTGCTCGAGCTGCGACCTTCCATCATGCATGTGAGCAACAACGGCCCGCCCGGGGACGGTTTCCTGATCCGATGCCAGTGACTACTTTGAATGCGCGCGAAACTCAGCAGACACCATATATGCTAACCACCACACCCTATAGCAGATCAGGAACATCTCTTCCATTTCTATTGATCTGACCAAGGGAGACTCTTGTGGGAAAATCATCAAATGTTGCCAACAAGTTTACCTCCGCTGAGTAAAGGTGGTCATGCAACACACTGCAAAAGGTGCTTGTCTGGCTTGCCATCTTCCCAAGTGGATATTGATCCGGCCAAGTACCTTATCCAATGCTGATCTTGATGGTAGCTATTCTAACGCGATTATCACAGGCTTGCCCTATCCTTTTACTGCTTAGGCTCCTTGGATGTTTCGGGCGAACTCGAAAAGAGGACTAGGGATTGGGAAAGAGAACAATGGAAGGAATGGATATGGAGTCAACAGACTAGTGAGCAAACTCTGAGATTCACATGTGTTGGAGAATTGAGCGCAGTCACCAGGCGGACATTATGGGACCGGCTTCCGAGCAAGCTCTTATATGACTGCAAAACACTCGGTCAGAATCGGCCCTCGTTATATGTAGACATAATTGATTTCCAATCTAAAGACAGAGGAACATTCGGTCCATGATAGCCCTCAGATCATCATGACTTATACTGCCCTTCTCTCACTGGCCATATTGCGCGACAACTTTTCACGTCTTGACAGGAAGGGTCTCCTGAAATTCCTCAGGTCCTGTCAGAACACCGATGGAAGGTAAGCCCCTACATCATGTCGGACACTTTCAAGGTACAGAACAAGGCTCCTAGTTTTTCTTCTGAGCCTTTAGGAGGCGACTCTGATCTACGCACGACGTTCAGTGCTTTCGCCATAAGCACAATGCTTGACGACTGGTCAGGGATGGATGTTACAAGTGCTCTCCAGTTCATCTGTTCGTGTCGGGTAAGTTTGCGACAACTTCATATCAGGGGTTGTCCTAATAGCTGCTCTTAAGACATATGAAGGAGGTTATGGGCAATCGCCATTTGGGGAGGCTCTAGGTAGCACGCCATACCTTATGATATGATAAAATCTCACCCCACCTTCCTTCCCCAGGTGGCACTACGTATTGTGCACTGGCAGCACTCCGATTAGCTACTAAACAACTAGACCCTCTTGATCGGCAGAAAACCATTCGGTGGCTTGTGCAAAACCAAGCATCTAATGGCGGGTTTCGCGGAAGGACTAACAAGGACGCTGACGCATGTTATTGTTTCTGGTGCGGCGCATCACTGCACGTAAGTTCATAGTGTCTCATGACGTCGACAGAAACTAAAACATTCCAACGCACCAGGTGTTGGATGCAGGCGATTTGGTTGACAAGGCAGAAATGGCATCCTTTGTAGCTTTTTGCCAATTCAAGTTCGGCGGAATCGCAAAGATTCCCGGCGAGCATCCTGGTACGTCATTCTCAAACGCTTTGACTTTGCAGCAAACGCTGTCCTAGATCCCTATCACACATACCTCTCACTGGCAGCGGTGGCGTTGCTCCCACCCGATTCGTCAGAAGGAACACCGTGGGCGCTTTGTCCTCTAGATCCTCTATTGAACGCAACATACCAGACGTCCTCGTGGGCTAGAGCTCATATTCCAGCTCCTAAAGTTGACGATGATGATGCTTTGGGTGATGCAGGCATATAAGTGTGCGTTAAATTATGTTGAAGTAATAGATAGCTGGTCTGGACAGGCACTCAATTATAACATTACATTGACTAGTGTTTGAATGCAACATTGCCTCATGCCATTCTTGTTGAATGAGAATCGTGTATCGTTAGAAAAAGCAGAACCTCTGCTTGACTTACCTCGTCTGTCAAGTGGGCCTCTTGAGGTGAAGGTCACAGACTCCAGAGCACATTCACGCTGCAAGTGCGTCACTGAATCCATCCAGGGTGTATCAAATCCTAGTGCTTATATCAACCCGACTATTCTTATAGCCATTATTCATACAGCATATGTTTTGATTTCAAGACACTCAGCTATCATGTGCATAGACTATAGAATAAGGCCAGATGATCCCCAAACAGATTTCACCGCAAGCGGAGGGTACTCTGGCCGCTGCACTTGCCAATCACCGATCAGCGAGATGATATTATCAGCCTGTGCAATGATCAATGATAAGTTTTAATTCTATAAAAGCTATCCAGCAATATTGCACACACAGTTATCACCCTACGGACACTGTCTTCTCGTCCAATCAGGCTTGCATTATCCGGAACCAATGCGGTGCGCTCCATGAAACGACGGGTGAATTCCTGGCGGCGTTCATGAGCATCGGCTGTTTGCCATAACTTCGGTCCGGCACGTTTAATCATAGATTGGACGACGCGTACGTGTTCCACGCTAACCATTTCGTGCAGCAGAATCCCCAGACAATCGTGCATTATCGGTAGTTGGATGAGGCCAAATGCGAACAAGTCTGCCAAGAAGCGAGAAAAATCCAATGCGACATTCCACCGTCTCATTTCGAGTTTTTGCTGCGGAGAAATAACATACGGATTGTTCTGCATGTAACAGTGAATACTCATCAGAAAGATTTGCGATAAAACGCACAAGAGAACACCAGAATGATTTGAAGTGTTCCAAGACAGCGGTTTGCAAATGGACCACGAAGCAGGTGGAGACCCACTCGGAGTGATGGAGCTTCAATGCATCACGCACTTCTCGCGCAAAGAACGCCGCCTCCGGTCCAAAATCTATTATATTCGCTTTGGCCAAAATTTCCCAGCAGAAAAGTTGGGCGAGATCGCGTACTGTATCGAATGACCATGGACCCGATTGCGCCAGGACAGTCGGTAAAGCAATATTGGGTGCCAGCATGCCAGTGTCAAGTATACGCACCCATGCTGCTGGTGTGTGAGCAGGTGGAGGAAAGTAGCCATACTCTACAAAGCGGTTTGGAATAAATGCCGCGGCGTTCGCGTTGAGGTCAGAATTTATGGATTGGACGCTTGGCACGGTTTCTTGAACCTGTGCCTGATGAAGTTTGCCATACTTGAGTCCGCGAGCTTGTGCTTCGTCATCGACCAATGTCGTATTGCTGCTGCAGGGGGAATTGTTCAAGGATCGATCGGGCGTTCCAGCGCTCGACTGCCGGGAGAGAGCTGCGTTTGGATTCTTGTATCCTCCGAGCGAAGACGCTTCAGATTGATAGAATTGGTTCATTTGCGACATGAGTTCAACGTCAGTAGTTGCCACGGCTAACAGATGAAGGGATAAGTTGGTAGACAGGCTGAGTGGATATGTTGATTTTCGGTGGTGAGTACAGTTCCACTTTATAGGGTAGGAAAGGGCCACAGCTGTGTGGTTGACCTTCACCCAGGTCCTGAACAATGACCGTCAGAGCGTGGTTCAACGTGTTGACATCCACAGTGCTGGTACGAAGATAGCGAGGGGGAACAAAAAGCTTTGTGCACCACTGGTCCACATCAGCGTGCCGAGGCCACGCCACTGATACATTGTCCACGTTAATACTTGAGAGGAGTAACTGTAGTACTTACTTCAACTCCGGCTGATCATGATGTCATCCGACATCGTTCATAAAACAGGTTTGTGATATCATGATGGCACCTACTAGTAGTGTTCATGGTAACAATACCTTATGAACTAGTGGTCAATATGTGACCAGTGAAAATTGAAGGACCAAGCATCAGTGCGGGTGCGGAAGCATGGCCGAGCCACGCGAGCACGGAGTGGAATCGAATTTCGAGCAGTATGTAAGCTCTCTGCTTTGGATCCAGATACTTAAGAATGTATGCATTATAAGAGGTACAAAATCATTTACTTGACAGTTCTGGTCTGCTGCACAAGACTTTGTCGGTGTGTATAGTGAAATGATTGGATGACTTGAAGAAATAATGAGTAATTAATTATAGTCTGTCGACTCACCAGGCGTGTATTATAGGTAGATTTTATCTTTTCATATGTCTCTGGTAGTATATCGGATAGTACACCCGCCTGTCACACCTGCTGTGCGCGGGAAAGCGGGGTTCGATTCCCCGCCAGAGAGTCTTTTGCACTGGTTGTCATCATATCCGCATTTGATGCTGAGCTGCAAACGACCACAAATATTTTTAAAACCATCATTTTTATCGGCTGATAATGTAGGCGATTTTATCGATCTCGATCAATGTTTGGAGAGCCTACGTGGCATATCTACCAGCACGAGATATATCATACGGTACGCCGGGATCGGGTCCAATTGCGTCTACCACGTCATGGCGCGTTTGGAGTTCTGTCTCTTCTCTTTGTTCACTACCATGGCGACTTCTGATCGTATCGTTGGTCTTCAAAACGGAAGCAGGTATCAGATCGGTAAGAAGAACTTTTGGCGATACGACGGATTTATTGCCACTCCAGAAATGGGGGATATTCGTGTCAATGAGAATTAAATTCGGAGCACCGGAAGTCGGCAGACTTGCACTCATAGCAGCAACTACTGACACCATCGACTTCCTATTCCCGTCAGACGTTCTCGAGGAGGACGCCGAGACCTGTCTACAGCGTGCATTTCTTTTCCCTCTCAATGTCTACGTTATGACAGAACCTTAGACAAGTTACTGGTTCAGACAGCCTCAGAGAAGCAGAGCACACTCAGTCCAATGCACCAGAAAACACTGCCGACTGTTTCGCGATGTTAACTCATCCTGGAGTTCCTCCTCATCACCTTGATCTAAAACCAAACTGTATTTGCGCGATTCAAGGAAATCTCTCGGTGGAAAAGGGATTGGTGAGAAACGCGCGCGCGCGCGATTGCACTGCATTGTCGATTTCCAACTTCTCGATATGTTTGAGAGCCACTGCATCTCACGCATCAACTTTTCGTTGCATTCAATGGTTGACATTAGCGCGGACCGTCCTTGGAAGCTTGACCTGCGAAAGGATCCGTTTACTCACGGTCAATTGTATACTACGGTTTTGTCGAGGGTCAGATCTTCAGAACGCGAAGAGACACGCTGTGTCTATTTGCGGAGACAAACGAAGGACAAGACTGTGCAAACATTGTATTGCTACCGTAGACACCGTTAAATAGAAACAGACACCAAAGGCGTGTCCTTGTACAAATTTATAAAGTCGTGTCACATTTGGTACATTATTATAGTCCATCGTATTGAAAGCGCAGAGAAGGAGCTCTTATCGGTCCTCATATGGCATTATTGGCCTCTCCTATGTACAGTACGTAGTGGTCCGAAAGTCATGTCCCGAAACAAATATTACCGCGCGAGATCCCGAGCGAAGTGGAAAAAGTCTACACTAGAGCTGTTAACGCCGTATTTGTAGATCTATAAGATGAAGGTTAAGGATAAGCAGGCAGCAAGAAAAGGAGATACCATTGAAACTCACGTAATGCGAAGCAACCCAGCTCGAGAATAGAGCACGTTGGTATGTTTCGGGAAGCCTCTCCAGCAGGGCGTCGAGACCGACTTGATCGACTAGGGTAATGGGTATAGCGCGTCTCATGACACCCCTGCGACTAGGTACATCATTAAACAGGTCAGAGAGTTCAAGCTCTGCCTGCAAGTTATTGAGCCTGATGGACAACTCGTCCGAGATCTGCGTTCGGGGCTTAGCGCCTTGGAGGCGGGCGTGCTCGCGCCAAATACAGTGGAACTCCGCTGCGGCATTCTCCGAAATCTTTTCTTGAATCTCTTTGACGTATTTTTGATAGAAATCTGAAGGCTTGGCGTCCTTGAAGATCATGAGGTCTAGGTATTCCTGAGTCGTGAGGGCAAGACCGGCGAGCACTTCAAGCGAGGAGCTGGTCACACCGCCTGAAGCAAGTTCAAAACCGGATAATAGATTATAAAAAAGCAATCTCACCCTTGTTCGCACTAGAGTCCTTGAACAAGACAACCTTGCGTTTCTCCAAGTGTAACCTTGCCTGCTGCGTGAAGAACAAATTTGCACCCTCAACAATGTACTTGAAGTGGGGTTTGCCTTCTGTATCCGTCAAAGCAGCAACATTAGAAACGTTCACAGCTTCAGGACTGAATGATCGTGAGCTGATGTTTCGTGCAGGTGGTGACGCAAACATACCGTCCACCGCAAGGCACAAAAAGGTCTGCCTTGAAACGGAAGTGAGCACCATTCCTGAAGTCGGTACCGTCCAGAACGATTTCACCGGCTAGAACAGCATGTGAGATAACAACGAAATTTAAGAAAGTTGAACATACAGGGTAGTCTAACGTCCTGTTCCTCGACCTTGACAAGGTACCCATCCTTGCTCAGCTTGGTCTTGTCAAAGTGAGCGACGGTCAGGCGACATTTGGCGAGACGGATGAGCTCCTCCCTATTGATACCTGCAGGGTCGGCAAGGACACCACTGCCATCGATGATAGCAATGGTCTTGTCGGAACTCAAGAGTATCTCATTTGAACCAAGATCCCCGTCTGCAAAGTGTCAAGGACGACTTCCAAAGAGTAAAAGGCCCAAACGTACCAGGACCACCGGTTTGAACTTTTGTGATGTCTTTCTCCCTCAGTCCAAGTTGCTTGTAAATGCCAAGTACATATTGACGAATGGACAGCGACGTCATTCCATATGTATCATGGGGGATACCACCCAAAAGCTCGGCACTCTTGCCGGTGGTAAATGACTTCCACCATGTCTCGGCACCACGATCGCGAGCGTGTAATGCTGCCCAATCCATCATGTCTGCTGTGCCCTCTTTACCAGATGTCAGTCGCCTCCATGGTATATCGGATATGCAATCTTACCATCAGGGCCGAAGAACAGTAACTCTGGCTTTCCATACAAGTCAACCAGGGGTTCCTTAATCCCTGGAGTTTGGCCAGGGATAAGCAGGTCGATGATAGCCTAATTGAATGATTGATACCCATCCATTGATGCGTAATTGCGCACTTACATCGACATATTTCTCGAAGCAGCGTCTAGGTGGCGCTCCAAGACTACGTGAAAGGTACATAAAAATGCAAAGATGGGAAGTGAAATAACGCACGAAGGCAAAATAGTACCCTTGGCTCCTCCTTCCGGAATATCTTTATTTTTCAAAGATTGAGTGGCAGCTAATCCGTAGTTCTCATCGAACAACATCCTCTGGTTGATAGAGTAGTTTCTGGTTGCATAGAACTCAGCTGCACGATTCCGAAGTCCAGAAAAGGTACACGTACTCTTTGTTCCGCGACCTGACGATTCGAATACCGCCGCGGGCAACATCTCTGAAGCGGATGTGGAAGCCGCGGAATTCATTTCCGATGATGATGAACATTCCGAAAGGTTTGTTTGGATATTCAATCTCAGGCAAAAATTCAGGGGCGAGACGGAACGACAGTGCGACCTTGGTGGGTTGATAGAAGTTCGTCTTCAAAATGTGCCTACGAAAAGTTCAGCTACTAATCAATCATTCGCTTTGAGACCCACTTGTTGAAAATGAGGAAACTCTCGATAACTTGGAGATCCTGCTTGTTCAAGACTGTACGTCTGATTTTATCGTACAACTCAGAGTCAGACAGAGGCTGCGTGGTTTGAAGACGCTGGTATGAGAGAGTAGGACTGGGCGCATCTCGTCAAAGTTACCCAAGACAAATACATTAGCAGACTCACCCGAGCTGTGATGCCTCATCTGCAGCCGGATAATGTGCCATGGCGAAGTTGACATAGAGGAGACGAATCTGTTGGAAAGAATTAATGTGACATCTCGAGTGAAACGAACAACGCACGATTTCCGAATGTGCATGGATAACTTGAGCAATACTCTCCCGCGTGAAAGTTTCCTCCCTGAAGCGTCTCTTGATATCATTGAGAACTTCGGCGTGTGAGGGGTTCGATTCGTCCAAGATATTCTTGAGGTGGAGGTACGCGGGACCCAGGCGATTGCAGAAGTGTTGAGCGAAAACCCAACCACAATCTAATGAACAATTAACTCGATTCTGTCTCAGAAATGTTGAGCATACATGCATAGGTCGCCTCTTGCACAGCATGTCCAGAGTTGACAGAATCGAGGAAAAAGGGGTTGTCTGGAAGACAGTACAGAAGAGATGCTTCTTTCATCACCTGGAATATGGAGTGCTCGATCGGCGCGCCGGTTGAGTTAGGCATCGGATTCAGGTATAGAGAGATTATCGTGATTCCATTGGAGAACTGTTCTACATACTTGCGGGCCGAGTACAGCTGGTAAAAGTGATAGAGGTTCGATAGAGCGCTGAAAATGAGCGTAAGGCTACCGTACTGTAACATAAATAGGTCAACATACCTAAAGAAACGGGAAGTCCCGCCCATCTTGTATCCGATGACAAGACGCCTCTCACGAGTGCCTTCGACTTCAAATACTTCCATGACAGGACCGTAGCGGCTCTCGACTTGCCACATGATTTTCTGGTACACTTCAAGAGTATGCGGGCTCGCCTTCTCAAGGAAAGCGGTATCGGAGACCGTACGGATATCGGTAAGTCCATCAGTCCGAGTTGAGGGGGGTGGTGGAGAAGGGAAGTTGCACTTTGTGATGAAGTAACAACGCAGTTGTTGAGATGCTGTCGCCGATATGGATCCAGTGGATCGGAAAGTCTCAAGGCGGTAACAATTCGACGGAGTTGAGTTGTCGAGGTATAAAGAGTCGATTCTGTGTCAGGCACAAAATTGGCATAGCGATTGTGAGCCGTATCAGATAAACATACCTGGATTCACAGGTAGCACCAGGCCCTTCGGTGGAAGTCAGACCCGGTAAACTGGTGTGGATGAAAGTCGCCCCATTTCCTTTCTCGTCAATCCTCTCGAGGTCGATGACGAGTTTATTGAGATCGTGCTTAGTATAGGCAAGTACCTTGGCACCAAAGAGCGCGATGATGTGATCAGATATTACAGAAGGCGATTCATTTTGAAAGTAGGTGTCATCGATACCGAGCTGAGAATAGAACCAGTTGACTTCGTTTGCAACCAGCTCGCGAGGAATGAAACCCTATGGATGTGGCACCAATATCAATGCTTACTGTGACTGAGAGATGAAGGATTGCATCACCTTGGCAGCGACATCTGCTTGCACCTTGGCACGTTGTTCTTCCTTGCCTTTGAAGACTGGGGTAGTATAACCAGGCAGGTTCTTGACACGCTGCAAGGATGCCTCACTACTAGCCCTGGAGCTAGCAGCAGAAAGACCGTTGAGGTTGTTTGGGAGAACTCCTAGAAGCTGGGACGGCGTCGATGACATCGTCTAGCAGTGATTTTAGAGGTCTATAGGAAATCTACAGGTAAGTCGCGTCTACTTAACCAAGAATCGATTGATGCAGTGAATCGGAGGACAACAATGGTTTGAATAGTGCCAAGAATCCACCTCGTATTTATACAGATTTACGGACCATAAAACTCAAGCTCTTCTGTGTACGGATCTTAGGCTTGTCAAAGTATAATCTGGTATGTAAGTCAAAATAGTGGCAAATAAAGAAAAAAAAATAAGGAACAATTCGGAAAAGGTCACTTGACCAGGTACCAGTCTCCGATGGTTGGTTGGTACTTGATGCACATGGTCAGTAATTATTATGATATATTTCCGCTAGGAGCGCACGGATGTCAAGTTAACATCGTACGTATAGGATTATCCAATAATAACTATGGTGAAGCTGACCCTTATTGTTTCAACCGGGTTCTTCAAGGTGCCCGATAGCGAAGCAGGTGACTCGTTCCATTTTGCAGTCAGCGCTGACACGAATCGGCACTCGGTTACCACAGGTTCACCATTGTTACCGCCATCACTGACAGTCTAATAGTAGTCTGTCTGTCTGTGCTGTTGTAACTGATTGATGCATGGCAACCACTTTAAGGATGTCGATGAGGTTCCATCGAGATCAATCTACAAAATTATTTCGAGTTCAATGAGTAGAAATGCGAACCAATTGCATGCTTCTCGAAGCTTCCCGCGTCATATTGACTCATCGAATCGCATCATGGGATCAACCATGATATTGTTTGAAAACCTCATTTATCCGAATTCGCTATTGCAGCCGGCGGACCTGAACGTTCGAACTCGTGTTCTCTTACACTGCTTTGCCTCTCCGAAGGACCGAAACTGTATCTGCCACGACACAGAATACGTATTTCTCACTTGAGGACAGCCGCATCCCCTCCTACTTATTGTTGGTGCAGGGCGCACATGGGCATGTATGCGCTTACGGCTTGACGCGTGACGCGTCATGACTCGCGCTTGCTAGCGGCATGCACGGTCCGGTTCATGTCTTGACCCATAGCGTACCATTCCGACCTTCAGCTTCGTCACAGCGTCGTCCCCCGAACCTAATTTTTTTGCGATTAAAGTTACGATATATCACGTTTTATTCAAAAATGCCCACCTGACGCTACTCTGCATGACAACGACGCGTTGAATAATTCTGAATGGGCAATGGAGGACCGAACTTGAGTTCGAACGTGCTCAAGGTACATTGTGACACATTCGTGGAGTCGATGTCCTATCTGGAGATATACTTCCACGCCAGAATGGTCGGTCGAAGGAGATGTAGGATTTCGTGACAGCATCAGCCATGCCCTGAAGGAATTCACTGCTGCTCGGACCGACCAACGCTGGGGCTACGTGATTGGTATTGCCTGGCTTCTGCCTGTCGGAGTCCCTCACGGGTTTACTCAAGTATCGAGCTTGGTTTTCAGCAAGAAGCGAACATCATGATGATAACGATGGACACCTGTATGACCAACGGAAAATGTATGAAACCTATGCCTCGGTATATTATAAGATCTGATAGTACTTTCCCGCATTCATGGTTTAATTGGGTCTAGAGGTTGCTTCTACTAGCTTCTACTGCGCGAATCCCCGAAGATCATCATGAGTAGTCAGTTAAATCCGTGGCAAGTTAATGCCACCATATATATTCGAGTGACCTGGCACCTCTTGATCACAGTCAGCACTTTGGCCCGCGCGAATGATAATATCACTCACTTGAACTCGGGAAGCTCCGTCTCAGTCGGCAAAAACCTTTGAGGAGCCTTGCTTGTCTTGCATGGTAAACTCCGTGGTTGGTCCTTCTCTGAATGACCTTTCAACTGGTTCCGCAACTCCAGAAAGTCTGAGCAAAACTTGTGGATTTGTGAAAGCGTGTGCATCTTCGATTGGATTCAAGTTATCGGGAAACGTGCCACTTGCTTGAAAGATTCGAAATCGAATACTCTTAGGCAGGCACAGGCTGCTTTTGCCATTAGCAGTGTCATTGGTGGAACTTCCAAGACTAACGGAGATGCTACCTAGAATAAACATACTCAATTTTGGCACAGGTGTGAAAACGTACCGACGGTTGGGGTGAAAATCAGCGGTACTGTGACACACTGATAGCAGTTTGCCCTCGTTCTACCCGTCTAATTGGGCTGAAGAGATCTAAAGATCAACCTGTACGGTTTAGTTACAGTTGAGGTTAGGTGGGTTTCGCATAAGAGAACATGACAGGACACATGCCGAACCTGAAACAACGAGTGATGCGTCATGACATGACTTGCCATGGTCCATGATGGCCGCTCATTGCGAGTTCGTCGTATGTCCCGAAATCCGCGGTGATGCATGCACATGATGCAGCCGTACCATCGCAAGTTCCGCAGGGACGCTTATTTTGGATCCTCGTATTCATTCAACACGATCTTCATCTAGGGCAGCTTTTAAATTTGACAATGTCCGAGTCGATGACGAAGGTTGGAAGGGCAACCATTGTGCCGGCCGGCGAACACCCAGTTTTGTCAGCCGGTTTTCGGCATGACCGGTAGAACTGGGCCTCGACTCACCAGTGTCGAGCCTTCGAATTCGATTTCGTTACGTCGTACAATTGACTCACCTGACACCCTGTTACCATGTTCCTCTCGCGCCTCGTAATGACTGCAAAACAATTCTCCACATCTGCCGTCACCAGTTTCCCAAAACTCAAGACGCACAGCGGTACAAAGAAACGGTGGAGAGCACTCAGCAATGGCAAGTTCAAACGCGTACGTACCAATCTTCCCGTTTCCCCATCGATCTCGTTCAGCTCAACGACACGCGCAGGCACACGCAGCACACGCGCATTTGAACGTCGCTAAGAGACCAGGGCGTAAGAACGCACTCTGCCAGACGGCATATTCCAGCGGAGCGCAGACGCCGACCTTGAAAAAACTTATGCCCTACGCCTAGCTTTACTTATTCTATAGGTCGGTTCCTTGTTTTGAGCTGGAGAGCATCGCACTCATCACCTTCAGATACTGTGTACTTCTTATATAATCAACATCTATTTCATCAAGAGTGCATGTCTGCGATACATGACACTTCTTGACGACATATGTTTGTCGGCATTACAGTTCCAATTTGCGTAACTGTCCATAGAGCAGGGGATTGGTCGTCCACCTACTATCACAGGTGGTCTCCAAATACACAAGAAGCACATCATATTCGGCGAGGAGTGATACTTGGAATTCAGGAAACAGCAGTGAAGTCACTGAAGTCACTAACGCTTCAATAATTTTATAATTTGAGCCTGTACAGCTCGACGAGCAAGAATGGGTCACGAGGTTGGTCGTTCGCGCATGTCAAAATCAATACAAAGCTGACAGCATCAACTGCGTGATGGATCTAGTATTACAAGTATAGTGCGTTGCGCACTGGCATCACAGTCTAGGTCACTACCTATATCTTTGCATGCCTACGATATTCCAGCCTGATGGGCGAGACAGAGTGAGGAGGCGCATGAGGCGACAGATGCTGAGCACTTGGGTGATGTACTGGAGGTGCCTGACGATATTGTGGAGGCAGGTGGGAGAGGTGAGATGTTTGTTTACTCCGTTTGAACCTATTCTATCTTTCATGACTCTCTGGTGTCATTCTGGCAGAATGTGATGTAGTTAATAGACCTTCGATGATTAGGGTGAGCAAGATCATTTTCAAGAATCACAGATGTTCTTCATCAGTAAACTGGTGAGTTCTTGCTAGGGAATATGGTGCTTTTACATCTAAGAAGTAAAGTACGATGGTTGCGGGAAGGGTCGGGCGCTCGCGTGGCTTTCGCCTATTTCGCTAACGGCCACATGGGAGCGCTTAGCTCGCTTAAACCTCTTTTTGGCAACTCGCGTGGTTTTCATGTATATTTCGAGCGGCGACTCAAATAATGTCGCCCATTGGAAACTTAGCACGATGTTGGTAATACATGGTGTTTGAGCAGGGGGACAACGGGATTTGAGTGTTTTGCCTACTGTAATTGTTAGTTGTCGCAGTATATGTACATAAATGGAACAACATATGATACAATCACAGACAGGGAGATAACAAATGTGGTAACAGGAGATAAGATTCAAATAAAAAAAGGAGACAAAGACAATGCAGACTCAAAAACTGGAGAATGTGAGGACAGGAAAATGGGGAGACGGGAGACGGGAGATGGGAGACAGGAGATGGGAGGATGTAGGAGACAATTGGGAGATGGGTAGGTGTCAGAAAAAAGTTAGGTACCATTGTAATACTGCCAGATTACAAGTTTGGCTCAGCAAGGGCCTTACAAGGTATTTTAACGGGCCGTTCTGAGGCATGGCAAGGCAAAACTCAATGTAAGGTCATCAAAAGGGCCCTTATAAGTGCCTTTTAATGGGCATTAAAATATTATCTTACCCGTTTAAAAGCCCTTATAAGGACACCCTCCAAATAGAGCATTAAAATGTCTTGCAAGGCCTTAAAACCCTGGGAACTTTTTTCTGACAGGCAAAGATGGGAGAACAGATACATTCAATGATACTGTTATATATTTTGTAATTTTGTCAGAATCCTGCTCAAAGAATGTAGAACTGACTGATCTTACTATGTACTATGTACTATGTACTTTATGTGGTGGTAGATTGTACTTTTAGTTTTTTTGAATTGCTCATAAATGTATTTTCAAAATTATTCAAAATGCACAATTTATTAGGATGCAGCCTGAGGCCAGGAAGCCAAAGGAGGGCGTACGCCCTCCTTGGCTTCCTGTGACGAAGGAACAACACTCATTTTCCTCCCCTGAAGGAGCGCGTAGCGCTCCTTCGATTTGTGCCTTCGGCACAACGGGCGTGAGCTCATAGTCATATATAGTGAGAAAACCATGTGAATGGCATTTCGGACGGGATTACCACACCTTACTATATTTGGAAGGTTTTCGGAGAGTGACGGTGTAGTGTAAGTGACGTTGCATTATAAGATGATTCAAACTCCGAGAGCGGTGTTAGTAAGCTAGGTCGTAGATGACATAAGCAGTCAGAGAAGGTTCTTGAAGTTGCCCTGTGAGGGGGTGCTTGCGTGTCGGGGGACGCGCGTCTGGCCTTTATAAGCTCTGAAGTCGACCAGTACCACCACCACCATCACCACCAAACATCCGATGTCCTCCAATGAACAAGGAGCCCAAATTCTGGGCCTCGGAACGGCCTGCTCATACCCTCACTGCTCTCTCCTCGATTTCCTTCCATTCAAATGTCCACACTGTCCAGGCACTCCTGCCTTCTGCTCGGAGCACTTCCATCCACACTGCAATACCGCCCACGCTCACCTGGACCGTGTAGCACCAAACTGCCCTCTGTGTAGTGTTCCAGTCGCGATTCCGCCCGGCGAGGACCCGAACGTGCGCATGGAGAGACACATCAGCCGTTTCTGCGAGGTGATGAATGCTAGCGGTAGACAGCAAGGAAAGGGTGGGAGCAAGATATGTGCCAGGGGGAAGTGTGGTAAGGTATTATTTGCACCCATCGGGTGTGATGTGAGTTGAACATATGTCAATTTGATGTACATAATGATACTAATGGAAATCATACAGAGATGCCACAAAGAATTCTGCCCTCAGCACCGTTTCCCAAACGATCATAGCTGTCCGTCGCTCACTTCACAACGGCCGAACACCAGTTCCACCTCTAAGCCATCTATCAGACCGAGTCCTGTTTCAGCCACTCCCAGCTCATCCTCAGCCAAATCTGCGCCTGTGGCTGTATCCAGACCCGCTCCTTCTTCCAAAGCGATATCAGCACCATCCTTTTCCAAGTTTTCCATCTCTGTCCCAAACGCATTCTCCAAGACTGATCGGTGAGTACACGTCCGCTTTCCTCATCTCAGTATCCACTCATAACGCACCAGCGTTTCTCCCGCTCCCGTTCTATCTACCTCCCCTACGTCCACATCTGCATCGCCTTTGTCCGCAACTAAACCTCCTTCGCCAATCATATCTTCCAAACCTACAAACTGTACTAAATCAACCTCATCAAATTTCCTTGATCCAATGTCTTTTATTCCCCCATCGATCTTCGTATCTGCTTAATCTCACACACCACACTATGTATCAATCCATCTAATGTTTCGCTGTATCAACATCTATATATCCTTTCCTATAGACGCGCAAAGGAGGAGCGCGCGAGCAGGCTCAAGGCCATGAAAGAGCGTGCCAATAGGGGTCTTCTCACAGAAGAAGAGAAGCTTATCCTCGCGCAAGAAGAGGCAGCACGCGCGCAGGAAGTCAGAAAGGGAGACAAAGAGTGTCGCGTCATGTAGCTTTCCCCCCTGAACTTGACTTTGGACTTTCAGGACTTCCCACAGTACCCATATACTACATCGCGTACAGATCCACCCATAGGCCCGACCTTGTATTTCCTTGAACCCCTGTTGGATTTCGATGACACTAGGCTCAGCTTTTGTGGCAAAGTCTGTTGCTCGTTACAATGTAATGACAGTTACAGGAATGTGCTGAACAGTGTGTACTATTGAGTGAACTATGTGACCTTCAGTAAGTTGAGGATCTACATAGAGCTCGGCATGTAAACTTCGCCCCAAACACGGATCTCGATGACTATTTCCACCCCTATACAACTCTGGTACTTGAATGAAATTTTGGTGCAGGGCCTAGGACGCTCGAGCAGTGAAAGAGGACTCAAGTACTCATCGCCAACTCACTGGAGCTCCCCAACTCCGAATTGGAAGAGGTGACCTACGCTCGACGTTATCGATCGAGACAGCGGCACAACTAAGTAATGATAGTACTACGTCATCTGACCAGTGTGAGTCGGAACCTGGTGCTTCTGCATCAAACACTGCGCCAGGGGGACCGATACGCCCATAGAAGTGAAAGCGCGCGGGGGACTGGTGGAGGGAATGAGGAATTTGGAGGGGTATCTCACTATGTGGCCTTCCGACGTTCGTGCTTCTCTGTATACTACAACTCATATGTAATCTACCCAGATACCCACTCGACCAAGCTTGTGCTTCCCCAAAATCCTCTCAGCTGGATTGCCATGACACTAGTAAAAACACAACACCAATGAACAACACTAATAGCGGTACCTACTCTAGGAATGCGGTCGCGGATAAGTCGACAAATAACACATGAAACGAGTGAAGACAGTAAGTGAAAGGAATGAATGCAGTCGATGAATGTTCGCAGAACCAGGATAGGACAAGAAAACTGCGATGGAAAGGAATGTTCGTAGGAGGTTGGCATAGAGCGTGAAGTATGCAGCAAGAAAACGGAACGTCATAAGTGTAATGAGAAACGTGACGTGACGTTGCGGGTAAGAGTGAAGTCCTTGGTATGCAAAATGTGCGTGACTTGTTTATGTGTAGTGCTATCGTCGGACAAAGAAGACCACCAGAATGATGAAAGGGGTGTATGTAAACAGCGACACTACAGACATGACACGGCACCGGAACCGCCATGCTTTTGCGTCTGCATCACATTCGTTATCTCGGCCCAAACACTCCATTATATAATCACTCACCATGCTCGATCTGCGGATCATCCAGTGAAACTCCCTTCTCATCACCAACAACACGCGTGCGCGGTGTGCGGAGAAAGAGCGCAGCGATCCACCAGACAGGGAACAAAACGAATCCCACAAAGAAGCACCACGCATGCACAGGCGATCCAGGCTCATCCTCCCCACGAAAATGCAGCGTCCAAGGCGTCTCTGCAAGTTTCTTGGGCGGGCGTCTAGGATCTCGCATGTGGAATTTACCAGAAGGCACGATCGAAGGTGCATGCGGGGACACGAGCGCACTGATAGGGATAGACGCCTGAGACATGCTTTGGCGTCTCGCGTGATTCTGATTCTGGGTGATTGAGTTGGTGAGGGAGTTCTTGTTGGGGGTTTGTTGGGGGCGGGTCGAATGAGTGGACGCGGCACGAGATGGTACGCTAGGACTAGAGAGGATACGAGCGCTCGTTCGGCTCGACCAGGAACCGAACTTGCCCACTTCGGGCGTTGGCTCTAAATTCATACTCTGGCTCTGAGTGGATACAGGCCGCGAATGGATGGGGGTGCCAAAAGGAGAGGACGATATACGGGCGCGCTTGCGGTGGTACGATGATGGCGCGTGAGATGAAGCAGAGAGCTTTTGACCTGCGTAATTAAATTCAGCAATCAATACACGTTCGGAACCGTTGAGAAGGGGCGACGTAATAGAAGGTACGTACTTCGGTAGCTCTCTGGGACAGCGAAAGTTGCGCGCTGCACGTCCTTTTTCTGCTCGGGCGGTGTGGTGTCTATGTCTTCGGCTTTGCGTTTGCCTTTGATCTTATCACTATGGTTACGGGAGGTAGGAGTAGGGGTACTTGGATCCATGGTGATTGTGCGGGAAGTACGTGCAGGTGTGGGAGCAATGGAGGGAGGGAGGAGAAACTGAGACGATGGATGACCTTGTATTTTGCTTGGACCCATAGGTACGTTTAGTCTCGAAGGAGTATAATTTGGCGAGGTGGCGCCATCCGGAGCGACGCGAGTATCATTTGGATTCGCAGACATGCGCCAGTCCGCGTAACTTGTTGGGCGGTGACGGTGGGTCGGAGGAGGAAGGTTAGCAGGTGGAGATGGAGATAAAGATGGAGATGAAGATGGGGATGGGGACTGGGATGCACGTTCCCCGCCTACAACAAATGAGTGAGTGAGTGAAACGAGTGACTGAAGTGACCGCATAAGAAAATACATGGATGAATACAAAGAGAGACAAGATGCGGAATTCGGAATGTGCGGCAGAAAACAATATCTGAATGCCGTAAGCATTGGACTTACCTTGGGGAGCTGGGGAGCGTGGTCGAAGTGGTGAAGGTGATAGAGAAAATGATCGTGATATGGGCGCCTGATTAGGAAATTGCGCCACGCTGCTACCGCGTGTTTCGGACCCCGGACCCGGGACACCATTTTGGGCAGATGGCCAATTGACGAGGTCAAGCCCTTCACCCAACGAAAGTCGCAGCATTTCGCGCGATACCTCTGCGGGCCATGCATTGTTTGAAGATGAGTTGACACCTTCTGTAGCTTGCTGTGCACTCCAAGAGGCACTGTTGCGTCGACGGGGTCGTGCATTGTCAGATATTGTTCGCGTACGGAGGCGTTGAGCAGCAGGCTGCTCTTCCGAGGAAGGAGGAAAGACATCCTGCACCTTCGGGAGGCTTGCAGAACGTCGGACAGATCGACCAAATTTCATTGATAGCGATACGAAGAAATCATCACCAATGCCAGACGGGATCCGTGATGAACGTTTGGGAAATGAGTTGGATCGGTCCGATGCGAAACCTAATGCTGTGGGAGTAATATTATTAACGTTTTTGTCCTTGAGGTAGGATGACAAAGCCGGGTGGTTCAAGGGCGGCAGAGGGGGTGGGGGCGATGGACATGCAAACGTAAACGTGGATCGGCTCTCGGGTGTCGGATGGCCAAATGTTCCGGGAGAGTCGAATCCCAGTTCGCGAAGGATAGGTGTAGTGAAGTATGCAGTTGGGCGGGCTGTCGGAGACGTATTGGATCGTGGTCTATTGGGTGTTCGTGGATGCAGCCTAGAGGACACGATATCTGTTGGTGATGATTTGGAATGGATAGATGAGCTGCTTGTGTGATTATTGACAGATGTCGTTAAGGTGCATCCCCTATTGCTTGTTTGTGCTAATGTATGGCGATGTGCTATGGAGGATCGTGACACACTATGGGAGCTGACGATAGAGTGCAAACTTTCTGCTGAGCCAGTGAGGCCTTCACCACTCTTATTGCTGTTACTTCTCTTCAGCGAAGGAGAATGTGACGTTCGTCTGGTAGTGTCTTTGGTGGGACTGACTTCTGCAAATCCTGGTATCATTGGGGAGCTGCGCACTCGTCGGCGACCAAACGTGGACCAGTCCCCAGGTGCAGCTAGGGGGTCAATTGATTTTGACTCGCTTAGAGTTGTTTCATGAGCTGGTGAGTCTGACCCAGGTTTATCCACTTCGCATACACTCTCGGAGATGGGTTTTGCCCGCAGTATATTGCGAAGCCCCCAACTACTAACATCTACAGTGTGTCTCCGAGTTCTGGGAGTTAAGCTGCGAGGCAGAGATTCTGAATCAGCCATGTCCAAGTATGAACTCGGATTCTCGAGAATCCTCTGGTCCATGCCATGACGCACTGCCGGGGATGTTTCGATGGTTGAATCCACACCATAACTGAGGGCAGAAGTGGGCGGGACGATGCAGCAGTTTTCTGGTTGCAAAGGCGGAGCGGCAGCGGAATGGTTACCAATACCTCGGCTTCGGATATGAGAGAGAAATGAATGCATCTCTCGTCAAAAACCTCTACTATGCGAGTCAGTGCGGCGCATATGCGAGAATCGTCGAACGTACAGTCACTCCGCCAATTATAATGTGCTGGATCGAATGCGCTGAACCTCTGTTCTGGTGAGGCACGGGGACAGTAGTAGGAACAGGACGTCACGTCCTGAATCGTCACTACCGCCAAGCAACTGGGCAACAAAGGCCGACCTAAACCAGCACGAATGCAACGAACGTTGACAATCTAGACGGAGCCAAGAGAATCCCTGTTCCAGAATCCAGATCAGTTCTCCGAGTAGAACCACTAGATCAGTATCAACCCCTTCTGCAGGGGTCGACTCCATTTACGCGTCGAGATCACATGATCATCGAGAATTGATTACATAATCATCAGCTGAGGCGGTGGCAGCTGCACATTCAGACCGTAACCGCGCTTTCCATTGAGCTGCCAGCTGTGTCCTTGATTTTGCCCACCATGGATCGCTTCGACTCCCTGGCGAGTACCCTGTCAAACCTGACTGTTTACGACCTCAAGAACATGTACAACCAAGTACGTGGCAACGAAAAGCAGGGCAATTGCAATTACACATGCTGATAGTTCATGATATAGGCCAAAAATGTTGTGCTTAATGTCAGCGAGATGGAATCCAAAGTCAGGGAGGCGACTAATGACGAACCTTGGTAAGCATATCACGACCAAGCTCAATGCAGGGCGTAGTAGACTCACAGGGCAACGCAGGGGCGCCAGTTCCACATTAATGCAAGAAATTGCTCAAGGGTTAGTGACTTTCTATATCATATTAAATGTCAATTGACATTTTGCATAGGACATTCAACTTGTAAGCCTGTTACTCCAGGGTTCCGACTGTATGCCCCATTGACGTACCCTAGCCAAAACTTCAATGAGATCATGCCGTGTATATATGCCCGGTTTATGGAAAAAGAGGCACGACAGTGGAGACAGATTTACAAGGTAGGCTGTTTGTGTTTTATCCAGCCCTCCCACTAACATACGCCTACAGGCCCTCCAACTGCTTGAATACTTAATCAAACACGGCAGTGAGAGAGTTGTCGACGACTCTCGTTCCCACATCTCCACACTCAAGATGCTCAGAAATTTCCATTATATAGACGACAAGGGCAAAGATGAGGGCCAGAATGGTATGCAGCTGACAGCGAACCAAACGACACCTCTGACGTACTGCGTATATAGTCCGCAACCGGGCCCGTGAACTGGTAGACCTATTGTCCGATGTAGATGCCATCCGCACGGAGCGACGGAAAGCGAAAGCCAATCGCCATAAATACACTGGCACTGGCAACGATTCCATGAGCTTCAGCTCGGGTGGCAGCCGCTTCGGTGGATTTGGCAGCGATAGCTTCTCGAGTGGAAGTGGAGGCTATTATGGCGACAGAATGAGTGGTAGAGATGGTGAGAGTCTTATAGATCTCAAAATTCATCATTTGTTCACGTTGTGATAGATTACGGAGGCAATTCTGGTTTCAGAGATAGCAATGGTAGAAAGGACTTTGAGGAGTACACTGCTGGGGACGACGAGACTGTTGTCAGACGATCAGGTTCTGTCAGTAGGAGTCATACTGAGTCCCGTCAGGGCACACAATCAGTTGGTTCTCCTGTTCGTCCGGTGCAACCTGCGCCTTCGAAGCCGAAAGAACCTGACGTCGATCTCCTGGGTGGCTTCAGTGACGAGCCGGTGGTCGCTACCAGCGTCAACCCCGTGTCCAACAAGAACAAAGCCCTTCCATCCGTAGGTAATGTCAGTCTCGATGGTGAGGCGCCCATTAGAAGGTTCTTTCAGATAACTTATGTGACTCATGCAGATGATGATTTTGCTGATTTCCAAGCTGCGCCGTCTTCACCCGCACCATCTTCACCTGCCCCAGCATCTGCTTCTCTCTCCACTAAGCCTACGTTGATGGAGATGCTACGGAGTACAAGCCCTCCTGCCAATCGAACACCCACCATGAGCCCATCACTTGGATCACAAATTCCTAAACCCGCTGCATTTTCCAACACTTCTGCGAGGGCGCTTTCTCCCACAAACAGGCAATTTTTCCCTACTACTGCTGGCGGGTCATCCGGCAACTTGTGGTCTACGTCGACACCGCTGTCGCCTACGACATCTGTCCGAACATCAATGTCAGCTGCCCCAATCATCCCCGCAGCTCCACCCCCAAAAGCTTCACCTGCTGCACCCCCGAAATCGTCATCGAACTTCGAGGACTTGTGGTCGTTGTCTCTAGGCACATTATCGACGACTCCAACCGTCAAATCTGGGAATACTGGTAAATCTATTAAAGATCTCGAGAAAGAGAAAGCCCAGGCTGGTATTTGGGCATCAAGTCAGAAACCAGGTGCAACCCAGATGGGGATGGGTAGCGGATTCGGGAATTTTGGTGGTATAGGCACCTCTGGCGGAACATCTGCTTCTGCGAGTGGTGGAGATGACCTCTTGCTGTGAATCATGGTTACAGGCAGAATCATGCGATTCGGGGGGGTGGAAAATAGACGACAAGTGCAGTTCTTTGTTTAATATTGCCACGTTGGTTCATAAGTTTATCTGCTATCAAATTTTGCGGACTGATTTATGTTGTGACCGTGTGCAACAACTCTCCTGTGTAAACCCATCAGGCTGGGCAAGAGTTGGAGATATAAGAGCCGTCATCCCACTTCCTCGCCTCCCTTAACGCGCAGTTCTGAGCAAGATGTGCAAAAATCAGTAGAGCCAATCATGAAACGATATTGCCACACTCCGTGGAGTCTCTTCCGTCTTGGACAGGTGAAATGGAAACTTTGACGGCGTCCAATTCGGTGTGAAGAAAGCTCATGATGTATTGAGTGACGTCATGGATGAATCAAAAACCTCTTGTCGGTGCTTCTTGATCTATATCTTTTGCAGTGTAGACAAGCACACCTTACTGATCCACTGCGGTCGAAGGGTACTGTCAGTCTGCCAGAGTGGGAGGCAGCAAGACAGAAGCGAACCTTCAAAATTAGTGAGTATTTGAGTCAAGCTCACGCGCTGGTTATTCGATCCGATGTAAAGATTGGTAAAGCAACTCAATACCTCTTTGATATTGAAAAAATGAAGCACATATTATCTACTTAAGTATCGTCCACCCCGCCATGCTGGGCTATACCTTGCTGTATGCCTAACCAACAAGCACTGTGTAGTGCATTGTAGGTGGAGACTCCTGGCGGTGTCTAGGTTAGCGTGACCTAAGATATCTGGCCAACATCCACATAAATTCAATGGACATCGACCCAACGCCGACGACGTATGCGACGAGCCAGACCGCAGTGAGGATGAGGCAGACAGTGTTCTGAGAGCAGAAGCCTGCTATCAACATTGCTGGGGACGAAGCAGTACATGAGGACCAAGAGAGAGCACAGCATTAGTCGAGCAACCCACCAAATATGAAGCAATTCAGAGACAGGCCAGCAAAGAACATGGGCATGACCATTGATAAGAGGTGGGACAAGAGGAAATAACCGCCTTGCTTGATTTGCTGATGATGAGTTAGTGAATGTTGTCAAAGAAAAATAACCCTCACCTCTTGAGTCCACTGGCGATCGGCATGTAGCCAACGTATCATGCCCAAGCCAGATGTCAACATTGCAATCATGGCCATCATAAGTGATATGAAGAGTAGAAAATAGGGGGCAGGCGAGGTGTAGTCAAAATACGGCGCGGGAGAGACGGCGGTCACGAAAACACCACTTGTCGCGAGAAGCAAACCAGCCTTCTGAAGTTTTAGACTGTGTAAGCGCCAGCGAGGAGTTGAATAACTTACTGCGGTGACAGTGTTGGTCAGGATAGAGCATTGCCTTTCCCTCACGTTCTTGAATGCGTCCTCGGATTGCAGTGACTCCCAATGGAGTTCAAGATCGGGGCGTCCCATTGCAAGAAGACAGAGTGATCTCGTTATAAAGGACGTGTCACGAAGAGCTCTTGGGAGCATTCGGTCTTCAGCAAGTATGCTTTCGTCGGAAGTCCGAGGCCCATGAATGCTGAAAGTCTAGCGTGGTTCAGTCATATAAGCCTAGCTAGTAAGTCTTACTACATTTTGAAAACGTACCTCTGGTAAAGCCATGTCGAGAGGTCAAAGAAAAGAGTGCAGCTAGTCTACGTATACTGCACCTTGACATTGGCTTATATGCGCTTGAGATGGTCTTGCATAAGCATACCAGCATTTGAACTGGTATGCGTTGGAAGTTTCTGTGCGGAAGCCTTTATAACTTATGTGCGCTTGAGGTACTATGCGTTGGAAGTTTCTATGCGGAAGCCTTTATAACTTGTGTGCGCTTGAGGTATGCGTTGGAAGTTTCTATGTGGAAGCCTTTATAACTTATGTGCGCTTGAGGTATGCGTTGGAAGTTTCTATGTGGAAGCCCTAATGAGTCTCGCAGGATTTAGGGAGGCGTACGAACTAGGGCGTGACATGGGTGGACCCGGGTGGCACCCGTACCCAATCCGCGGGTAGATGGAACTTCAGAGGCCTACCCGCACCCGTACGGGTAAGAGTATCACGGGTGCGGGTGGATCCATGGGTGGACCTGCAGGTGGTATGGGTCACCCGCGGGTGAACTAGTATATGTTATGTAGAACTGTACTGTAGTACATATGAGAACATATGTATGAAATATATGTAAAAAATCAATCAGAGTCAACATCAATTGTGTCACGGCGTGAGGGATCCTCTTTTCCCTTCCCTTCTCCCTTCTCCTTTCCCATTTTCTTTCGCATGATTTTTGTAGCGATGCTGAGATCGGGCATAAGGGGTGTATTGAACCAAGATCCAACGGCAACCTGTGCCTTGAAAGAGCTTTACCCTTTCGATATAGAGAGGATCCGCTACTGAGTTGAATGGGCATTTATTGACCGCGCAACGGCATGTATTTGTTGCTGGCGAGTTAGGTGCCAAAGATGCGCTCGAAGCTGAGTTGAAACTGCTCCTCGACATGGAGGATTGAGGTTTAATTAACTGATGACGAGAGACTCGGAGAGAGGGACCAGGCCACCAGGGCAGCACACATCGAATTTAAACATCTCGAATAGATGTCGGTTGGCGTCATGTTGACAGGCTCTGACTCGGATAAGGACTAAAAATTAAAATCCGTTTGAAAATAGTTTATGGTCATACAGCACTGCTTAGTACCTGTTCAGAACCTTCATACCACGGTTATAGTACCTCAGCGAGCTTGATTTTGACATCGGATAAGTGCAAGTAGGGAGGGTACAATATTCATCTGAAACTAATTTGTCACTCGGCACCGGTTCATACCTCTCATTGGGGTACTAGACCACCCGTGGGTACCCGTGGATACCCAACTTTAGCAAGCCCTCCGACCCGTACCCGTGCGGGTGAGCCACCTGTACCACCCACCACCCCATATCACCCGACCCACGTTCCATCTGTGAGTGGCACCCGGGTGGGTACCCGGTGTAGAGACTCATGCCTCTCATTGTGCAATATGGCAGTTTTCACTGGGGAGTACATGGCGCGAACTTGTAGCATCACTCTGTGTGCTACCCGCAGCTATTCCTACATGAGGCGCAGCTTTCCCGCGCAATGCGCAACTTGCACGGGTACCTTTCCCGCGCTTCACGATGTATATGCGCGCGCGCTTTCCCGCGCTTGAGCGCCCTATAGTGCCAGCCATCCGGAAGCATCCATCCACTGTCCACCAAGTTCCCTAGTGCGTATATTTCCATTTCTCACATTTGCTTATCGTTCCATCTTTATTTTTATCATGGACCCTTACTTACATATATCTTTACATACCTTACTCGGTAGCGCTTCGGCTCCGCATGACAGCGCTTAGGCGCCATACTTAAGCGCCAGCAGTACATACTATGACTTACTCACTTACTCTCCCACCAGAACGACAGAGGACTTACTGGTTACTACCCACTATTTACCTAGCAGAACATAGTAGAAATCTATTTGTTTACACCTCGCATCTCTCTTCTCTTGTCTTACATCATATCATCACTTAAGCAAACTCACTCTTACTCTCTCTCGTATCTGTATACACGCGCACGCTTTCCCGCGCTTCGCACCATACACGCGCGCATTCCCGCGCCTTGCGCGCACCTGCGCTTTCTTGCGCTTCACATTGGCCAACCAGTAGCGCTTTCAGCGCATACCTCTAGATCCTTGCTGCACTCGCTTCCCCTTTAGGGTCGAACGCACTTGTCGTCTCAAGTATAGCAGACTAGGCAACGCGTGACCTTACAACATTTATAGATACAGTCAGGACCTTTGTTCGTGCCTCGCTGTATCGTTGAACCTTCACCGGGTAACCCTCACCCATGTCACGCCCTAGTACGAACACCAATGTAGCCAGAGACAGCTCCTCAACACGCCAAGGAGCCGGCTGTTATTGATGACTAGTGATGTGTGGGCCCGGCTCGGCCTGAAAGCCCCGGCTTGGGCTCGGCTTTTGGGGGCTTGGGCTTCGCAAAACCTCAGGCCGAGCCGTGGGCCAAAGCCAGGCCAAAGCCACGGCTTGGCTTGGGCTCAACGACGGCTTTCAAAAACAAAATGACTCGAAATTCAATATAAGTAGCGCTCGAGTCCTACAGTACTTCGTCATCGTCTGCTGAATCAACATCAGACTCTTCCTCCTCCAAAATCAGTGTATCCCACCCCTCATCATCTGCTGGCTCGACTTCTAACCCGCCAGTCCCATGTTCGGAATCTTCACTTTCTTCTGTAAGGGATGAGGGACCAGGCTCCCGGAATATAAGTTCATTATGAAGAGAACACTTTACGCATTGTAGAGCCTCGACGATGTCTCCTTTCAGCCGATTACGCCGCTTGGTGATCGTGATGCCTCCTTGCGAGAAAGCTCGCTCGCTCGAGACAGATGCTGCCATAATGGATAAGTAATCCCTTGCCAGCGAAGCCCACACTGGATACCTTAGGGCATTGATCTTAAAACAATAGTCAGCATTGAGTGAGTAGCAAGTGAAAGTGACTTACACCCCACCACTGAATAGTGGTCATACCTGCCAAGGGAGCGGCCTCAATGGTTTTGATATAGCTTGTGAACTCAGCCCTCCATGGTTTTGATGGATCCCCAATGGACGCGGCACCTGGTTCTGCCTCGGAGTCATCTTCAGAGTCACTCTGAACTTCCCGAATGAGTTTCTTGAGGCTGCCAACCTTACTTTTCGTAGTTGCAGGCTGCGACAATGCAAGTGACTGATTGAGCTCGTTGTAGCGTTGTTCGAAGACGTTCTCGGCACAAGCAAGCACATCATCGAGCAAATTCGATGGCCAGTGCTTTTTGAAGTATGCGAGTTTGGCTGTCGGATCAAGTACTAGTATGGTAGAGTATGTTAGAGTCAGAATGATTGGAATAGAAAATGACGAACACATGGCAATAACATAGGCAGCAGTGTCTGTAGTTTTCTCATAATATTCATCTAGCTTCTCTGCTGCTGCCTTGAGTGTGCTGGCAAACTGAATATACTTGGGCCTTTTCGCTCATGAAGACCATGATTTGTGAAGCGTCTCCAGTGCAGGAATTGCAAGATGGAGAGTTGATCCTCGATCGGACGAGAAAGCTTGCTGTGCCACGTCGGCATATGAAAGAAGGTCCGTGAACTGGCCAACCCGTGTCCACTCCGCAGATGTCAATTGCAGAAAGTCGATTTTGGCACGCTTCGATAAATTTTGCTCTTGGTGTCCCATTTCATACACGAACATATCGACATGCTGTAATGGCAAGTCAGAGTAAGAACAAAAAGGTGTGGTGGTGTATCATACCTGCTTGTTGCAATCGGCACAATTAAGCATAATGTAAGTCGAAGACCAGCGGACCTTCATATCAATTAGTAGTTGTGTTGGCAAAGAGACACCTGCTTTTGTCTGAACAGTTCTATATAGCTCTTTCCATTTCGCCGAGGAACGTTCTTTGACACAGATACTGCGGACCAGACCAATCTCGTCACGATTGACCCTCTGAGCTAGATCCGGTTTGTGAGCATGCGGGTTATGGGGGTCGTAGTGGGGTGCCTTGCTATAGGTACTGATGAGTCGTTGCATGCCGAGATTAATAACATGCGCTAAACAACTGTCAGGGTTGTTAGCAGTTCCATCAACCAAATCGAAAAGACTTACTTTATCTTGCGTTGACGCCACGGGAAATCTTTGTGGTACTTCGCCTCGTACAACTTCGAGAATTCCTGCAGCATGGTACTATTGTTTGCTGCATTGTCGCATGTGACGTGGCCAATCTAGGTCGAGATATAAGCACAGTCATTGAGGAGGTGGAATTTTTACTGACTTTGTGTGCGACACCGACACAATCAAGCACCTTGAATAATGCACCCCCTAGGCGCTGGCCATTATGGGCATTATTGAGCCGAGTAAAGCCAAGTAATGCATTCCCAGGTACCCATTGCATTGGATCGTTTTCTTCGATCCAGTGTCCAGTGACAGCAAAATAACCATCCGAGTCATCGGCCTGCCACGCGTCACATGTGATATTGATTGCACCGCTGACGGATTGGCTCTAAAATCATGTCAGATAAGAGCAGATACTGTGAAGAATAATACATACATTCAATTTCTTTTTGAGTTTGGTCAAATGGTTCTTGAAAACACGTATGATTTCAGCACGCGTGGCCTTTCGGCCTGGAATCTTGACACCCTGTGTAGCACGCGAGGCAACATCTATCATTTCTTTGAACTTAGGGTGCTCAAGAGCCTGTATGGGCTAAATTCTGTTAGTTTACAGCCGACAATATCAATATGAATGAGTCTTACCTGATCTGTGGCGACAAGCCACTCAATTGCAGCTTTTCTAAAATTCTGGTGGGTGTAAGGGATGGCGCGCTCTGGCAATTTGCGCTCAGTCAAGTGCGCATCAATCATTTGCTGTGCTTGTGCGGCTTTCTTTTTCTTGGCTGCGATGTCACCCGGCAATTTAGATGTGAAGGCGTTGGCCTTGGCCCATGTACAGTATTTTCCCTATGGACATTTAGATCTAGTACATCAACAAATAAATAAATGAGAACATACAGTGAATTTGGCTTCTGCATGACGGCGGAGGGTTGACGTCTCGTTTACAATGGTACATTGAGCCCTAAAATATGTAGTGTTAGTGATGTAAAGACATATGCAAATGATGTGACAATGTACGGACAAACTTTGCACTTTCGATGTTTTTTGACCTTGCCATTAGTGTGAGTGCACTCCAACGGTTGACTGAAGAATTGGTCGATGTCGCGAGTTTTATCCTTGTGTGTGGGAGATTCATCAATGATGGGCTGGACATCAATATCTGCAAGAATACCGTCTTCGTCAACATCTTCTTGAGCTTTAGCAGCTTTCTTGCGATGGACTCATTTGCCTGACGACGCTAGGTCAGGAAGGTACATTATCTTGCAGATAGACTTACACTTTGGATTCGTCCATGCATCTTCGCGTTCGTCATCACCGGATATCTCATCTTCATTGATTTCTTCGACACGTGCCCTTTTGCTGGTGGTTTCAGGTGCGGTGGTGTCGACATTTGGTGCAGGAGCAGACGGGATGGGTGCTTGTGGTGGTTTGGTGGCCGGAGGATGGGTGTCATCGGTGGTGCGCTTCAATGCCTCTGCAGTATGAAAGGCGTTGATGGCTCTTGTTTGAGAAGGGAGAGCTGCCTTCTCGGAGTGCTCCAGGAGTGCAGCGGTCGGTTTGACTTTGCGCACTGGATGCACTACACGTGGCTCATCGTCACTGTCTGTATGGACCATTCCGACCATTAGATTTTTTCAAGTTAGAGCAAGGGTAGCGACGTACCAGTACCATAGCCATGAATACCTTTTATCCCACTACAAAGGATCAAGATCGTGATGAAAAAGTATACTTCGAACACAAAGCAACATGAGATAGAGTAACATCGACGGTGCGAAGCACAAAGATGGGCAACTCACCTGGGTTTCTGACATATGAAGTGTTTGTTGGATTTGCGGAAGAGACTAGAGTAGTAATGGTTAGACAGATTTAGATATAGTAAATAAACTCATACCTGATGTCCGGATGTCCATGGAAGTCTGTAACAGACGATTCGACTCCCTAAAGTAAGGACGCATGGATGTCGATGATGGATGTGCAGGGACTAAAGCCGCGGCCTGAGCCGCTGGCTCAGGCTTCTCAACACGTCAAGCCGGGCCCTGGGCCGTGGTCAGGCCCTGACTTGGGCCTGGCTTGGCTCGGCCTAATCAGGCTCGGCTTGGGCCGGCCCACGGCCTGAAGCCGGGCCGTGCACATCACTATTGATGACTAACAGTATGATGTTGCAGATAAGTAGCTGAACCCCGGACAAAAGAAAAAGACTAAGGAACGACTGCTATTGGGTGACTATCCGTAGGCCAAATAATGTAGAATAGATTAATATGACGGACCTTGAAACATATCTGCCAAAGATAATCCGTACAGAAAACCAAACCGTAACGCACTTTGAATAAAATAAGTCGACATCCGTGGCAGGGCGTGTTATATGCGGTGTGGGAACTTTTAATAATCACGTGATGGACACCGCCGATCTTAAAACTTCACACCCAGTGAAAGGCTATGAGAGCCCTAGAGATCTCTAGCGAGTCTCAGAGAAGAGCAAAAAAGGAAAACAAGTGAGATATAGACATAGCGAGAAAATGGCTAAATGAAGCGAAGATAAGACACATGTAAAACATTGTAAACTGGTGTGGCACGGTTTTGTGTTTATGTGTCTGCAGTGTCAAGCTCAAATGCCCTGCCACGCTTCTCATATCATACTATTTATGTGATATGCCTCGAACTTATACCTGTGATTGTCTATGGTTATGCGGAGGCGCTCTATGCGAAGTCACTTGAGCACAATGGCGTTATCATGAACAACTTCGGGGACCTCAGACAGCTGCGCATATCTCAGTCTGGCAGCTTCGAGAAAATGCAGGTGTCTCCGGTGGAACTCACACAACAGGTACTAGTAACGAGAAAGATGGCGATGAAGACTCGGAGCTCGGAAACCAGGCAGATCAAGACAATGATCCCTATTTACCCCCTGGATCTCACTGGCATAGTGGGTCACTCTGATTCATTCAAGTTGGACTCATACAAGGTATACTCAAAACAATAGGACGGAGAACATTTTACTGGTCCCCAGCAACTTGAACCTGATGATGGTCTCATTGTACGTAGTTCTACTAATCTATTGCACACATACGGGAAATGCTAGTACCTGATACAATAACACTGTAGGACGAGGAGAACTTCATGCATCCCCAGCATTCTGATGGGGACTCAGGCACCTCTGCAGAAGGTCACAATGAACATGGAGATCCACTGCCTCTGGATGTTGATGAGGAAGTGCTCATGAACGAAGTTTATGACAAAGTCCAGCTGGATGACCTTCGTACTTCTCTGGCCATGATTATGGGTATTCAGAATGCCAAGCTTGATGACCCTGGTATTGGACTTAGTGCTGATAGCCTCGAACGCCTGCGTAACCCTCTACGATGCACTCCATCCTTGGACGATCCAGTTATGAAGGCTGCAGTCAAGACTTATATGAACCTGCAGCATTCTGATCACGACTATGTATCGCAGCGGGAAACTATCATGGAACTCACTGGCGAAGACTTTCCCTCTCTCTACACGATTAAAAAAATTGTCGCCAAACTCAGTGGAGTCAAGTCCTTGATGCACGACATGTGTCTTGACTCGTGCTATGCCTTTGTGGGTCCGTTTGCCGACTGCGATCACTGTCCAGGGTGTGGAAAGCCACGCTACAGAGATGGAGCAAAGAAAATCCTGCAGTGACAATTTCCAACAATTCCAGTCGGTCCGCAGCTTCAAGCACTTTTTTGTGACCCCAAAAGTGCCGAGGAAATGCACTATCGTGATCTGTACACACAGAAGGTATTCGAGGAACTTGCGGAAAATGATGGTTGCAAGCAACACTGGGATGACTTCTTGGATGGGTCCGATTACCTGGAGGCAGTTATAGACGGCAGGATAAAGCCTGGTGATGTCGTCCTCATGATGTCCGTTGATGGTGCTCAACTATATGAGAGCAAGGTGTCGGACTGCTGGGTTGGCATTTGGGTTGTGTTCGACCGTTTGCCTGAGATGCGCTACAAGAAGCGCTATGTTTTACCAGCCTTTGTTGTTCCTGGCCCTCGTAAACCAAAAAATCTCAACTCATTCCTCTTCCCTAGCTTCCATCATCTTTCTGCCCTCATGAAGGACGGCTTCACAATCTGGGATGCTCACCGTGACTTGACGTATATCTCACACCCCTTCCTTGCCCTTGGCACTGCTGACGGCCCTGGCCTTGCATACTTAAATGGCCTCGTTGGGCATCATGGCAAGAATGGCTGCCGACTTTACTGTGGTCTCAAAGGATGACACAAAGCCGGCACACCGCACTACTACCCTGTCCTAATGAAACCAGATAATTTTCACGTCGATGGCTCAGATCACCCAGATATAGATGCCGCGAAGCTCGGAAGCTGTTCTAGTGAAGTATACTGGAAAAACCTTGTCCATGTCCTTCTCTCCCCCACTGAGGCTCAGTATCGTAAGCGACGCTTGGAAACAGGCATTTCGAAACCGACAATCTTTCTTGGGTTTGCCGAGAATCGCACCTTTGGTATCCCAAGATGTTTTGGGTCTGATATCATGCACCTAGCGTCTCTCAATCTTCCTGACCTTCTTATCCCTCTTTGGCGAGGAACTTTTGAATGCGACTCAGATGACGATAAGGACTTGTGGCATTAGGCTGTTCTTATAGGTGATGTGTGGACTGACCATGGTAAGGAGGTCGCTGAAACTACGCCGCACCTTCCTGGCTCTTTCGATCGGCCCCCTCGCAATCCCGCGAAAAAAATTAACAGTCACTACAAAGCCTGGGAGTTCACACTGTACTTATGGGGTCTCTGTCCAGCACTTTTGCATGATGTCCTTCCCAACCCTTACTGGCGCAATTTTTGCAAGCTCACACGTGCTATTCGACTTCTGTCCCAGCACTCAATTAGTTGAGTTGAACTTTGCACAGCTCAGCATTGCATCATCGAGTTCACAAAGGAATTTGAGTCGCTGTACTACCAACGCCATCCTGAGCGCATTCACATGATCCATCAGAGTATCCACGCTGTTGGACACTTATCCCCGAGAAGTCGAGACTAAGGGCCCTCTCATTTGTGCATCGCAGTGGACAATGGAACATGCACTTGGATACCTTGTGTCTCAAATCCGCCAGCCTTCGAACCCATATGCCAATCTTGCAGAGTGAGTCTTCCGTCAGGCCATCCACAATGCTTTACTTGTCATTTTCCCCCAATTGGAGCAAACACTGCCGCCATCTTCCCCGAAAGGATCTCGCAATGCTGGTTGTGGATATCTCCTCAAATGCAAGCATGAGCGCTGTCATCATAACAGCACAATATCAGAAGGATGGGCCATTCGACATTACCTTGAGACAGCTGCAGCTCTGCAATCACCCGAGTTTGGATATTTCTGTGCTGATGGATCCTTCAAAGTGTGTTGTTGGGCAAGACTACAACTGCCTAATGGTCAAATCAATCGCTCTGTGTGGTGCCTTAGAGAAAACAGGCCAAACGCACGATGAGCGAGAAATGTAAAGGTGAGCAAATTAAATTCATCCATCGCCAGTTGATGTCGTTGAACATACTGTTAGTTAGATATAAATGGTGCTCTTCACTTTGCAGAAGTCCGTTACTTCTTCGAAGCTCGTTTGCAACTGGATCACCCTCCTGCGGCTCTTGCCCTTGTTTCCGTCTATGGTCCCCCCGACCAGAACCTTCTGGCATCCTCTTCATTTACTGTCTGGTCGTGCACATATTGAGGAGAAGCTGCACTTGCTGTTATTCCAGTCACCTGCATTAAAAGTGTCGTCGCTATGGTTCTGCATAGACTTCGAGGTGACAATCAGTTTTTTGTCGTCAAAAAACCTGGCTTAGATGTTGCTGATATGGGAGGATATGTTGATGATCCGGAGGACAATATTCAGGAAGTGAAGATACTGAAGGGGACAGACTTGGAGATACAGAATAGTCACATTTCCGCAGTTTGAAGCACGGAACAAGTTTAATACAGTTGACAACAACAACAAGCAATGGTACAAGTTCAAATGCGAGAAGAGTCCAGTAGTCCAGTACAACAGCACGAATGTGCAAGAGACGAGTCCAGTGCAATGGTACAAGTGTAAGTGCGAGACAAAGAAAAAATGTTCAAGAATGATGAATCTACTCAGTTTTCATCAGGTCTCCGCTGCATCCAGAACAGGGTGAATGCAGATTCTGTGTATAGTAGCCGGGACATTGGTTCTTTGTCCCTTGCTGTCCCATAGGCTGGGATGATTACGAACAATGAGAACATGGACTTCTTCAGCATGGTAGATGTTGGCAACTACCTCTGGTAAGTCCTTCTGGGAGGACCTGATAAAATAAAACCATTTTAAAGTGCATATATCCATGTCAAGAAGAGACTTACCCATCTTGCTCTGCAACAACTGTGGTGTCGGCTTCATTTGCAGGTGTATCTGCATGAATTAAACCGAAGACTCGAATAACAAGTGTCTGAAAAAGCATTGACTCTCGCTATCTCTAGTAAAAAAGACCACTCACCTGCTCGTCAAGTGACTGAGGTGTAAACCGAACTGCATAAGCAGTGTCTGGTGAAACAGCTCCAAAGATATTCATCTGAACAACATTTCCAGCAGTATCTGTGTTCGAAGTATTGTCAATGATAGTATTTTTCTCCATAGCAATTGAATTAATGGGAGAGTCATAAATGGTCGTGAGTGGTATTGGTGATAGAGACGATATTGATAATTTTGTGAAGTTACCAAATGCAGACCATAGCAGTACGTTCGACCTTTGCCACAAACCACAATGTCCTCAAGGCATCGCAATGCCTCGGAGGACAAGCTACCCATGTTACCTATGCCTCCAAACTATACCCCTGCGGTGTCCTCACATTCGAGTTATGGTGTCCATGATCATTTTTATCGTCATGGAGATTATGATTCAATGATTCCAGAATCCTTAGGGGGATATAGGCCACCTGGCCAAATTCACGATGTACTGGTTTCTTTCGCCTACCATATTATTCAAAATTCACATTCTTACAGGAACATTATTCACCAAGCGAGCACTCCTTCACAGGAGACAGCTCAACGTCACACAGCTCTAGCTCGCATCACTCAGCATATATGCGTGAACTTGAGTCATGGAATGACTTGTTGAAGGAGAATAATACCAATTTGGAGGCCCGTAATCAGCTTCTCCAGATCAAACTCAGTCAACTTGAAGGAGAGCTCGAAAATTCCAAGTAAGCCATATCATCTCAATGTGCTGCATTGTTACTGAATTTCACTAGGTGCATGTACGACAAGCTTCTCGATTGTCTCAACTCCCTCTCTACTACCACTCCTCCACCATCAATGGTTCCAATTTCAGACCCGTTCATTGCTGTTGTACAAGCATCACGTGAAGCAGACGCACTCACCCCATTCTTGCTTGCGAAGACTACCATGATGTGGTGTACTGGAACCGTGATAAATACATGGACGATTATGACAATGGTCGTGGCACCTTACGGACACATGCTAACGACAGTTCTGGGAAACACGGCTTCCTGGAAGATGAAGATGGTGTTATATGCTCACAAAAGCGCCAGCAAGAGATGCACAAATATCAAATGCAATTGTGGCACACACTTCGACGATACAATCATGCACCTGTTACTTGGATGAAAATTGACTCGCTTGCAGCCGAATATTTTCGGTGCTCCATGCGTACAAAGTTTATTGAGCTTTGCTTGTGCCACAGAGACTGGAAGACCGACCTCCTTGCCATATGCCACTACTCTCAGTGGAGCGACCGTCCACGCACTGATGACATGATTATAATCAAACAAGAAGCCCCCAATTGTCGTGTGAAGCAGGAATTTCAACCGTCTTCAACCAAACGCCCTGCCTCTCTCACATTGCTGAAGCCCGCACATGCAGATAAAAAAACCCATGCCTTGTTCACTAATTCAAACGTGAAGCTACCACGATCGACGTCAACCACGACTCATTCTAGGATTGCAGTACCTGTCGTCCACAGTGATGCATTTGACCATGTCATGGCTCCTTCATTGATACATCCCGCAAAGTCGCTACCTGAGAAGAACAGCCCCAATATCGATACTATGCCCAATGAAGGCTCTTTGCCTACTGTATCTCCCAGCATCACAATGCCGAATTCATGCAGTACAGTACCCCAGCCTCTCAAAGTACGTGAATATTGATATTTTTATTACTTTGCTGATTGTTGTAATTCCAGATCATCAGTGCATTGGACAATGTGTTTGATGGTGACACGGAGCAACACAACACCATAATGAATAGTGCAGCACTTGCATCAACCAGCCTGGCCGAGTTACTCGAGAAAAAAACTGTTTCTGATCGTACCAACCTTCCTGTTCCCCCTTCTGCTACATCACGACTAGCATTTCTTGAAAGCCTCCATTCTGCTCTTACTACATCAGCCAAAGGCTCTATCACACCATCGAGTAGCATAACCCAACCAGAGAACATCGCATTGTCAACTGTGACTGCTGCAGCCATCAAAAATGGCAGGAACACTACCAACACTCAAGCCGAATATCGACCAAATAAGTCTTTCACTGCACGGTGTGTTATTTTTGCAGCACTTCAGTGGTGGCATATTGACCCGGCATTTACAGCAATTTGTGCGGGATCGAGTGGAAGAAGTCTCATAAAAAGGGTACCGCCGGTGAATTTGCTACGTACTGGACTTCGCTGCCAGAAGAGCAAAAAGATGTGAGTTTCTCGGTTGTCTGTGTAGCTTCCCTACTAAACATCATTTCACCACCGTAGTTGTACGAGGACCGTTCTAAACAGGCTAAGGGGGCATGCTCAATTTTTTTCATTTCTTTCACTATGATCTAACATGATGTAGCAGGCTAAATCGAGCGTGTCTGCGTCCCTCAGAGTCGCTGGTGTCGATACCACCCCACTACCACTTGCAGCCATGTCTTCGGTATCCTAGAAACACGACTCCCATGCCCTGTACTACTATGCTCAACCTGTCTACTTCTCACAACACTGTTTTTTCTGCATCCTGTCTACTGCATTGTTTCTCTACTGCATTTGTACCGTTTTCGCTGCACTTTTATACTGTTATCACTATCATTTTTGCTGTCAGTCGCTCAGATGTTTCATTAATACATTGATTTGTTCTTGTTCGACACGGCTGTCTCTAGTTAGTTTCATCATCTAAGCTCCTCGAGCCCCAGCAAGCCATAAAACAGACCCCGATTTTAATTCGCTGGGGCTCTTTTTGATGACATTCAGTCATCTGTAAATATACCCCCAGCAAGATAATGGCTAAAATAACGAGCCCCAGCGAGCCGATTTGGCAGGAGCGCTGGGACTCGCTGGAGCTCTCTCCGACTCTCGCGACCTTTCACTGGGCTTCACAAGAGAGCTTAAGAATTGGGCCGTAGTGGTTCCTGTATATTGCAAGATGGTGGAACTAGGCAACAACTATCGCTATGGAGGAGATGCGCGAGACGGGGACCTCAGATGTAGATTACTAAGCGATGAGTAAGCAGATAGCAAGGGCGTTAGTGGCCTAAAACGGAATAATCCGTCAATTATAATCTGTAAGGGGGGGGGGGCCGCCCCCTACAGATTTAGAGTTTGTGTGAAGAAAATAATGCGCGGGAAAGTCGTCCTAAATGAACAGCGGCATCGCGGCAGGATTTCCCTGAATGGTATTTTAGCGCGTCCAACAGCCCGAATATGATCTGGAGAGATACCTGCTGCCGCAAGAGAAGTGGCACTGCCCGCATTGAGTGACCAGAAATAGAGTTGGGAAAGAACATCCGGAGCTTCCGAATGAACCAGGAACGCGTAATTATAAAATTATAAAGGCTTCCGCATAGAAACTTCCAACGCATACCTCAAGCGCACATAAGTTATAAAGGCTTCCACATAGAAACTTCCAACGCATACCTCAAGCGCACACAAGTTATAAAGGCTTCCGCATAGAAACTTCCAACGCATAGTACCTCAAGCGCACATAAGTTATAAAGGCTTCCGCACAGAAACTTCCAACGCATACCAGTTCAAATGCTGGTATGCTTATGCAAGACCATCTCAAGCGCATATAAGCCAATGTCAAGGTGCAGTATACGTAGACTAGCTGCACTCTTTTCTTTGACCTCTCGACATGGCTTTACCAGAGGTACGTTTTCAAAATGTAGTAAGACTTACTAGCTAGGCTTATATGACTGAACCACGCTAGACTTTCAGCATTCATGGGCCTCGGACTTCCGACGAAAGCATACTTGCTGAAGACCGAATGCTCCCAAGAGCTCTTCGTGACACGTCCTTTATAACGAGATCACTCTGTCTTCTTGCAATGGGACGCCCCGATCTTGAACTCCATTGGGAGTCACTGCAATCCGAGGACGCATTCAAGAACGTGAGGGAAAGGCAATGCTCTATCCTGACCAACACTGTCACCGCAGTAAGTTATTCAACTCCTCGCTGGCGCTTACACAGTCTAAAACTTCAGAAGGCTGGTTTGCTTCTCGCGACAAGTGGTGTTTTCGTGACCGCCGTCTCTCCCGCGCCGTATTTTGACTACACCTCGCCTGCCCCCTATTTTCTACTCTTCATATCACTTATGATGGCCATGATTGCAATGTTGACATCTGGCTTGGGCATGATACGTTGGCTACATGCCGATCGCCAGTGGACTCAAGAGGTGAGGGTTATTTTTCTTTGACAACATTCACTAACTCATCATCAGCAAATCAAGCAAGGCGGTTATTTCCTCTTGTCCCACCTCTTATCAATGGTCATGCCCATGTTCTTTGCTGGCCTGTCTCTGAATTGCTTCATATTTGGTGGGTTGCTCGACTAATGCTGTGCTCTCTCTTGGTCCTCATGTACTGCTTCGTCCCCAGCAATGTTGATAGCAGGCTTCTGCTCTCAGAACACTGTCTGCCTCATCCTCACTGCGGTCTGGCTCGTCGCATACGTCGTCGGCGTTGGGTCGATGTCCATTGAATTTATGTGGATGTTGGCCAGATATCTTAGGTCACGCTAACCTAGACACCGCCGCTGATCTACCAGCTCTGATGTTTACGTGGAATAATACAACAGCGCAACGCGAGCTCAGTATACCATAATTAGCTTCGGAACTAAGGTGTCAGTTTTCGCCTCCCGGTGCGCTGGAAGCCTGACAGCATACTTCGAACACAGTGTACCGCTCTATAATAAGTTGATTTCTCCCCTCATCAAAGTGCGCTTGTGGCATCTAGTCATCAGGTGGGTATGTCATCTTGAAAGTCGCGTGGGGAGATAGGTAGAGGGTGCCAAGTACTGGCACTGTTAAAGTTTGAAGTGTGTTTGATTAATTCGCGATTATATTACGCTGAGCAACTATTCAGCATCAGCGTTGCTTGGTAATTCCAAGGGCCGTGAAATTCATTCATTCGACGAAGCTTGTGCAGGCAGAAAGAGTAATTTAAGCACAAACTATAACACCGGCGTCATTCTTCATCGATGCATCATGATCATACCAGTGATTAAATGACGATTCTGGACGTAGTAGTATAATACGTAGATGCATATGCAAACAGAACCAAAACGGAACTACACGACTTTCTTCCGTGACCTACCCCCCTTTTTTACGGTCGACGTGTCCGAGTCAGAATTGGAGAGGTACGCAAAGTTGCGTTTTATTGGCTCCACATAATTCATGCCGAGCTCGCGCAGGACAGCGTCTTCGCTTTCACCTTCTACAAACGTCCAGTACCCTTCCTCTGCATCCGCTGGGAGTGATGGGTCAGAGGTCCACCTCCACAGGCCGAATTCATCGAGGAGCAGGCCCAGTCGCGCAGCTTTGGTACGGATATCGATATTAAACTCCTTGTCCCCAGTCAACGCGAGTAGTGCTGCTCCCTTTGACTTTATAGGGGCGAGGCTGCACGCCATTAAATCAGTGCGCTAAAGATCTTTATCAAAACTTACTTCAAGTCCAATCGAATGTAAAGGCCCTGCTGCTCGTGAATGCGCTCGATTCGTTGAGAACGTTCTTCCCAAGTTCCGTCTACAGTCCTTTCAGGTAGCCGTATCACACCTTGCCACTTCTTGGAACCAGGCGACAGCGTCTCAGCGATGAGGCCACGGCCTTCGAGTGGGAAGACCACATCACGCAAGAGAAGCGAGTCCTGAACTTCCCGTAGCTTTCTAGATGACGTGTGAAAAGGTGTCCTGTTGATTCCTTGTGCAACTGAGCCATTCTTTGACGGGGGCGTAGGCACATGAACATGAGAAGGGTGAGTCAACATTATATCAACGCCCAAGAACGATTGAGCACCCCGCCGACTATTGAAGTTAACACAGAAAGAGGACAGGGATGCACATTGCTTACTAGCTACCCACGAGCTCAACATCAAATTTACAAGAGATGTTCTCTGAAATAAATTTCTAGACATTGATGAGCCGAGGAAGTATTCTTCGAGCAATAAATCAATAACGCACAGCAAGTAGTTCGGCTTGACCTCTCTCGACAGGTCGTTCAAGATGTCCGTGGTATCGCGCGCCGATTTGCTGCGAGGGACCCAACATGTCAAAGAATTTCGGTTTCTTCAAATCCCCGATGGATGTACAACCCGCATCAACGAGGGCTTTCGCAGTCCTTGGGCTGTAGTTATGCAAATTGTCAGAACATCGTCAAATTCAACGCAGGGTGAACGTGTAGTACCCAATGGCGGAAACAGACTGCAATGACCGAGCTATCATGTTCTTCCGTTTCGCCTCAGGATCCGAACTTTCTCTTGCCTTGGATTTCAATGTTCCTTCAGAAGGTTTGACAGCTTCCGGGTCCTGGAGACACGCATGAAACCCATGGACACTTGCAAGACGCGTAACACCTACGGACATAGTCTTTACCCGACAAGAACGCGTCTATCCTGTTTCTGATTCCGACGCCTACCCCCTTCAGCTACACACAATACCTAACAGTGAATACTAAACTCGCAGGGTCAGTAGCAAATAGTTCTAACCTTTTTCACCTGAGCTACGTCCCGCACGGGTTCCTCCAGCGTGCCAATAGCCTCGATAGCTCGTGCAAACGCGCGAACTTTGTAACCGTTTCTGTTCGGACAGGTGTTTTCACGCTCTAAATCTACGTCGGGGGTTGAGGATTTTCTCTGCAGTTTAAACTCAAGGAACTCACTTTGTGATAGCATTTGGAGGAGTTCATGGTTCGGACCGAGATTTCTCGTCGAGAATGTTCTCCTCGAGCATGAACCATGGGAGAAGAAAGTGGTTGCTCGGAATAGTGAGCGAGACAGCATGAAATGTACGCTCCTAATTCTCCTTGAGATACTTCAATCAAGCTGCCAACTTCCCAACTCACTGGTGGCTTCTGTTCGAAGTCCAATTTGATTACATAACTTCATTTTGTGTCAGGTGACCACTTGTTCACTTACACAAAAGGAAATTAGGACGAAGGAACTAGTCGGAAGAATATTTTCACGAGTGCCACAGAAATCGCCGATACAATCGTTCACTTCACAAAAAAATGGCGATGAAGCAGAACTTAAAATACGTAAGCACAAATGCGAATCGAATACGATGATAAGGTCATCACTCCAGCCTAGATACCCGCCATTTGCATCCTAGCTTGCCCAGCAGACTGTGCTCCTCCCTGCTGCCCTGCGGCACCCTGCACTTGCTGCTGCCCAGGTATGGTCTGACCGGGTTGTGCCAACACCAGGCCCGGTCCCATCACGAATGCTGCGACTGTCTTCTCCTCGAGGTCTGCATAGCGAACGCTCATCTCTTTGCGCTCTTTGCACCAGTCATCGGGATTCCACCATGTGTATGTTCCTGCTTCGCCCCCTGGGATTTTTGATGATGGAGCACTGCCGCTTTCTTTTGTTATCCAAATCCGTAGGTCTTTGTGGTATCGCCAATTGCGATTCCACCTGTGAAGCCACGAATCAGTCTAAATCCGTAAGTATGGCAGCCAAAACAACACTGTGGGAGTATCGAAAGTTTTCTGAGACATAAATCGAGACCTACAATTCCTGCGCTGCTATTTCTTGCAGTGCATCCCTCGGACTTGAATAGAACATGAAAAACAGTGTCTCATCACTGAAAGCTCCAGCCTTGGCTGGCCCTAATGGCGGTGGTTGAGCGCTATAACACGGAGGCAGATGAAAATCAGGTTCAACGCTATGGGCTGCAGATTGATCTGCCCACGGCGTAACAAATGTCGAATACAAGTTTCTTTCATGTAACATAAGCAAAAACAGCCAAGCGTCTAGTAATGCATGACATACCCCTCGTAACCCATGTCGAGTCCCATTGCACCTAAATCCGTACCGACGCTACTCAGACCTCCATCTGCATCAACACCAGCGTTCTTAATCATTGCGAGCAGGCCAAGCAAGCCCCACCGGTCCGCTGCGGACATGAGCACCTGCTGTGCGGGAGTCTGTGGATGATGGTGAGCCTGCACAAGTGGGTTATGTGTTGGTTGTGGATTATGCAGCTGTGGGTGTGCGTTATGCTGATGCGGATGTATATGATGCGTCCCATTTGACACATGCGGGCTTACTCCCGGAGGTGGCACACCGGGTGGTGCACTGAGATCAGCACCAGACGGTGGATTCTGCGATTGAGTCGAGTTCTGGCCACTTAATGGCTGTTGACCTGCCTGACTTCCCAGCGCTGGAAAATCATCGGGGCCAAAATCTCTGCTCTGCGCCACTGCACCTGCAGCTCCTGACCCACTCTGCCCTGCCTGCGTTGCATAACTTGTGACGTTAGACCCTGGTGCAATGGCAGGCGTTCGGTGCGCATTTTGTTGCTGAAGGGTTGGTGTCGGATAACTCCGTTGTGGTAGAGGATATTGCGACGTTGGGTAGGGAGACCGAAATTGCGACGACAAACCAGCTGGAGGAGCAAGACTTGGTGGTCGCTGTAGAGGTTGACCTGGGCGGAACTAAGTGCAACAATGGCGCCAGAGCAAGCTGAGAACACACCTGGTCGGTTCATTATGAGTTAACAATATCTGCTATAAAAATGACTGTTATTATGATAGTAGATGCAGTGAACAAGAGCAAACTCACGGTAACTTGTTTGACGGTTTCTGATGTTTTGCGTAGCTGGTCGACGAATATCTTATGTTGATGCTTGTTTGTTGACCTGTAGCGTTCTGTTCGCAGAGCGCTTAGCGCTTAAATCTCGACTTTGACGCCATCAGCTTGGCTATGTCCAGGCAAAAAAATCAGCTGCGTTTCCTAACAAAGAAAGCAGGCGCAAACTGCGATAGATTGTTATCCATCCGTCATGCATCATGTATGTAACTTTTCCCGTCGAGCTGCTGCACTTATATTACTACAATGTGCATGGTGCATGGCTTATCGCTGACCTCCAGCATGCAGCACACCTCTCTGACTGGATGTTCAGCTGACCGGCTCTACTATATCTTTGTGTGGACGCACGTGGACGCAATGGCTGAGTCTATCCCCCCTCTGGGTACCCGATGATAATGCCGTTCTACTTGCGATGTCCTACCTCGGTCCTCCACATACTGCCCGCGGTGATTCTGCGGCGTTGTCCCAACCAGAAAAGATGTACATCTACAAACGACCAGCAACGCAGAGATTTCAGACCATTCATGTACACAGACGTGCGGGCCCCTTCGACCTTCGTCGCACTAAACTGAACGAGTTCCCACCTCATAGCACACCGACTTTTGCAAACAACTGGTACTCGCCTCGACGCAAATCGCTCGGTCTCTTACAATGCACGGTCTCATTAAGGATTCGCAATCATAACGCGCCACGCGGTCAACCCACGTTCTCCAGCTTTCCGAACATCGTCCCGTTCGGTGTTGCCAGTTACCAATCACCGCTCGTGCAACGTACTTCGAATTAGCTGACCAGTGGTGCCTGGTTTTCCAGTTGGAAACGGGTGAACTGAGCTGGCTTCATAAAAATACAGCATGCCAATTTTATGAAACTGCTTTCTGCCTTGGCAATTTTTAGCCCCGTATTTCTAGCCTCTGTAAGTGAATGAAACGGATGTTATGATCGTGTTCCAGGGTAGAGCTGGTTCCTGTGGTGTCACACAATTATTATTTTGTGGTGAGCCCTCAGTGTTTTGCTTGTGGTCTTGGCCTTTTCTCCAGTCGCGCGGGGCCGATGATACGGTTCGGGCGCCTGATGGAGGGATTCTAGACGCGAGAACCCTGAGTTCGACTAGTCGCCTTCCCGTGGCCACGATCTTTCATTGGTTATGATCCATTCATCAAGGTTGCGTCAAAGGGGACTTCAAGTAGTTGAGAGGGACCATCATTCTCTGGCATGTTACATGCCCAAGTAAAGTGTTCTTTCTCAAACTCTGGAATGTGGCTGTCATCATACCACAATTGTGCTAAATATAACCGGGGAGAACGTCAGAATGAAATCTGCGCGTCAAATTGCCGTCAATGTGAAATTTATGCTCCGACACGCTAGGGCCTCATTTCGGTTGCGTTTCGGTATGTAAGTAATCCTTGCAATCCTTGCCATCGATTGGATTGCCGTCGATACCTCTGATCAGACAAGATGCTCACAGTGACATTAGTACGTCCATCTAATATCTGGGAGATCCTTCTAACATTGCTGATGGCATGCGCACAGATTAGACATGGAGAGTCTACGCACAACGTAGTAAGGCTGAATTAGTGGTCTGGCGATACCCACTGATCGCAAGATAATTGCAGCTAGCTCTCTGGTCGGGCTGCACGGAATGTCCTCTCACGGAAAGAGGTAAGTGATAGTTCGAACACACGTTTATCTAACGAGCATCGCGACTGATCTTGGCTATCAGGAAAACAGGTAAGCCTTTCTCCCACTTCTCCCTCAGCGCAAGCTGAACCCAAGAACAGCAAGCACGCGCCGTAGGCGCATACTTTGCAGACACACAATTCACCAAGATCTATGCGTCTCCTCTACCCCGCGCACGGGACACAGCCCAAGCGGTACTAGACGCGCAACCCACACCCAAGCCTCCTCATGATTTCACCATCACCGACATCAGAGAACAAAGCTTTGGAGCCGCAGAAGGGCATCAGACATGCGTACGGGAGCCAGGCAAGACATTCGAAGCTCACTTTGCGGAGGGAAAGTACCCGATATTATATGAAAGCGAGAAACACGTGGCGTTTCCTGGTGGAGAGTCGGTGGATGATTTGATGAGGAGGGGTGAGAAGGCAGTGAGGGATGTTGTACTTCCTCATATAGTGAATGTTGCGAGGTCTGGGGGCAATGAGCATATCGCACTTGTGAGTCATGGGTTGTGTATTGCGCAACTGGTGAGCGCAATTGTACGATTGGGTGGGGGAACATGGAAGCGAAAGGGACCCATGGTTAATACGGCGTGGGTGAGGGTAGAGGTGCGGATTCAGGTGAGTGTGACGGGTATTCAATACGAGGCGTTGCTCATGGGTGAGTTAGGGTGAGGTGCCGCTGCAAGTTGCGGACGACGAGGTTCCTGCGATAGAAGTGACAGTGACGGAAGAGGGCAGGGCAGATCACCTTGAAGGCCTTGTGCGTTAGTTTCGTTTGTGATGTCGACGGCTGACGAGAACATGACTGACAGCTGGACGAGAGCTCACTTTGCGGCATGAAAGCGATTATGGGTGGAGGAGTGGTTGATGCAAAGATTTAGAGCCTGAATTTAGCGGAGGATATCGCGCAGACATCTGCGGATAAGTACATAGAGCTTGCACATACATCACGGAAACCGCTGGTTGCAATGTTGTTTACTGACCGGAGCCGTCATAACTTATGTAACCTCGGTTAAGAGGTTAAAAGTGGATTTGCGATCAAGGGTTAGGTGCCTCACACCACTGAGACTAGCATCTGAAGGTTCGAAGCACGGTGGTGGCTGCGCTGAAGCTTGAAGCTCTAGAAATTGAAAGTGACTATGATATGTCTATTTCATGCCTTCAGATGTAGTTTTTAGATACGGAGCTTTTGTAAAAAAAAATCCTATTTATTGGCAACGCCCGATGCTAGACAGTATGCTTCTGTGTGCTAGAATCGATGATGACACCGGTGTAATTACGAACCATTGACTTGGATACGGAGCTTCGAACAGGGATACGTGGAGTAGCGGGCAGTACTGGAGGTCTCTCCTCGGACTTAGAATGTGTGTGCCGTATTGATGTTTACTTCGGAAGCTTTTGCACGAAATAAAATCGTTATTGCATCATAAATTTGTCGCCTTTCCAGTGTCAAGGTCGCCGATGCAGTGAGATCCTCAAGATCACTGGGCCAGTGATCTCTCAAGATCTCACTAGTCACAGTAGCATTTTGTCACGAGTGGTCTGAGCGCTCTGCACAGCTAGAGCATTGGATGCTACAAAAAGTCTCCAACATGTCGAGACGTGGCATCAATTCACCTCTACTAGATCTCCGCTCGCAATGACCCTACAGAGTTTTCCGGTGGTGCGCTAAAGATTTGCTGTCATAGAACTGAATTAGGATGCTAGGTTCTCACGTTCTACGGGACCCCTGATGAAAGAACACTCACCGAAGAGCAAACAATCCCCGCATCTCTTCGTGACACGTCTTCTTTCACGAGAGTACTTTGTTTTTTGGCACTCGGACACGCTGATCTCGAAGACCACTGGGAGTCCCTACAATCCAAAGAAGAATTTGAGGACGTGAGGCAAAGGTTATGCTCTATCCTGTCCAACACTGTCTCCGTAGTAAGTTATTCAACTCCCCGAATTCAAACAGCCGCTGACATGGTTCAAGGCGAGCCTGCTTCTCGCGACAAGTGGCGTTTTCGTGTCCACAGGTTCTCCTGTGCCTTACTTTAACTATTCCACACCTGCAACCTATTTCCTACTCTTCATGTCACTCATGCTGGCCATGATTGCAGTGTTGACATCTGGTTTGAGTATGATTCGCTGGCTACACACTGATCAGCAGTGGAGTCGAGAAGTAAGGGTATTCCTGATTTACCCATAACATCGGCTGACATCTTATCAGCAACTTAGGACAGGCGGCTACTTCCTCTTTTCCTACCTGTTATCAATCATCATGCCCATATTATTTGTTGGCCTATCCCTGAATTGTTTCATATTCGGTGAGCTCCGCTAATTCAGTGCTCTCTCTGGGTCCTCATGTGCTATTTCGTGCGCAGCGATATTGATAGCAGGATTTAACTTCCAAAATACCGTCTGCCGCGTCATCACCGCGCTCTGGCTAGTCATATATGCCATCTGCATTGGGGCAATATTAATGGAATTCGCGTGGAGGTATGCGAAAAGCCACAAATCGCAATGACCCAGACACCGTCGGAAGTTTCTACCATTACTTTTCGCCTTTTTACCGTGGTGGAATCTTTGGCGCTTGTATGGATGTACAATAAGTTACAACTACATAACGGGGCGGACGATACTCCGGCGGATACTGCGTGCTTGGGTAGAGAAGGCTGTTAGTGCTAAAAAAGCCTAAAGGGTACCTTTACCTCAAATATACCAATACTTACTTCGAATAGATGGATTATCGGCGCGAAAGCAATTGATACGTCAGAATATTAATTCTTTCTTGCTTTTGTCTCTCTGTGAGCGCCCTTCGAAACGCTCGTGAATCAAAGGATAAAATCAAGGAGACGGCTTAAAGGGGACTATAGTCACGTGCTGATTTAAAGCCTGAGGGCATCTGCTAAGCAGTGTTCAGTATTTACGGTTGACGACCTGGACGATGAGCGAACCCACTGATGCTGATCGTGTATGGTTACTTTGTTTATTTATGATGAAGATAATTGATCATTTGTGCAACAGATTCGAGCAAAGCGCCTTGCAAAGTTGCAGGCAGGATCTGCGTCTAATTCACCAACTCCTTCACCTGCCTCTCCCGGGCCTTCAACCCTCATAGCCCAGCTTCCCCAACCAAAACCAAAACTTCCTTCTGTTCCACCTCAATCAACAACCCCGCCACCTCAACGAAATGTCCCTGTGAAGAGGAAGCCCACCGCACCTGCTCCCAAAGTTGATTACCAGACATGGGAGAACGACACAATATCTACAGTCCTCAAGGTTACACTTAGTGTATGCTCTTCACTTCTCTGCCGTAGCAGTTGTTCATCAATGAATAGAAATCTACTGCAGAGGCAAACGAGTATGATCTCGTGTGGCTCAAGCATCTTCAGGTTGAGCTCGAGTCTGAGGGTCACCGTACGTCTTTTCTATAAATCCACTTGTTTAACTAATGTAGCTTTATTAGCTCATATGACTCTTACGAACGATATCGTGGATCGACTCCTCATCACTCGCCTCGAGCTTAATGCGCAGGCCATGTCGTAAGTTTCTTCCTTTGATCACCCTTTATCATTCACATTCATATTTCATTGATCCTATTCAAACGTTTGCGCTCGATCACCGCCTGAGTCGTAAGTGATCACTAACGAAGTCATAAATACAGCGACGACCTCGAATATGTCTCAGTGCTCGCCTCTCTCCCTCCTCAGTCCGTTTTCGAGTATCTTGTAGGCTGCTGGAAGCGTATCAACACTGCCAAATCAATTTTACTCAAGAAGGTAATTTCACCCCTTCTACACCCTCATAAATCATCTCACAAAATTCTAGAACCCCGTCTCTGAAACCCAGCAAGCCACCGCACTCCTGAACAGGCTCAGAGACCTCATTATCAGTTACATAGGCCTTAACCTTCAGGATCCGGAGATGTTTCCACAACCCGCTGAGTGCGTTCTCCCCATCTAATTGATGTGTCACTAAGTAATTATTCTTTCTCTTTTTCGCTTGTCCCAACTTTGCCTTCTCTTGAATGTATAGTCGTCTACCATCAACCCTTGGGTCACACGAGCTACTCTCACCCCTGCTCTCCCTCTCTGCCCTGTCTACGCCTCTGTACGCATCTACAACCGCCTCTCAAACCACGCTGGCTCCCACAGAGGTTCAGCCATTCTTGCAGGACCTTGTCGCTCGCTTCGCAGAGCCAGTGCGTGTACTTTTACTTCACAACATTCTATCGTAGAACACATACGTTCAATGTCTGCTCCTCAAGCTCAAGCTTAAACTTATATATTCTTTAGGATGAACTTTTAATCACGCTAAGCACCCTCGTCCGCACCCTCGTCGCGCACACCCTTCTCATACCATCGGAGGGCATTGGCGGAAGCGGTGGGGACTCCGCATGGCGTGGTGTCATAGGAGGCATGGAAGCCCTCGTCGGGGTAAGGCCTATCGCGGAGATGATCACGAGAATGCCGCAATGGCTCGGCGAGGGTTTCGGGGTGGAAGTGACGGCTGCAAACTTTGAGAGGCTGTCTCTTATGGGCCCGCTGCTTAGGCTGGGGACGTTCAGTCGGGAGTGGGTGAGTATTGTACGGTGAGGCGTGTGGATGATGTGTCTGACATACGTCGTACGCCAACAGCCAGGTATTGCGCAGATATACTTTAGCGACCCGACGAAACGCAGTCGTGCGGATGTGGACTCGTCGAATGCGAGTTTGAGAGGGACGTTGAAGAGTTTGCAGGTGAGTGATTTTGGCTTACGCTTCCTTGTATGGTTTTGCTCATCTTCGCGTCCTTTCATTTGCACCCGTGCTTCAGTCCTCCCTCTTTCAAATATTTAACACCCTCGTGCGCACATCTCCCGAAGCGCGTGAGCGGGTATTAGAATACTTTGCGACAGTAGTGCGTCTCAACGTCAAACGTGCAGGAATGCAGGTACGTTCATTTTTCCTCCTGCGCAGCGAGATGCTAATCAACACATGCGCAGGTTGAGCCCGATACTGTCGCGTCGGACAGCTTCATGGTCAATCTACAGAGCGTGCTGCTGAGATTCGCGGAGCCCTTTATGGACGCGAGATATACAAAGGTTTGTTCGTTTATTTTCTCAATGGATTCCAGTCTCCCTCATGACTTGCTGCTATCTTTCTACCACTGTAAACATCATTGCGTGGTCGCGCGCATTTTGTGTATTGTTCTGTGATCACAGATGGACCGCATAGATCCCTATTATTTTTCAGTATCTACCCGAATCGATCTAAAGGAGGAGACGAGGATCAAAGCGACAAGCGATGAAGCTGCGCAATGGGTCGAGGAGAGCAAATCAAAGGGTGGGTGTTCTCTCACCTTAACATTACCCTACTGATGCCTGTCCTCTATAAAACCAAAATTAACACGTAATGCAACTATGTGGTCGCACACGCCTCACCCAAACACTATTACTTTGACCGCCTCAGCCGCAACGCCCAACTTCATCTCCGACATTTTCTATCTCTGCAATGCGCTGGGACACTATGGATATATACGCACGATACAGATGTACGAAGACTTGGGGAAGACTCTTGATGATTACCAGAGGCACCATGATATGATTACTGGGGATGGGTCGTGGATGGGGGTGCGTATTTTTTCTTTGATGATCACTTCTACCATTTATGTATAATGAACTCATGTTGTATCTGCAGACACCTCAACAAGCGCACGTGCAAGCCACCATCGAGAACGTCAAGGTAAGTATTTTCTCATGCACTCTAACCCATGGCTTGAGTGTAACAATATCTTGCACGAAAAAAAAGAATGAAATGTCAAAAATCCAATCCCAACAACTTGCGTACCGCGTCCAGCTGCTTGATCCTGAGCTCGTGTTCCGGTATATAGGGTTCACGAGCTTTGCGTCAACTTGGTTGATCCGGAGCGTCGATCCGTGGGGGACGCATCCGAATCCCGTCGTTGAGTGCGTCTCTCAGCCTTTGGGAGGTTTTTTTTGGCGTGGTGGCTGATACGCAGTATTTTCTGACAGGTTGCCCCTTTCGAAGGACGTTCCGATGACGTTCAGAGTCCTTCCGGAGTTTATTATTGAGGATGTGGTAGAGTTCTTTTTGTTTGTCGTGCGGTATGTTTTTTTATCGCTCTTGTCGAGTGCACATGGGAGCTGATGGACTTGAAGGCACTCGCCAGAGAGTCTTGACTTGTCTGGGAAGGACGAGCTTGTGATCTTTGCGCTGACGTTCCTTACTTCGACATGGTACATCAAGAACCCGTTCTTGAAAGCTAAAATCAACGAGGTGCGTTTCCCCCCTTCGCTTGCTGCCGTCAAAATTCGCTGACGTTGGGAATATGAGACAGGCGGTATTTTATGGTGTATTGCCGTACGCAAACGACAGACACGGAATTTTGGGACACACGCTGAACACGCACCCTGTCGCGCTCAAGAATTTGATACCGGCGTTGACTCATTTCTATATCGGTATGTCTTGTCGTCAAAAGCTGGATGAACGTTGTTCATGATGTTTTCAGAGGTCGAGCAAACGGGTGCTAGTTCGCAGTTTTATGACAAATTCAGTGAGTGGAATTCTTCTATGAATGGATAGAATCTGAGGACATCGATATCTCAGACGCGAGGAGGAATATCGCTTACATTCTGAAAGCGGTTTGGGATAATCCTGTTCACAGAGATGCCTTGAATAAGGAAGCTCAGTATGTTATTTCCCCTCACAATATTCATGCAAGACCAATGTTATCATCCAGGAATGTCGACAAATTTATCCGGTTCATCAACCTCATGATCAACGACGTTACCTATCTCATGGATGAGTCTCTCAGCGAGCTCACGCAGATCCACAACATCCAGACAGAGATGCGCGATCAAAACGCTTGGAACGCTCGTCCTCAGCAGTACCGACGTGAACGCGAAGGTGCGCTCCGCGGCCTCGAGCGACATGCATCTGGATATACCACGCTGGGCAGGTCCACCGTCGGTCTTTTGAAGGATTTCACAGCAGAAACTAAGGGGCCATTCATGATGCCCGAAATCGTGGACAAACTCGCGGCTATGCTGGATTACAACCTCGATGCGCTCGTTGGGCCTAAGTGCGGCGAGCTGAGGGTGCAAGACCCAGAGAAATACAAGTTCAATCCCCGTCAGCTCTTGAGCGATATTCTGCAAGTGTACATCAACCTCAGTGATCAAGAGGAATTTGTTAGAGCTGTTGCAAATGACGGAAGGAGTTATAAGAAGGAGCTGTTTGAGGCGGCGATGGAGACTGCGAGACGGGTGCCGTTGAAAACTGAGACTGAGATTGGGGTTGTGAGGTCTTTTGTGTCCAAGGTGGAGGAGATGAAAACTACGATCGAGGAGGAGGAAGATTTGGGCGAGATACCGGATGAGTTTTTGGGTCGGTTTTTTTCTTTTGTACTTCGTCATGGAAAAAGGCTCACGGCGAATTCATCAGACCCTCTCATGGCCACGATCATGCGTGATCCAGTCACGCTTCCATCCTCTCGCGTCGTCATAGACCGCTCGACTATCAAGTCTCATCTGCTCTCTGACTCCAAAGATCCTTTCAACCGGGTGCCGTTGGTGGTAGAGGATGTTATCCCCAGTATGTTTTTTTCTGTAATGCGCATTTGCCATGTTTGACGTGATATCGTAGATGTGGAACTTAAAGCACAGATCGATGCGTTTATAGCCGAGAGAAAGAACAAGCGATCAACAATAGAAGAGGGGATTGTGAAGATGGATGTTTCCGTAGATTGATTATATCAATCCTGTGTCGCTAATTTTGCATCAGGTTGATATGAATGTGATGTCTTTTTCAGGAGTTCCTTTGAGATTGGATACCGGTCGAGGAGACGAATGTACTTCTCCTACCGCACGTCTGTTGTAGACACGAGTAGAAGATAACATCTACATATGTAGATTATGCGTAACTTTGGCTAAAGTTTATGTCCGTCTTCTATGTTCATGAACCTGCGCATTCCGGTCTGCCTGGTTGAAGTGGGCAACATTGAACTTGCCTGTATCTCAGCCTCAATCCAATGCACCTGTGTTCGCAATGCTAAAGTCGGCGTTAGTATTGGCAACAGCACTTACAATATTGAATACAACATTGCACCTCTGGTAAGGGTATGCCTGTCATCGTTAGAGCAGACGGGTAGAGGCATGAAAAGCAAATATGATAATGAACATGAAATTCTACTTCTTTCGTTTCTTGCTTCCCCGGGCATTGCTCGCTGACCCTGCCCTGGCTCGTCCCACCGCCCCTCCTCGAGCAAGCTGCTTGACACGCCCTCGTCCCACTTTTGATTGACCTGTATACATCAGCCGAGAATAAGGCAGGAGCGAAAATAATTTACCAGGTGATGTTTCTTGCACGTCCGGGTTGTCCTCTTCATAGTCCGTGCCTGCGTCCGTGCCTGTGATGACGCTAGGGGTGATCCCAGCGCCCTCGTCTCCACTCTCCTGCGTGAGGGCACTGCTGTCGCTATCGCCTCCTACTAGACCAGCCATATCCGCCTTGCTTTTACTACGTTTCGTGGTCTTGGTCTTTTTCGGTTTACTGGGCTGGCGCGGGGATGGTGCAGGCGTTGATGATGGAAGGGAGGCCGTTGCACGTAGCCGACGCTCTGAGATGATATTATTGAAAGCATCATCATTAGGAAGAGAATATTCATCTCGAAAGAAAGGATGTTGTGAGAGATTCTGGGAAGGTGAAGGGGATCGTACGAGGTGTGGTGTTGAATTCTGGCTCGAGGTTGGCGTGTCGAAACCATCAATTTCCTGGCGCATACTGAGACAAGTAAAGACAGAACTAGAAGCGCTGTGCAGCTCACCGCTGTCTCTAGTGCATCAAGATCATAACACACTTTCAACTTTGCCCAAATACTCTCGACGGGTAGTACACGACCAGTTTCATTATGTATTGCATTGCGAATGGCTAATACGTGAAAATGCTTGTGGAGGCCAACGGGCCGAGCCTTCATTACGGATCGGAAGAAAACAATCTCCCCTTCAACGCTGTTGAGGAAGTCGCCTGGGCTGTCAGACATGTTATTGAGACGTGGTTTGTGAGGTAGCGGTTGTTTGGCAAAGGCTTTGGATCCAAACAAACGCGTCCACATTGAGAACAGTCACGTGGGGACACTCTCATTCTCGCTCACTGGTTACTTACGGTCACTAAATTTCATGTCTGACACAGAGCAGGATACAACCGTGCTCGGAAAGCGTGGTAGGAACTTGGACGATGATACAGATTGTCTGCAGGATGGTGAAGATGGTCCCATGCCAGCTGCTGACGCAGCCATAAATCAGGACGACAGCGATGATGATGTTGGTCCTATGCCTCTACCTGCGGGCGCAAATGGTGGATCCAAAAGGAAGCGCAGAGGTGAGTCGTACGATTATCAGTCTATGAATCATTGACTTACAATTCAATGCTAGTGGTCCCTCACGAGAAACTGTACCTTGACCACCTCCCAGATGCAGAACAGTACTATAAAAGCTACATGCATCGTGACTCCCTGAGCTTCGTTGTTGTCACGAAGTAAGTTCAAGAGAATATCTATGGAGCGAGTATCTCAATCTCGAAACAGGACGGACTTTATCATTACTACTTCGGTTGACGGACATCTAAAATTCTGGAAGAAGCAGGACGAAGGCATCGAATTTGTGAAACACTTCCGTGCGCACATGAGCCCCATAACTGGAGTATCATCAAGTGCAGATGGACAGCTTTTTGCCAGTATCTCGGAAGATGGGTCTGCAAAAGTGTTCGATGTGCTCAACTTCGGTGCGCAAGTGGCCCACATTTATTTATCTTGGCGCTGACTAGTAAACAGACATGATAAACATGATAAAGCTTGGATTTACCCCTCATGCGTGTTGTTGGGTACATAGACGAGGGCAAGCACAAGGCCTGTTGGCTGTGTGAGTATCTTGTCCAATTTCCTGGTTAGCTTCTAACAAAGTATATAGCTCGGAGCAAGGGACGGGTACCATACGGCTTTATGATGGTCGCGGTAATGACTCCCCACTACTAACAATCGAAAAACTTCATCGTTTCCCTGTGCATTTGATGGCGGTGAGTCTACCCTGTTTGAAGAAGCGCCTGATGTGACGGTCATTCCTTCAGTACAGCGACCGCTATGATACTGTGATCTCTGGTGATGAAAGCGGTTTTGTTGAGTACTGGCAACCGTTTGAGCCTTTCGAGCCACCACGAAAATTTCCTGGCATGTGGTCATTGAAGTCTTCGACGGACCTCTACGAGTTCAAAAAGGTAAGTTAAAGTTTCCATCTTGTAGCATTCGCTGACTTTTATCTAGACAAAATCAATCCCTGCTTGCATAACGCTTTCACCCGATTCCTCTTCCTTTGTTACATTTTCTCTTCCGGATCGTCAAATCCGCATATTTTCCTTCCTGAAAGGCAAACTGACTCGAAAGTACGACGAATCGTTGACAGCAATCCAGGAAATGCAACAGGCCAGTACCTCAATCCATCGCGTAGAGGACATGGAGTTTGGTAGGCGGCTGGCAGTGGAAAGGGAGCTTGAGATGCCAGGCCCCGACGGACGAATTCCCGCAATGTCGACCAATGTAGTGTGGGACGAAAGCGGGGCATTTGTCTTATATCCGACCTTACTCGGAATCAAAGGTTGGAAGTGACTTCTGTTTGGCAGACTCAAAACTGATATGTTACTGTTTCTCAGTGGTCAACACGGTGACGAACCGTGTTGTGCGGCTACAGGGAAAGGATGAATCAGTTCGATGGATGAACCTTGCATTGTACCAGGGAGCGCCTGCAAAAAAAGGGCTAGCACCTGTATGCACCTATTCATGATTGAGGAATACTGACAAGCAACTTTTATAGGCGATGACAGCATCTGCAAATCCCATGCTTGCCAACAAGGGTATTCGAGACCCGACCCTCTTTTGCACAGGGTATAAACGCCAGCGTTTTTATCTTTTTACCCGGTCCGAACCAGAGTAAGCACGTTATCAGTTGTCCTTGCTACGTCTTCATATCTGTATCACAGAGACAGCAAAATACACGACAGAGATGTCTTTAATGAGCGACCGACGCGTGAAGAACAGTCCATTGCCTCTGCGACTGCCCTTACCAAATCAGGACCATCGCCTTTGGCTTCATCTGCAGTGATTCACACTTCCATGGGCGACATACATATGCGCCTATTTCCCCAACAATCTCCAAAGGCTGTGGAGAACTTTGTGGGCCACGCACGGAACGGCTATTTCGAGGGTGTCATTTTCCACCGGGTCATTCCGAAGTTCATGATCCAGACTGGGGACCCATTGGGCGATGGCACAGGGGGGACGTCAATTTGGGACAGGGAGTTTGAAGATGAGTTCTCCCCAGATTTGAAACATGACCGGTAATTATTTGGCGCTTGTCTCAGTCAAGATTTCATGGTTGATTGACTACATTACAGCCCGTATACCATCAGCATGGCAAACGCAGGTCCCAACACAAACGGCTCGCAGTTCTTCATTACCACTACAGCCACTCCATGGTTAGACAAGAAGCACACGATTTTCGGTCGCGCTATCTCTGGATTGGAGGTCATTCATAATATCGAAAACGTGAAGACGAATAAGATGGACAAGCCATTTGAAGACATCAAGATTGTTAATGTCGATGTCGATTAATTTGGATTACATATCTTTGCATCATCATCGGAGAGATATTTAAAGCGCGACACGGTCCATAACCTCTACGTGATGATGAACCAAGAGCGACGACCCAATGGAAGAAAGGCTTTGTCGAAACTGTGATTGGAGGCGTTTTGTAATGCGTTCCGAAAATAATTCAGGGTTCGTCTCCGCAAGTAGACACGGGCAGGAGAACTTGAGTAGAGTATGCGACTGATTAGAGCTTGGTGAGGAAGATGTACATGACGTCGCTGGGACAATCATTGCTTCATAAACGTCCAAAGGTTGTCCGCTCAGAAATGAGGTCTGATTGGCCGAGATAGGAACATATGCGACTGGATAACCGATCAAAGTTGCAGCCAGAGGAACAAGATTGTCCTGTGTCAAACCATCGACGAAGGAAAATGAGACATTGGCTTGAGATTCTAGCATGTCTGCATTCATGGCGCATATAACGTCCAGCACTGTCGTTGGCGTGCTATTCAGCTACCAGGAAGCATTGAGAGGTTAAGGTGTTTTACGTTGTCTACATAGTACTCACCAGTGTAGGGGACGTATCAAGGAGAACGTATGTGACCGCCGTATTGTCCTCCAACAATGTTCGAGCGAAGGCTCGCAGTATGCGAGAGTTTACGATGAACGATTGAAGTGACGAAGGATCGTACCAATGGACAACGTCAGCAAAAGTTGCATTCTGGTTCATCCGCCTTCAATAAATCGTGCTGCAGTGAATGCCCGGTGATCAAAACGTACCTTCGACCGCAAGCCAGCCAGCACATGGGAAAACAAGCTAACGGGGTCCTGCACAGTGAACGTGTCCACTAAGCAAGCAGAACTGCAGAGCCCATCATGATCATGTCAACCCATATGTTTTGCGACTACCAAGTCTTACCGGATGCCATGAGCGATCAGACATAAATCGGTTGAAAACTGTTCTAGTTTTCCAGGCCGAACCTTTCGCAGCATCCTCTGCGCGAATAATTCGTCATGGGCTAGTCGTTTGTTCTCTAAAAAAGACCTCGACATCGACTTCTGAATCGCCACTAGCCTTCTGTGGACGTTGTGTTTGTGGGGAAGTGTTTGGGCCCTATCATGTAGTGCAGGGCCTCGGAGACTGATCGGCTCAGCTTCAAATTGTTCTAATGATGTTACAACAGGAAACGAAGCCCACAGCCCAGCTCCAGTCTCTTGCTGAAGAACTCCAGTCTCATATACTGAGTTTTCTTCCTTATCGAGATATTCTTCGATGTACATCCGTGAGCTAATCGATGTTGTCATTGATACCATGACTGACAGGTGTCTTGCAGGTATGCAAGGCCCTTCGCCAGGCGTACACATCGTGCTCCGAGCTTCAGTACATTGTTGAGCTCGGCGGTCAACATCTCCTCCCTGTCCCTCACACTTCTGACAATCGCACTTCTATTTCAAAGCGCCTACAACTCCTGAGAGATAACGCCCACGCATGGTTCAGCTTTGATATCCACTCTTTCAAAACAGTCTCCATACCACTCCATAACAAAATGTGGGTTGTCAATGGCCACCTTTGCCTGTGGGAGCGACATCATGACTCGACCACAATTTTTCCAATACTACCGAAACCTTCCCAATACACAATCGAGCGTATTGGGTCTCCGATGTCGTTACGTTCAGATCCCAATGCATACGGCTTCGACGTGCTCATGGACCCAGCGCAAAATCTAATTGCTGTCGTGTATGCCACTGTCGATGATGATTTCCAGTGGGATGACGAGAGGATCTATATTGACCTCGGGACCCTGGATGGGGGAGGTATCCACCCTCAAGCCATTGGACGTACATTATTTCGGTCAGAACTGCCTGGAATCCCGAGTGGTAATCGCACTTCAACAGACTTGGGGAAATTAAAACTCAAGTGTTTCGGAAGACATATCGCTCTGTGGCACTCCCGACAGATCACTTATGAATTCTTTGACGAGAGGTTATGGGGGTTGCAGATTTGGGACTGGCAGCGCTCAGCAACGTCCAACGTGAGCTTTGGTCTGAAATAGTTGAAAGACTTGTTGACACTTGATTTAGAGCATCCTCAGTGCCACAATAAACCCAGCGTGTGAGGAAGCAATTGACTTTTGCTTCCTCGGAAACGACAGGTTGCTTATTTTCAGTGATGACATAAAGCTCTATTTAATCGAGGACACGTCCAAGGCGCCGCAGTTACTGGCTTGCTTCTTGTTGCCTGTATCACTGACGAGAATACAGTGCATATACTCAATGGATGATATTGCACATACCTCGCAACCCCAGAAACTAGCTCAACAAACAATGTGGGCTTTGGACCCTGAACATCAGCTATTATCAATTGTCACATTCTCTCCGAGTCTCATATTCATCATTTCCACCACGATTTTCTTCGATCTCGAATTGTTTGAGGGAATACTAGAAGCAATATCGTGGAAAAACTGGGGCCCTTTGAATGCTCGTGTATTCCAGACACCGAGCCGTTACAATATTTCCGTTGGTGGAAATCGAGTCTTGTTGGCATTTCCTGCAGATGACACGACTGGCATCTGGCATTACCCCCAAAAGTATAGATTGTGTGTGATGGATTTCAGCCCGTTAGCTGTTGAGCGTCGACAAGGTCTAGGACGAGTCGTGAAAGAGCCATCTACGATAGAAATCACAGAGTCACGGACGGGGGAGAGCTTCAAGTTGGCGCAGAGCTTAACAACATCCCTGCCATACGTCGAGGTTATGTTGGACCAAGACAGAACATTCGGATATCGTGGTTTTGAAAGGATATGGATTGATGCGGACAGAATTTATTTTGTAGGTTTTTTTCACTCTTCAAGAAGTGCGATTTACCGATTTTTATCTACATAGTATCATGGATCGAATCAGCTCGAGGTCATTGAGGTAACGTCAAGGGCTGCAGTTGCAGCAAAGCATATTACATCGTCAAACTAGCCCCAAGTAATATTGTACCGACTACAGGTCATATAGTATCTGAACTTCATTCAGGATGTAATCCAAACAAGGTTTTTGTACTCACCTTACTAGATAGTCCAGCTCATGTAATAGAACCTCGGATGATCGATATCGATCAACGACGTCTAGAAACATGGTGCACAGGCACATCGAGGCTGGCGAAACTGATGGTCAGTTAGAGGACAAAGAGGCAACCAGTGTTATCAAGCATACTTGCGTTATCTACGCCCCAGCAGATATATACTTCATTCTTTCGAGCTCAGATATGCTTTGTTGCTCCTGCACAATCCACTTATTTGATGCACGTACGATCCAGGTCAAAAAAGCGGCGGTACACCACCATGCTGTGGTCTGCCACATTTTCCCGCTCAGGACTGAAATTGCAGGAGAAACCGTTGATAGCCCAAACGCGACGCTATAAGGAAGAGGCGTTATTCGCCGTTTAGCAAGAACCAAATCCCGGGAGCGAGCGAGCAGAGCAGCGTTTGCATGGAGGATGATCGCGAGGAGTGTCAAGACAGGACTTAGATAGAGTGGTGACTCCGGTCTACCAGCTGGTGGAAAGATAACGACTAATGGACTGTTGTAGTCAGAGGAGATATAGATTATATGCCTGGTAAAATAATATACGTCGGACCTGTATCACTGCAACTGCAGTCATATTGTTGCTCACAGTAAAAAAGACAGCGCGAGCGTAATCTGTAACGCAATGCGGTTCTGGTTATTCGATGCTGCATTCAGACTCTTGATGTTGTCAATAAGTTCGCTTTGTTCTGCAATCACGAAATTAACATCCCTGACACCTGAACGAAAACGTTTGCCTACGTCACCTTGTTCATCCAGTATGTATGTGTCATGGGATTCAGAGGGTTCAGATGAGTATTTGAATGGGTTCCTTCGTCGGAGAGCGTCCATGTCCAAAGTTTGATGTGGAACTTGACTAGTAGGACTCCGGGACAACTTGTAACGAATGACTCAATGAGTAGCCTGCGCAAGAGGTTACCGGTCACGACATTGAACTCCTCAGATGGGTCACGTGCGTTTTATTAATATCTTATCAGCCCTGCTTAAACTTTATTGAAGTAGTAAATTATCGATTGCTTCAAACCACAGCATGTCTGCTTCAAACCACTCAGGCCATCGTGGAGGGGCAGTTTGACGATGCTCCTTCTGAGACCGCTGTCCTAGCCGTGGACGACCAGCGAGATCCACGCATAGGCGGATACTTCATTGACGACGAACACCTTCTCCTATGGTCTGACGAAAGTTTGGAAGATAATGACGGAGACGAGCTAACGAAGATGACTTTGAAGATGTCAGAGCAGATGATGAAGATTGGGAGGTTGCAGAGCGGGGTGAGTTGTATTCACCCATACGACCACCGATGTTCAATGATCATCCTAGATTTTACCAAACAATATAACCGGCTTCGGCAGCATGTCGCTGTACGCACTGGCAACGCACAGGGAATCGCATCTTCCATTAATCACGCAGCTGTCGTTGCACCTCTTCCTGCGGTAAATAAGCCACGCAGTGCGGTTCCTACGCGTGCAAAAGACAAAATTGTCGATCAACTGGCTGTTCTCTCCAAGTACTCGTCTCGCATTGCTAAAATTGATCAACCGTACGTCATGGGAGCTAGCGTGAATAGAAAAGGTCCTAGTTCATATGCAAATGCGAAGGACAAGTCAGATCGTGCCACATCTGAGCAAGTACTTGACCCCCGCACTCGGATAATCCTTTTCAAGATGATCGGACGAGAACTCATCCAGGAAGTAAATGGATGTGTCAGTACAGGAAAGGAGGTGAGGTCATCTTGGCTTATCTTGATATGATTGCCTACAAGCTCGAGAATGTTTAGGCGAATGTGTATCATGCTCTCACCCCCACCTCCACGCATATTGCCCTCAAAATATACAAGACATCAATCCTTGTGTTCAAGGACCGCGATCGTTATGTGACAGGCGAGTACCGCTTCAGACGTGGCTATAGTAGACGCAATCCACGCAAGATGGTACGTCTGTGGGCAGAGAAGGAAATGCGCAATCTCAAGAGACTTGTGTCTGCCGGGATACCGTGCCCCGAGCCCATTGAGGTTCGGGAAAATATCCTGGTAATGGGTTTTCTTGGTGATGAGGAGGGCTGGTAATATTTTCACGCTGAAGTCTCTTTCATCGCTCATCCGTCATTTGGACGCCAGGGCATCCCCTCGCTTAAAGGACGCCGATATCCCCTCCGAATTATACCCAGCATTGTACGAAGAGCTCATTCTCAATGTCCGGAAGATGTATCACATTTGCAAACTTGTCCACGCCGATCTTTCTGAATACAACATTCTCTTTCACGGTGGACATCTTTGCATTATCGACGTCTCACAATCCGTAGAACACGATCACCCTAGCGCGTTCGACTTCCTGAGAAGTGATATCAAGAACATCGAGGACTTTTTCGAGAGGTTTGGGGTAAAGTGCCTGGGTTTGAGGCGTTGCTTCGATTTCATCACAAGAGTGCACGTAGTCGAGGAGGGGCAGGACGAGGGATCTGCTTTGAAGCACTGGCTGACAAAAGCCGATGAAGAACATCAAAGCTCCTCATCTGTGGATGGAAGCAATAACAAGATCACCTCCTCATCGAACACATCAGCTACTCATGAAGACAATATTTTCCGTCAATCATACATCCCCCGCACGCTGAACGAGGTATATGACGCTGAACGGGACGTGGAGGTTTTGACGAAGGGTGATAGGAAAAATCTGATCTACGCAGAAACTATAGGTTTGACGTATCCCACCTCTGGTGTGAGTCCGGAAGGTGAGGTCAGGCCACATGTACGCTTCAAGGGCGAGGAGGATGTGGACCTCGTTGATGAAGAATACACGAGCGACAGCGAGGAAGAAGGGAGTGAAGAGCCTGAGGCAGCTGAGGGGGGTGAGAAGAATAGTTTTGACCCTCGTAAACCTAGGGGCCACAGGCACGAAGATCGGGAGGCCAAGAAGGCAAGCATTCGCTCCATCAGAAATTAAACATTGCTGATTTTCACCCAGGAACGCAAAAAGGCCGTCAAAACCGAAGCACGTGAGAAACGGAAAACTAAAATGCCCAAGGCAGAGAAGAAGCGCAAAACAAAAAGCTCGCGATGACACTAAAGGCCCCTTGGATATCTTCGATAAATTTATGTTATTTTCATTGAATGCTAGGTATAGAATATGACAGTATATAACTGTTCTTAACCATCCGTGATACACCCATGGCTAGCGTCTTCGACCATTTTAACATACTTGTAGAGGGTTCCTTGGGTAACCTTGATTGGTGGGGCAACCCAAGCTTTCCGACGGCGTTCCATCTCCTCAGAGGAAATATGCAATTCCATGGTGTTTGCCACAGCGTCGACAGAAATGATGTCACCATCCTCCACAAGCGCAATAGGTCCACCGACCTGTGCCTCAGGGACGACGTGACCTATGCAAAATCCATGAGATCTAATAGATATCCCATCAGTATACAAATCATCGTGAATGGAAATAGTACAAACCCTCCGCTAAATCGCCCGTCTGTGAGGCACGCGACGTCCTGACCTAGACCAGCGCCCATAATCAAGCTAGTGGGCTTCAGCATCTCACGCATACCTGGATAGTCCGAGTGTCAATATAATCGCTCGGGTCAAGAATACTATTCACTCACCAGGGCCACCCTTAGGGCCGAGGTAGCGCATGACGACAACTGTTTTCTCGCCCTTTTTAATTGAGCCAGACTCAACGGCGGAGACAAAGGCCTCTTCTGAGTCGAAGGTGCGAGCTTTTCCGGTAAATCCAAGACCTTCCTTACCGGTAATCTTGGCAACAGCACCTCCAGGGGCCAAATTACCACGCAAAATTCTAGGGTCATTTGAGAAAAGAGCTATTGAGAGATGGTAATGACGAACCTGATGTGTCCGGTAGCTTTAATGGGCTTATCGAGGGGGCGGATTACGTCCTGACTAGCAGAGAGTTCCCCGTGTTTATGTACCCAACGCTCTAGGTTCTCGCCTATAGTAGCGCCAGTGACCGTCATGTTATTGCCGTCAATGAAATTATTTTTCATCAAGAAATAAAGTATCTCTGTAGTTGAAAAAAAAATTGTAAACGGGAAAATCACCATGGTAGTTAATCACTGACTGGGTATGCCCCCGATTTTGTAGATGTCCTCCATGACATACTTGCCGCTTGGTTTGATGTCGGCGAGGAAGGGTGTTGACTCAGACACTCGTGCGAAATCATCAATGGTAAGCTTGAGGCCTACGGCGTGTGCCATAGCAATAAGGTGCAGGACGGCATTCGTCGAACCTCCTAGGATCATGATGAGAACCTGAAACTCAGTATGAGTGGCTGTAGAAATTGAAAAAAAAGTATGGCAGACCATAGCATTCTCGAATGCCGAGCGCGTCATGATGTCGCGGGGAAGAATGTTTTTCTCGATGAGATTTCGCATGGCGGGACCAATGGTCTTGCATTCATCGTGTTTTTCTTGAGATTCGGCTGGATACGACGATGAACCAGGAAGAGTCATTCCAAGGGCCTCAGCCGCACTGGCCATGGTGTTTGCCGTGTACATCTGCCAATATGTGAATAAACTATCGCTGGATTGGGTACAGTGGTACTAACGCCTCCACAAGCACCTGGGCCAGGACATGAATGTCGCACTGTATCATACCTGGCAGCTTCTGCTTCTGGCGTTTTGCCATTTTGTAGGTATTTTCCGTACGCCTCGAATGCAGAAACAAGATCTAGCTGAGGTTGACCCGCACATGAACCCGCGCGAATTGTGCCTCCATACACCATGAGACCCGGACGGTTGAGTCGTCCGACTATACAAGTATGATAACATGTCAGTGCGTATGGTGGATTTAAACAAGTACCTCACTCACGAGCCATCAGCACACCCGGCATATTCTTGTCACATCCCGGTACCACAACCATTCCATCCAACCAGTGTCCGCCAGCAGCTGTCTCTACTTGATCTGCGATGAGGTCGCGCGACTGCAGAGAGTATGACATTCCAGCAGTGCCCATGCTAATCCCATCGCTAACACCAACTGTGCCGAACTGGTAGCCAATTAGGCCAGACTCGACCAAGGAACCCTTGATTTCCTGCCCCAAGCCAAGCAAGTGTCGGTTGCATCTGAAAGCACCTCAGGCAAAGATACACTTATTGCATACGTTCTTCCTTACGGGTTGCCCTCATACCTTGACCAACCATAGTCAATGGAATAGCCGCAGAAGAATTTGGTTGCCTCAACACTCACCATACACTAGCGACACCGACCATGGCCTTTTGAAAGTCCTCCTGATCTTTGACACCTTCAGTAGCGTACAGCATGGCCTACGAATATCAGCTTCTCCAACATTCCTCGCCCGGTTCAAATGACTCACTTGGCTTGCACCTTGGTCTTTAGGTTGCGTGACAGTCCTGCTATAGCGGTTCATGATGGGCTTGTCTTCGCATCTTGCAGGAGACGACCACAGTGATCTTGTTTGCCTCGCAAGGCCCCTGCTAACCGAGAGTCTCGAATGCATGGTTTCGATCTGCTATAATAGCACGACAACTCGACTCGGACAAAGTCGAAACAAAAAAATATATCGACCCCCCGATTTGGCAGCTTACAGAGATAGACTGTGCCGTAACTATGTTAACATGCCGCACTTTTCAGCAGCAAGAGCGATGATTCCAATCGAGACGTGCATGCAGTACTGCTATGTCTCGGATGTTTTTTTTTACTAGGTCCTGAGCCATAAGTTCCATGGAGAAACCATGCATGCGCTTGTCATAATTTTTTTTTCGACCGTCTCCACGGACCACGGTATTTGAATTCTGAATCGGTGAGTCCGAGTCAGCGCAATTCGCGTGAACTGATCATGATGAGATGGTTCACGACCGTGTAATTTTGTGGGAGTGCAAGTAGTGCATAGGACCACCTCGAATACATAGTACTATC